AAATGACATTTTGACTGTTTGTTTTCCTTGTAAGACCGTCTTTCCGATTAGTTGAATTTTTGTTTTCATTGGTAGGGCGATTCTTTGTTTGGATGAATTTTTTTTTTATATTGTGAAGAGGACATTCTGATTGGTTGAATCTTTGTTTGCATTGCAACGAGGCTTTTCTGATTGGTTGAATTTTCATTTACATTGCGGACAAGACATTCTGATCGGTTGAATCCTTGTTTGCAGTGCAAAGAGGCTTTTCTGATTGGTTGGATTTTTGTTTATAATCTGAAGAGGACATTTTGACTCGTTAAATTTTTGTTTATATTGTGAAGAAGACATTCTGATTGGATGAATTTTTGTGAAGATTGATTTTGTTGTTGCATTTTGCGATTTTTTATATTTTATTTTATTTTTATTTACTAAACATCGTTAGCTGATCTATACAGTCTATATACATAGATGAAAACATCATTCTATGCATGTAAATTCAAAAGAGAAAGCAAAAGAAAATTAAAAAAAGTGAAAATATAATTAGCGAATGTACAACTAAACTGACAGACAATGTCTTCTTCTTTTTTTTTAGGTGGATTCGATGACTAGTTTAGCAGCTTTAATAAAGTTAAAAGTTTTATTGGTATTAAGTTGTAAGGATATTTTCAAGATGTCCATAGGCTTAGATGTTCCGGAAACTAATCTTTGAGTATTAGAGAGATTTTGGCATTCCCAAATTATATGTTTAATCGTCAGATGTTGACCATAATCGCTTATCGCGGAGGGGGAGAATTCTTAAGGGCCCATTGATACATGAATGCTACGATCCAAGTGGCCTTCTTGCAAATACTTTGATCTCGATTTGGCCGACTTTGATTGGAAAGAGGTTGAACGAGGTTAGGATCAACATGCGATGTTTGTATGTAGATGAACTGTCGATTTTCTCTTTCATTCTTTTCCTAAAATGCTTTTGAGGTTTAAATGTTCATTATGTCGACCATAATTGAATTGAGTGCGGTAGATGCGGTTTTGGCCGCTAGTTCTACTCGCTCATATTCCAAGGAACCGATATGAGATTGAACCCAAAAAATTTTAATTTTGCTTTCGTGCGCGATAATAACGTTTCTTATTTTGTTAAGACTGCTCCAGCTGAAATTTAATGTGTTACAGATATAGGACGCAAACCATTTGAGATAACGGTAGGTGTTTTAAATATATAGCGTTATCGGATAGGGAAGAAGAGATAAAACTATGTCTATTTTCTAAAGTGATAAGGACATATGAAAATCCAATACAAATCGAATGTGCAAAGATAATAATTCGGATGAAAAGGAATTACGCGTAGCTAATAGAACACATCGTCCTCTACTAAGTTGTGTATCTTGTCTATATGCTGTATAGTTCGTACAAAAGATTTCGGAAGTTAATATGTTGGTCTTTAGCCACGGTTCCATAATACAAAATAGATCATAATTTACGGCTGTTACCATCTGCATGTTGAGGTCTCTAGAATTTGGTAAAAAAAAAAACGAAACCAAGAATTCCTATTTTTTGTGTCGGTATATGTGGTAGAAGGAATAACAACAATAGTTGAATTGCGCTGTCTGTCTCTCACTAGCGCACCTCGACGTCAGAAGTCCTTAGATAGTAGGACCGTTATGAAATATTAGGATTTTTGCCTTATATGTATTGTATATGCCGTCAATGTGCTACGATTCGCGGTTGAGCTAAATCACTATTGGCATGAACAGCCCCAAGTTCTGTTGAAAGATTTTCTCTTCCCTGCGTTACAGGAATCGGACGATCAACAGGCATATCGGCTAATGAGTGGCTTTGATTTTGATTATTTACCGTTGGTACATTCGCCGAACCAGTCGAAAAAGGAGCGATACTTGCGGTTTTTCAGAAAATCCAGCTGCACTGGGTGGACCACATTCTGGCACTCATTTAAATTGACTGATAAGCAATCTCAGCGATCGCAGATGGTTATGGCGTTTATTTATCGGAGCATCCGTCTGAGCGGCCGAGTAGGCAAACGATCTCGACTATGGTCGTGGTTTCAAAGCTCATTCGCGGTAAACTTTTCAATAATACCGATAGCCTTAGATGTCTTAGTCTTAAAAATGCTAAGATCTTACTTTGACTTTCATTTTGTTTCAAAATAGACCTCATAGTCTTGGTGGTATTATAAATCTATTTTAATCTTAATTCATCATAACTAAATAAATAATAACAATTCCATATGAGTGGCCTAACTCTTCGTCTATTTAATGGGTTCAATCTTTTCCTCACTTGACAAATCCTCATGTTAGTTTTCAATCGCAGCTTTGCTTCTGTTCCAATGCAAGTTCCATTTCCAATTCCAAAAATTGATATTCGTTTCCCATATTTTCGTCTACCCATGCATTCGAGGTAGATGCATCAATTAATTACATCATTTCTTCCTGAAGTAGCTTTTCCATATCTTGATGATTGATTGCAAATCCTTCGCAACGTTTACTATTAATGCAACTGAGTGTGAAATATCATTTCTTGCTTGAGCCATTTGAGGCAAAAGCGATTGCCAACATGTATTAAGTGTTGATGGTTTAATTTTTCGGCCCAAGCTAACGGCGCTGCTTACAAATATAGGCGTGTGTATTACACATTTGAAAGGAAGGCTCCTTGGTTCGAAGGCTGTATTAATGCCCTACAGTTAAAAGGGAGATGCATTTGGGTTATTTAGTTCCTTATTGTTGCAATCACCATTGTAAAGCGCCAATCGGACCAATCAAAAAATATTGTGATCGCATTCTATTCCACTGCAAGAATGAAACAGTCCTTAACTTCCAGTCATCCATTAATTCTCCCCATTACATGAGGAATTGAAGAATGATTTATTAGCTGATTTTAAATTAAGTTGATCGAATTTAATTGAAGGGAAACAACGTTATCGGAGGGTTAGCTGTATTATTATAATATTTTTTAAACCAATGGAAAAAATTCTTAGATAAAAACCAAAAAAATTTAACCCTAGCATTATAGGCTATCGGTTCTATTTTGGAAAAAAAAAATTAGATGTAGAGTCCAGAAGGTTTAATAAAGAATTATATTGAATGTACAGTGCGTTCTGTAGCCGCTTCGCTGATGGATACCCTGCCCCGTTCCGAATACAAATCTTTTCCATAAAAAAGCAAAAGTTTAGACAGTCACAAAGCAGATGCTTCTATGACAGATCGGAGAAGAAGACTTCTTCAAGATCGAATTATCGTGTAGTAACTGTTTGGGCCAAAGCAAATTTTCGCAAATTTTTCTTGATCCTGATTTTGTCAATAGCCATTGAATGGAATGGCGGAACACTAGTTAAGAGTTAACAAGCAAGTAGTAGCAGACCAAATCTTTTACAAATAACAACAATAACATTTCTTTTTTCAATTTTTTTAAGAACTTTTTTTATTTTCATTATTGATTTTTCGTTTAAAGTTTAACTTATTTACTTAGCTTTTAAAAAAATAGTAAAAATTTATTGTTTTCTCTTTTGTTGTTGTTGTTTTTTTTTTACCATTTAAACGTTTTCGTTCATTTTTTTAAGTTGTATTTTTTTTAAATTTTAATTTTATTTAGAAAAAAAAAAAGAAAAAATAAAAACAATAAGAAATCATAATAAAAAGGAAAATTTCTCTTCTTTTTTTTTTCATAATTATACAAATACGGTTTATATTCAATTATGATTGATTCATAATAAAGGGTAAAAATTGCTTTTTTTTCGAAGACGAAATTATTTTTCAACATTGTATTTATTGTTTTTTTTTTTTTTTTTTAAAGGATAGACGATGGAAAGTCGCCGTAAGAACACAAGAGAAAATTGCACATATTTGAAATGAAATAAACTGATTATAAAAATTAAAAACAAACTTTTAAGTGTCACATAAAACGTTTGTTGTGATTAAAGGAGGGAGAAAAAAAAAAAAGAAAAAGTAAAAAAGAAATTTGACTTGTTTTAAATGTTTTGCTTATAATTTTAGTTTAATTTTCTCACAATTTTAACAAATTTTTAACACTTTAATGACTTCTGCTCTCACAAAACTAAAAAAAAAAAAGAAAAAAAAAAAAATTTTTCCTGTAACTTTTTTTTTTTTTTAAAAAAAAAAAAAAAATATACAATATTTTTTTAATAATTTTCAAAAAGAAATATATAGGTATAATATATATATGTTAAAAATAATGCTTTTTACTTTATGCTTAAATTGGACATTTGACATACTTTAGGCTATTTTTTCGTTTAATTATGTTTCATTTCCATTTTTTTTTTTTTTTTTTTTTTTTAATAAACTCATATTTTTATAATCTTTATTACACATAGAATGTGTAATAATGATATTTGCATATTTGCATGAATGCATGCACGCATGCATGCATGTGTAGGCATTTATATATATATTTATTTATATATATATTTATTTATATATATATTCATTTATATATATATAAATATATATGGTGTGTATGTATGTATGTGTCTGTGTATGTTTGTATGTATGTGTGTGTCAGTGTAAACTTGGCATCTCGTTTCTTACTTTTTTTTTCATATTTTCTAAATTTTATTATTTTAGTTTCTTTTTTTATTGTTTTGCTTTATCATTTTTCACTTAATATATAACTATTGTATTTGTTGTTGTTTTGTTATTATATATATATACGCGTAATGCATATAAATATATATGTATTTGTATATATATATTTATATATATATATATATATATGTTTCGTTAAGGAAGCGCACGAAACAAGTGTCAAGTACATGAAATCAATTCGAAGTGATATATAGACGATGATCTTGCGAAAAAAAAGAAATTCAGAGGGAGAGAGAGAGAGGGACGAGATAAGGGAAATCAAATCATATTGAAATGATTAAAAAAAAAATATTTTTTTTTTTTTTGTTTTTGTTTCTGCGTAAAATGTCTTTTTTTCTCTTGTGTGGGTTTCAGTTGCTTTCACTTTTGTTTAGGCATTTTTTGTTGCTATTGTTTTTTTTTTTGTTTTTTTTCATTCTAAATAATAAATGTGTTTACTAATAACTATAATATTTACTGACAACCTTTACTTCAGTTTGACACCTACTTCGCGTACATCTTTTTTCTTGATGCTTTCCCGAATTCTGCTATTGTTGCTGTTGTTATTTTCTTTCTTTTTTTTTTTTTTTTTTTTTAAGCTTTAGCTATAGAGTTAATTATAGAAAAGGAGAAAGAGTGCCGCAGATTCGGCTTAGTTTTTGGGTCCCCAAGCTGAAGTAATGGGAGTGGCTGCTTGCACGCCGCCACCGGCAGCAAATTCGGGAAAATCTTCCTGTGACTGAGTATTTGGAGCAGACGTTTTGCCCTTTTTCTTTTCCCACGGTGCATCCTTAAGGACAAAGCCATTTTCGCTGCTTCCGCTTCCCCCACTTCCTCCACCACCACCACCACCACCACCACCACCCCTTGCATTGGGCAAGAAAGCGCCTACTGTCGGTTGCTGAGGGGAAGCCGGCACCGTATCTAAGTAGTCACGTATATAATCTTCAGCCATATTTAGAATAGCTTCCTTGGCATTTTCAACATCATCCTCTTTGCCAATAATTGTTACCATATCTGGATTAATTTTCGCCTCTTCCAATGAGGGAAATTTGATATCGACCTTTCAAAGAAGAAGAATTTGTTTTAATTAAAATTTTATCTATATTACAGCAGAAGTGTTTTAACGCAAACTTTGAAAGAAATTAAAATCAATAATAAAGACAAACTGTCTAACAAAAAAAAATAATAATAATAATAATAATAGAGTTGTGTGAATTGGATGGAATTAAGCCAACAAGCGATAAAAATATTCGAAATATTTGGAAATTTCTCAGAAGTTATCATCGAAATAGTAGTAATGTTCTTTCTCTCCTCTACTTTTATCATCATGTGTACCGTGTATCGTTCTGTATACTAATTAGATTTATATATATACATAAATCTATACGCTACAATCGCTATAAATCGCTGCGGCCCGACAAATAGCGTCAACAAGTTAGGTCAATGCGATTTATAATCCTTTTAAGAATCTTAAGTCTTCAACTCTGATTTTAAATGATTTGCAGCTAGCAAGGCACACCAGTCAAACTAATAATAAAAAAAAAAAAGAGGAGTTTGCTGGAAAATTGATGCCTGGCACGAAAATAATGCAGGGGAAACTGCAAGTGATTTCAAGTAAAAAAGATGGCAGGACGTATAGTGTATAAGCAAGAAAGTTTTCTTTGTTTGCCCGAGATGCCTAGAAAGACCTCTTAACCGGCCTAAATGTATAAGGCCAAAAATTCATAGATCTAGAACTAGGATCGTTAACGTTTTTAAAAAAAAGTTCGTTTTCTTTCTCACTTACTTTATAATCCTCGATCAATCTACGTATAGTACGACCACGTGCCCCAATTAAGTGCGCATGAGCACGTGAGTCCACCTCAATTACTTCACGATACATATCCTGTAATTCACCAATAATTTCCATGATGGCATCTCGCGCAGCCTCAGCGTTGCTTTGATAACCGGTAATTGTGATAATACGTTGATTTTCATCATCACGTTTTGGCAGCGAAATCATAACGTCATGATCGGCACGCAGCTTATTGATAACAGCGCCCCGTCGACCAATTAATTTTGAGTGATATTCAGGATCTACTTCGATTTGCAACATAAATGAGCGTGCTTCACGGTCCGCCCGATCCGCTTCGTATTCCTCGATCTTTATCTCTAGAGCTTTCTTTGCTTCGGCTACATGAGCCGCGGTTCCGGTCACCTTAATAATGTCAGATTTTGTTTCGCTAGGTGGTAGTTCGATGTGCACATCGTAGGTTGACATAAATAGACGGACGTTGGCACCTTTTGGTCCGATAATCGTACGATGCAGATCGTAAGGAACATTGACCTCTTCGGTGATCGGCACGAGATCGATAAGAGCCTGCTTAGCAGCGTTGCATTTTTCAATACGTCCGGTTATACGTATGATGTCGCATTGACGAACAGGCTCATCAATAACACCACTAGTGCCATTCGTAAAACCTTCAACGGGCTCTGTCGCATCGCGATCAGGAAACTTTATCTGAACATCGTGTTCCGTAGTAACTTGTTGCACTTTAGAGCCACGACTGCCCATAATTATACGATGAAGACGTTGTGGAATGACGACTTCAATGGTGACGTAGGCTTCTAAATCAGCTACGATTTCGACAATGCGTTGCTTGGCGGCTTCAATGCAATCCTTGGCCCCCTTTAATGTTACTTTATCCGAATCAACGCCTGGTCGTGGAAAGGATATCATTACGCCACCACATTCTTCCGAAATACGATGTAAAATTTCGCCCCGTTTCGTTACAAAGTGCTTATGATGTTTAGGATCCACAGAAATTTCACCTTCCGTGACCAAATCAATATCCTTAATAATCGCCTCCAGTTGTTCCTTGGCCTGCTTCACGCTATTCTCCTTGCCAATGATAGTTATAACTTCTTTATCGGCGTCTTCATTGCTAGGGAAGATAATGCGAGCGCCTGTAGCATCCCGGATCTTGCGTATGGAAGCCCCGTTCTTTCCAATTAGGAATTTATGATGTTGATGTTTGGCTCTAACTTCCGCTGTAAATGAAGCCTGCTGCCGTTCGTTTGCAAGTTCTAAAAGTTGACCTTTGGCCTTTTGAACATCATCTTTTGGCCCGCGAATGGTAACCTTATCGGCTTTTGATTCGCTTGAAGGAAATTTAATGGATACCCCGCCACACTCCTCCATTATGGAAGAAATTAATTTACCGCCGCTGCCAATAATTGAATTATAGTATTTGGGCGATATGTGCACTTCCTCAGTCACGATGTCCGCCAGTTCGTTCTGAATCTTTTGTATGCGATCACGTGCATCGAGAACATTTTCTTTTTTGCCTGTAATAACAATAACTTCGTTGGTGTCACCTTCGGCTGGAAGATCGATCTTAGTCTGGGTTTCATCCCGTATTTTCTTAATGTTGGCACCGCCTTTGCCAATAACGAACTTATGAAATTGTTTAAAAATGGGAACTTCGACAATGTGTGACGATTCCTGTATTTCTTTGACTAATTTCATAAGATCTTTATGGCATCGATCCACATCTTCTTTGGGCCCACGCAACTTCACGATGTCGGTATTCTCTTGAGGAGTCGGTATGGCAATAGTAACCTGACGGTAACGATCTTTAATTTCCCGTATTTTCTCACCTTTTGCTCCAATAATTTGGCGATGCAAACGACGATCGATGATAACATCCTTCGACTTTTCATTTTCCAGTTTATCGATTTTTTCTTGAAGTTCAAGCTGCGCCTTTTTAACACCCTCTTTTGGGCCTTCTATGCGTATATTGTTCTGGCCATCGCGTTCTTCAATGTTTATATTAACATTAAGTTCTTCCTTGAGACGATTTACATTGGAGCCAGCCTTTCCGATAATGTGTTTGTAAAAAGCCGGATTAACAGTCATTACCACAAAGATATAATTGTCTTGGTAATTACGAACAATATCGCTTAAGTAAGCGGCTGCCTTATCCACATTCTCTGGATCACCTTCCAATTTGATTTTGTCCTCCAAACAATTGACATTGACATTTGGGCAGTCCTCCTCCAGCTGCTTCATGTTGGCCCCCTTTCGACCAATGACATACTTGTGAATCCAGTGAGGTGCATCGATCTCAATAGATTTTACTGAATTTGCCTTTTGATAAACAACCGTTAAAGCGTTACCTAAGGCTACTTGAGGACCTCGCAAGGTAATTGTTTCTAAGGGTGAATCTAGTGGCGGCATCTCTACTGAGACTCCAGTGAGTTGAAGAATTTCAGCAATAGTTGATCCTTTTGGTCCGATCACATAACGATGTTGAGCTTTAGCGACTTCAACGCTAACCGTAGAGCATTTCTTTTCCATTTCCTTATAAATGCTCTCCACCTTGTTTTTCGCTGCAGCTACCGCATCCTTTTCACCCATTATAACAATTTCATCCTTTTGCACTGATTGTGGAGGAACATTGACTTTTGCACCTGTCTCTTCCATAATCTTATTCACATTTTCATTGCAGGGACCGACAATGAAAGGATGATATATCTTGGGCACTGATATACGATCCGAAAATTTTTTAGATTGCTCAGCCGACAAAGCACGAATTTCCTGTTCGGCTTTTTCTATGCCCTCCTTAGTGCCCGAAATGACTATAGCATCACTATCTTCACTCTGATTGGGTATAGTGATGCGGGTAGCTGTTAAACGTTCCAATTCACGTAAACGAATACCACCTTTACCCAAGATAACACGATGATGCTCCTTCGGCACGGTCACCGATTTGCTAGCTTGCGCGGAAAAGTGCATTAAGATTTTGCGACGAGCATCGAGAAGCTCCTTTTCCTTACCCTTAATTAAAAATGTTAACGATTGATTTTTACCGCCAACAATTTCAATTTGAGCACCGGTCTCCTTAGAAATTGATTGACAGATGCGTTTTGATTCGCCTTCACCAAATCTTTCCGAATCTGTTGATTTACGTTCCTCACCGGGGACATGTAAAACCTGAAATTGTTTTGTATTAAATGGAAATAATACTAAAAAAAACAAGAAGAAAGCACAAAAAGCTTACTTGAGTCTTTTGAGAGCTGGTAACTCGAACACATGCTGGTGCAGTAGAACTGCTTAACGGTGTAGTATTATTGGCTGGCAAAGCCGGAAACAAATCATCGTAACTAAATGCTGGGGTGGCATTGCTAGAAGCACCACCGCTTGTACTGCTTGTCGGCGTAGTAATCGAAGTGGGCGAAGACGGTTGCTGTTGCTCGATCGCACCTGATATTGTCTCTTGGTATTGATTGGAGATAGTATCGCCTGTTTGCTCAACATTCATTGCTTGAATTATATAAAGGATAAATAATTTAGTTTCTTCTTCAAAAAGATAAGCTTACAAAATATCTACCGTTAGTTTCTTCCATCACTGCTGCTTGCATTACTTAATAAAAAAAAATTTTTAGAGAAGAGTCCTTATTCGTTCCAAGTCGTTACAGTACCACTGCAAATAAAAATTTATAAAAAAATTATCGAATTAATAAATTTATTAAAGAATATAATAATTTCAAGCAAAAATTCAATTCTTGACTTATGTATGTTTATTATAAAAGATAAGGAAAGGGAAGCGTGTGTTGGAAACAGAATGGAAAAAAAGTGTATTCATAGTCATTTGGACTTATATTCTTTCCTGAAAGATAACGCACTGACATTCATTGCCCATTTAACGCTTATCTTGGTTATAAGAAATTTTAGAAATATATATACATATGCACATTTATATATATATATATATATATACGTATTTACATGTACGCATATGTTAAAGGTTTTTGTATTTTATTTAAACCACAAATGATAACAAATTGGAAACGTAAGCACAACGAGTTGAAAACAAAAAAAATTCTAAGACATGAAATGAAACAAAACTGTGTTATTTAAGACTTACGGCGAAAGAAGAACATTTTTATTTTTATTTTATAATAAGAGTTTATTTTATTAATAGTCATAAAATTACACCAATAACAATGACGGTAAATTACAGTAAAATTATTATACCTATACGAATATAGAGACTATTTCGACATAATTACTTCGCAAGTACGGAAACAAGGACACATACAATAATAACGATTACCTAGATTATACAATGAGAAAATTAAAATATAATATAACTAAATTGTTTTTATAAACTACTCGACAGCTTAATATCGAGTGCTAATGTATTCCTTTATATCCAGTATAATAATAGTCGCATACAATCACATTGATATTAAGTAGTTACGGCGTGAAAGGATTAAATTTATCCCAAACAATTTTCTTGGTTTCCAAGTATGGATGAGTTTGTGAATGAAAACTGAATCTCTAATAATCTGATACTAATGAGAAAAATAAATAAATAAATTTGTACTCCAGGTATGGCGATTAGCTAATGAATGAAAGTGATGAGAGAACTGAGAGATCGTATTTCCATTAGCTGAAAACTTATTTACTGACAACGATCCAAGTTATCATATGCGCTGACTTCATACGAGTGGCATCCACTAACATTTTGACCCGTTCCTAGTGTTATTCGAAAATCTTTTTTCTTGATTGTCGTTAAGTGAAGAAAATCACTTTAAAAAATAATGCGAATGACTTCGCTGAGATATCAGAATACTCATAGTGTTAATTAATTTCAGTTTAACACGTTGACGCTCACTTTTAAATCAGTGAGTGTGCTTGTAAAAACACACTCCCCTTTTCTTTTCTTCTCTTCTATAATAGTAGTATAGTAGTGTAGTAAGAACATAGGACGACTGTGTATGCACCTACAACCGTACGCAATGAGCGTCTATTTACGTTAACGGGTTAATTTGAGTTGGAACATACAACGGCAAGAGTTGCAGTTTCCAAGAAATAGAAGAATCATAGCATTACGATGATGATCGGCATCTGCATGAGACTTGCTCGAAACCAAGAGTGAAGAAGGCACTAGCAACAAGGTCGTTTCTGCTCCTTTAGTACTTAGATAGAGAAAAGTGAATGATCTTATAAAAGCATTACCTGTTTTATAACATAAACTATGAGTAGTACGGAAAGCAAAGCGATACCCAGCTCTGAATGGTATATAGAAAGTGATTTCAAATATTGCATTCTATTATTGCGGACTACATTGTATTGATTAATCTAGAGAAGGAGCTAGCATCCTCAAAGTGATTTCAAGTGCTGAATTCTATTAGTGCGAAACGCATTATATTGAGATTAATGTTATAGAACTTGTTATCAGTATGCAATTCAAAGCGCGTTCTACTTATACGCATAATATCAATAGCTAATGCGGACAACCAATAATTGAAATGGCTAATTTTAAATTTCTTAAATGTCATTATTTACATAATATAACGTTAGCGTTAAGCGTTTTAGTGATGATTTTCAAAGCAATTTTCTTTTTAATACCACCACAGGCATAAAAGTTTTGATCGACCATTTATTATGCCTTTAATGTAATATAATTACATTTATATTTTTTTGATTTAAGTTTATTCAATCAATAATTAAGATTAAAGTTAAAGACAACAAAGTCTCTTTCGTCACAAATGATTGGAAAAAGTAACTAACTAACGTTGTAGAAATCATTTATCTAAGGAATATTGTGATATATATTTAGTTTAAAATGGACGCGTTCGAGAAAAGAAAGGAGCATAATTCAATGCCTCAATGCATCGCTTTAAAAGATCAATGATGAGGAGACGAGCGCTAACGGTTCCCTTAATGATGGCTTGCCATCAATGGTGTTCGCAACTTAATTTTGGCATGGGCGATTTTCTACAGCATTAGTTCCCTTTGTGCTTTTGCAACTCCTTTACCTTCTTTGAAATAAAGAAGTAAAAATATGCCTGATAGGCTCACTTTGACCTTGCATTCGAAAAATTACGTCTCACTACTATAACATAACCGATCATTTTGAAAGTTTTTTTTTTTTTTTTTTTGCAAAATAAACACAAGCCTGCTCTATATATCTTTAACCTTAATTATCTCTCTAACTGAAAAGTTATTTTAATCTGCTGTCAGAGAGAATCGCAAAAAATTTATAGATTACCTAATACTATCGCGAGAACAATCGCTTTACGAGACTTTTGCGATCAAAATGTAGGCAGCATGGTCTACGCAGACCATGAATTAATAAGCAACGTTAAAATAAAATATATAAAGAAGAAATCATGATGAACTTTGTTGGCTTAGGGAGCAAGTCTTTCTTTCTTTTTTTCAATTCGTCATTGGAGTGAAAAAAAATTCATTGGCGTTACGAAAATTTAAAAAAAAAAAAAAAAAAAAAAAAAAAACTATAATTTTGATCTCTAATCTGTAATTTACAACTTTTTCTCGTGTTTATTTTCAGCTTCTATTAGCATTCAGTTTGCGGATGTTATTATACATTCGCAAACCAGTCTTTTACTTTATTATTTTTTTTTAACATTTACACATATCGGCAAAAAAAAGGGTGTACTCAGTTTGTCATTCTATTCGCTATATAAAAAAGCATGTATTGACGATTACATAAATTATCAATTTTAATGTCAACGTAAGTCAAGTCAAGTCAACTCGATATAATGAATGGGTAGTTTTCAGGGTAAAAAAAGGATCGATTTTCATCTAATTCAACTAATAATTAGCGTCTTTTACGCATTTAAGGTCTGCAGAGCACACCCTGAAAGTTTAATTTACACTTAAATTGCTATTGTTTTGAAAGACATAGAAGCAGAGAGGGGGAGAGAGTGAGAGGCGGGGAGGGCAAAAGAGGAAAGGGTATCCAAAAATCGTCTTTTTGCGAATAGTTTTCTTTGCGCTTCACTTTTGCCTAGCGTGAAAAGCTGAAGCGAACTAAAACACGTTACTCACATAGCACGAAGAAACAAAAACAAAAAAAAAATGTTCAATATCTCAATTTGAGCGTTATATAGACCTACATTTTAAAATCACCTCAATCTCATATATTGTATCCGTGCTCAGACAGAGGCACACGAAAACATACGCAAACACATACACACACACACACACACAAAATGTACCTAATGAATTTACGTTATTACATTCACTTGTAATCGCTGTCATTGCTGCTCCTCTCTGCATTTATATGAATTTATCGTTCGTGCGTGTGATTAAACTTGCATGGATATCATAATATCATTATTTGGTATTTTGGATTGTTGTTGTGCTTTTCATGATTATTTATTTATTTTACTTATTTTCCTACGATCAACAACTTGTTGTCATGGTTTCTCTCTTCTCTTTGCACTTCCAGTAAATATTTTTGTGCATGCTTTTATAAAGCTCTCGGCAATCGAGTAAGAAAAAGTGAGTCAAATGCAAAAAAAAAACATTCTTCTTCTATATATATATACATTTTTATAACAAACCGGATAAATATAGCCAGTGGCTTGGAATGTGTCTAATGTTATGCAGCAACAGCTCATATAGAAAAAAAAAAAAGAAAAGGAAAATAGAATGAGTAGAAATATAAGGCGCTTTCATGAAATATGAGAGCCACTTACGCTTTGCAAGAGCGCATGAATAACTGACAAAGATTTCATGAAAATAAATTTCACTTTATAAAGCATATGCAAACACACATATATATATATATATATATATGTATATACATAACACCAGAGTGATTGGATAGCTATTTTTATCGAGTAGCAAAATTTCATGAATTATGGAACGGATTTTTGGTTGAACGTCACAATGATGTGCCGAATATGATTGAAACAATTCGCGACCACTCTCAAAGCTTGAACTTTAACGATATGCCAGGAGTATGTTATATGCGCAACATTTTATGTTTATATTAAATTTTTTGACGATATGATAGAAAGTAGAAAATTGTATCCTTATCGCAAACGCCTGCTTTAGATGCTTTATTTAGATAACTGCCCACGGTGCTCAATGGTGCACGCGAGCGAGAAAACCCATACACAGCGACCATTGCCTAATTCTGCATAATGATATTACACTTTAAAACTTCATTCAGTCAAATCATGAAATTTTGAAAGTTTGAAATGAAATTTCTATAACGGGTATAGTGAGGTTCTTTTGAGTGCTTTCGGGCATGGAAATAAACAAAGAAAAATATAAGAAAGGAATTGTCATAATTCAATGAAGATGCCTTTGAAGACCATAAATTTATCCCTACGTCTCGTTTGCCACGTGAGTGCCCGCCTTGAGCACGGGGAAATTTTGTTAAGCTTTCCGTTATATGGAAAATTGTTGGTTTTTACATAAGCAACGTAGATCAAAGTTAACAACTTAATGCTTGAAGAACAATTAAAGGGTCCGCTTTTTGAAGCGGAAACTTTGTTCGAAAACACTAAAACAAGCAGGTTAAGCAACTTTCCCTTTTTCCTCTAGCTTTCATTTTCAAACATCTATCTATCGGCAAGATGCTTCAAGAGATGATTTGCCATACATTCATAGGAGAGTTCGTAAACCAATCCGCTACTAATTCAATCGTTAAAATCCATGTAAACCTGATAGCACATAACCGCTCTGACTATAGGGCAATTGAAGTTTGACCCAAACCTGCATTATGTGCTCAGCACACACATATGCAAACTATAAGAGATCAATTTTTATATAGCAGATTCAATTACATATAGGAATTATTAAAAAATTTTTGCATGTAAAGGAAAACAAGAGGTTAATAAACTTACTGTACTGTAAAATCCAAAAAAATCCGGCCTATTTATATGCTACCGTAGTAAAATCCAGTTTGATAACTTGGCGAGTCTGCTTCTGTAACAAAAAAAAATGTTATATATATATATATACGTAAACATACGCACACAAATACACATAAATGTCAGCTAATATATTCACATCATAATATAGAAATACTTAATTAGTATTTTAAGTAGAACGGCATTTTGTTATATTGTATGCATAATATAGTATTCATGATGTGTGTTGGCAAAGAAATGTTCATAATAAAAATGATAAGAATTTGTACAAATAAAACAAGAAAAAAAAAAAAAATTACACATATACATATATATATACTTTTCAAATCTATTTAACACAAATGTTATCTGGTCATAATTAACTAACTAACTTATACTCAAGTAGAGCTCTAAATTTATTAAACATTCAAACCATTTTTTTTTTTGTGTGATGATTGCACAGTGAACTGTTATGGATTTATACCTGCTACTTCTTCTCTTCGGTTATATACCCTTCCCATGCAATATTTCTTGATTTGATTTGAAAGCATATATAAGAGGCCAGCGCAAAACAATCAACCCATTCCATTCACAATTGTTCATTCACACATGCATATAAGAACACATACATACACTCGTTAATCATTTTACTACTATATTCTAGTCTTGGTCTTGGGCTCATAGACAGTTCGCAAAATTTAAAGTTTAAAGTGTATGCGAAAAAATAAAAAAACAAAATCTAACAGAACACAAACACCCAAGGCAAAAAATATATTAAATTATTAAGAAGGAGGAGCTGAAGACAAAACGAAAATCGACAATCCTTCTTTTTTTTTGCCTTTTTTTTAAATTTTTTAAACGATCACGACCCTTAACAATATGTTAACATATTGTTCACCTTAATAATGTAACAATCACCATTTTTCGCATTCTACACACTTTCCACGCACACACTTGTGATAATTTCATGCCAAATACTCGTGGCAAAAGAAATATTAAAAATTTTTTAAATGAAATTTAAGGTTTAGTAAAGACAAAAAAAAGAAAAAAAAGAGAAAAAAAAGCAAACTAGGAAAAACGTGTTTCTACACATTCACAACGTAATTGGACTTTCACAGAAACGTTCGTAACTGCTAATGTGTGTGCTAACGCAGAACTTCGGCAGCGATGCCTTTGTTAACATTGGGATAGATCTTTTGAAACAAACATTAGCACAAACTTTTATCATTGAAATCACAACATTTCGCTAATGAATCCAATTAATATCTAAAATTATGTTTCATTGTCCACACAAAGTTCAAATTATTTAAATCAAAATTTCTATTTTTTTTTTTTTTTTTTACGTCGCTGCTTGTTTCGCTGCTCTGTTGCGCTGTCTACGCTGCCACGAAGGCGGCCTCATTTTTTCCTAATTCTTCCTAATGCAACAAATTCCTGCGAAAATTTTCACTAATTTTCAAAAACTTCTGTGCTATCAGCACATAATGTTCTTAAAGTTTCAATTTATGAATTTATTTCTGCAGACTTTTTATTATAAAATTGTACAAATTCTTACAAGATGTGTCTCTTTTTCTTTCTTTTTTTCTTTCTCCTCTTTTTTCTTTTTGCAATAACAAATGCCGCACACAACTGATTTTACCGAGTATTAAGTATTAAATGCTCTTAATGTCACGTCAACAAAGTTTGACATTTGTATATAACTGAAAACGTGGCCATTTTGCGCTCATTTGTTACAAAACGAGTTGCCAAAGTTCTAAACTAGTGATTACAAATAAGCGGATTTTTTACTATTCCTTCATTTATTTATATATATTTTATAATTAAGACCAAGAAAAAAAAAACAAAACATTTTGAACATTGTTGTGTATTTCTTTTTTAGAAGGTAACAAAGTGGAGATATGCTCTGGTTATCATGGCACTTGTACAGCCCGATTTTGGAGTCAGATTAACCGTTTTAAGCGGGGGACTCGTATATACAATAGATTCAACTCTTCAGCTGACCTGATTTGTTTGCCGTAAGAAATCTTATTTAGCTCACCTTTTCTTTAGTTTCCAAAAATTTTCGTTTTCCTCTTCATATCAGACCAAGAGCTCGCTGGCAATTAGCAAGAAACTGTACTTTTATTTATTAATTCACTAGGAAATATAAATCTACCAGGTCAGAATACACGTATTGCACGATTATACTCCTCAGTTCCTGCCATTCAATTCCCACATATATAAATATTAAGTAGACCGGAATTTCTTGTCTTGTGAATTTTTCTTTATATAAATTTAGACTGTGGCCGGAATTGAAAAAAAATGCAAAGAATGAAAGAGATGGTAATCTGATGGTGCAATGACGGCACTATGTGGTAATACATTCCAGTCAAGTTCTAATAAATTATTGGCGGATGAGGAAAGAAGTATGAGAGCCTGTACTGTAGTGGTGAGAAATAATATATATTTGGTTGATCAATCCTGGAATCCCATAATACACAATTTCTTCATAATTCCATCATACTGACTTCTTTTCGTGGATATCCGGTTTTGATGTTGCTTGAGATGGCTCATCATCTTTTGACCATAATCTATTACGTTGTACATTTTTATATACGATCTATCATATATCATGACCAGGTTATACATGATCGTTCGTTTTCGTAGCATATTGCAGATATTAACGCGTTTTGTTAAATGAACTTTAGTTGATCGTTATCAATGGTACTTGGCCTTTCGGTGAAAATTTCCAAAAAAAAATTTTGAAATTAATTCTGGCAAATGCGTCCTGCTACAATGTTAATTCCCTATGTACTTCTGCAGCTCTTTTACTTTTTTTTTAAATAAAAAGATAAAATATTTTGCTGTTTCACGTCTTACTTACTTCTCACTACTATACCACAACTGATCGCTTTGAAATGTTTTTACAAAATAAACAAAAGCTTGCTATATGTAGGTATATATATCTTTAACCCTAACTAACTGAAAAAAGTAATTTAACCTGGTGTCTTAAAAGCCAAAAAATTTCCGTACTACCTAATACCTACATAAGAAATTAATAAATGGTTAAAACACAAGTTCCGGAAACAGAATTGGCTCCCCATCCATAATAAATGTGAAAAAAAATGTGAATGGGTTGCAAAATACAAAAGTACCAGTAACAGCTAAAGCAAATATTGAAGGGGCTGACCTAATGAGGCGTTATTCCTATTTTCGGGTTGAGACTTCAACTTTTCGGACTTTTTACAAAACTTTATGGGAATTGACAAATCATATGGTTTTACGTTAATGCATACGAATTAAACAAATGATTTAATGGTCGTGAAATTAATTTTTTCTTTTTTTCTAGTTGAAGTTTATTGTGTTCGGCAATGACATCATAAAAACTCATTTGCTTTATAAATTTGTCGCTTGTTCTTTAGTTTGACGTTGCTTTCTTTATTGCTGGTTCTAAAACCATACGTTTTTGTTTACATTTTCCTATCAAACAATATGGTAGCGCGATTGCCCATTGTGTTTACCGCTTGGGAGTTTTTAACGCGAAAAGGAAAATGACTGCCCATTGTGTCAGCCCCGTAAGGAACGGTCGGGTTAAAAACTCTTTAATAGTAAACACACTGAATAGGCGCGTTCCTGTACTATTTTATACGAAAATGTAAACAAAAACACAAGGTTTTCAAATTATAAAAAAAAGAAAAAATTATAAATGTAAAAATTAAACACAAATTAGCTCTTCTAAAAACATATTTTTTTTGCATTATGGAAGTTACTAAATTAGAAGAAAATTTAATTGTCAAACAGTTCCAATATGTGCAACTTTTGAAAGACAATGAAAACCTTGAAAACTTAAAAGTAGACTTTTTGAAGCTTCAAGAAGATGAACAAAAGTTCAAAAGTTTAACTGACGAGCTTATGGAGAAACAAAGAAACTTACAGATGCTTTTGGAGAAATCGCTGGCCGATGAAATAAACATAGAATGCATTTTGGAGAATAAACTAGGAAAAGTAAATCAAAGATCAGATCAACTAGGAAATCTCGATATTCTCTGTAAGAGTGGTTATTGTAGAACGGAATATGTGGAAAATGAAATTAATTATGTAAAAATAAGTTGCAAGTACTTTTACGTTATTTTTGTGAAAGATCAAATTAAACACGAAGTAGAAGAAATTTATCCTAATCATTCAAACTTTCGAAATATAAAACAGTTTCTATCCGACACCCAAGACTTGAAAGGAATGCTAAGCTATTTAAGAGAATATTTTCTTGATAACGATTTAGTGAATCGTTCACAAAGCGATCGCATCGCGAGCAATACCACCTGATACTTGTGTACGGCCAAATTAGCTGAGCATCTCATTTTTGATTGCAGAAGATTTGATGTCATTAGACAGCCTTTCAAAATCTTCAGCGTATATAAGAATCTTTATGAAATCTTTCGTGCTGGAAACAGTCCTCATCCCAAGAGGCTGGATGTTCCTTTAAAACCAACTTCAACCTTTTTTAAATATTGCTAATTATTTGTGCTCTGTGCTCTGTTTTTTGGTTATTCCTCCAGTGTCTAATTAATATTCTAAATCAGTGAAACGGATAATACTCAACTGAAAACCAATACACCCCCGTCTCCTAATCAAAGAAAACGGCATCATCAATTCTTTCCAAACATCATCTACACCGCTGTTATCATTTAAATAAGGTAAAGGAACAACAAATAGCAGAAACTTGTCATGCTGCTGGGTGCGTTGGTCTTAATCCGATACTTATCCGACTAAACCAAAACCGAACCAAAAAAAGAAAAAACCTAAAGCGACATTAAAAAATATTTTTTCTAATTTTTTTTTATAGCTGTTTATTCATATCCCATAAATATGCTTGTTCTCGTTTGCTCTCTGTAAATGTTCGCGCCGTTCGACTTCATTTAAAATGATCTACAATTCAAGAATATGTTTAACCCATTAAGAGTGCAAAAGGAAAACAAGAGTATGCGTTTGATGGGTGTCAAAGTTCACTTTAAATTGAATGCAATAAATTTACGCTGTTAATTTTTAATTTTTAAAGAAAAAAAACACAAATACTTGAAAAGTCACAATACAATAGCTTAAAGTAAAAGCAAAATACATTTTTGAGTGGTTATTGAATCGAGGAAAGTAACTTTAAAAAAAGGAGTTCAGAGTTTTTTTTTTTGTTTTTCTTTTACTTAGTTGTACGCATACAAAACCATATGATTGACCAATTGCCAAAATGTGTCGTAAAACTTGAAGTCGCATATCGAAAATAGGAATAAGGCACCATTGTCGAGTTTTTTAATTTTTGTAGGAATGCCGTAAGATCTTACGTGCTGTAGAATCCTTCTGAGTAAAAGTAGCGGTGATTTGGAGTCATCCCACTTAGTATGAGGCAAAAAACGATGTTGAAATGGCAAACAAATTCGAGGTTTTTGAGTTTTTTGTTAGTTCTATCGCCTCTGAAGTGCACAAATTCCAACCTTGAATCTGTGATATCCATCATCTTAAGTGTATTTATGATGATTAATTAATCTGCTGGGCTAGTCGAGCTTTGAATTCGAAGCTCGAATGGTAATAGAAGACTTGCGAGTCTCGAATTGCTTTCAATATTCTTTCAATTATCAGTTAATATAATTGAATTGTTATTCAATAATAATGAAAATATTTTTTAGACGGATCACACCCAAAACCTGATCTATGTGCACTTGGTCGTGCGTATATCACGCACATTTTTTAGCCGCATGATCTTTTTATTCATTATCAATTACTGGCTACGATATACATTCAATTGCACACTATTAAAATAAAATGCTTAAATTACGCAAACTATATAGGAAATTACTGAGATCAAGGGCACAGCTAAGTTTAGAGCACATAGTGTTTCAGAGAGTATGAACGTTGTAGAATAAAGCTTGACCTTATCGCAAAGAATGTCAATCAAACAGCAAAGCTAAAGTATGCAATATTTTAGGCTTAAGACATTAAAAGGTAAGTAACTTACTTAAATAATAGGTTGGCGCATATTTATCAAGTGTTTCTTTGACGTCGTATTTTAATGAAAATCTACAATATTTTATAAATTTATGATTGAAAATATCCTTCTTCTTTTAGGTTATAAAAATGCGTGTCGATAATCATACTCATATTCGTCATATTATGCTATGCTACTTTGAGAAAGAATGGTGCAGTTATTTTAGGATTTCAACGAACTTTTCGATGAGGTCACAATCAGCGAAAATCGATGCAAGGGATCGTTTCCCTGTTTCAAATATGGCAACGCTAACTTGGAAGATAAACTAGGAAGAGGTCGAAAGGGACGAAAGATTGACAATTCAATTGCCGGCCAACAACTTTAATGTGGATCATTCAACCACCGCTCGATGACTAACGAAGCAGATGGGGGCGGCGTTCCGAATTAATCATTTAATGATGTTGAACTGTTATGTTTCGTTTTTTATAACATATAGTGTTCAAGAATGGCTGATAATATCGTTTAAAAACGTCTGATAATTATGCACCAACAGTTACACAGTATGCACTAAGAGATTTGAACACGCGACTTCTCACTTGGCACCGCGAGGCTATGCGGTAGCCCGACAGTATATCAGTTCTAAGATTTTTGACTTGAATTCTGAGATGTTTTTGATAAATATTCGAACAGAATTTTGAGACCGACCGTAAATATTATATGAAGTTAAGATACACCTTGTGGATAAATTCAACTTTAAGCGAATTACGCTACAATTCTAGATGCATTACATTCATTTTTAAACAGGTTGAACTTCAAATACTTATACCACACGCCATTCGTGGCAAAAGAGTGTATTAAGTTTGTGCGAATGTATACAACAAAGAATTATTTACTGAGCTTGTCTGTCTGTCTAATTTGTTTTCTCGTATTCAACTTGCAAGCTGCAATTTATCAGACGTTTTGATGAAGTTCGGTACACTGACGTGTTTTGATCTAAGGATGAACTATGGAAGATGGTTTGACCACTTTCTAAATAACATCTTACTTTGAAAAGCCGTTATATGCGTAACTATAGGTGAATGGTATTGATAGTAGGCAACTATAACGACTTTACTTGTTCACTATCGACGTTGTGAAAAGAATGAAAATATTTGTATACCTTAATAATTTGGATTATTAAAATAAAGTTGAATAACACAATTAAAATTGGTATCACAGCAGTATTAAATACAGACCTTCCAATTAGAGTACCGTTTTTGTGCCTTAGATCAGTTGTGACACCGGGTGTACTAAGTTTGTGCGGATGTAAGCAACACCCAGAAAGACTTGAAATAAACTTGGATTATAATATACCGGCCTGCACTACCTAGTCTATTTCTTGGACTCCACTCCAAATGAGATTTCTCATGACTAGCAGGCCCTGCAGAAAATAATTTAACTTTTACTATATTGTAATGAAAATTGGTCCATTGGAGCAATTTAGTAAAAATAACTAACGGTAGCGGAACGGAATTTGGATCACTTTAGTCTATTTTGTAGATCCGAAGGGGTGTAGAGGTTTTCATAAAAAGCAACCCCTTATACGGAGACAAAGTCTTATTTCTAGTGTTTTATGATGGAGACAGAAAAATAATAATACCTTCAGTAAGTTAAGCGAATTTGATAAATTTGGATCACATTGCGTGATGTTTTTGGCATTCTTCTCTATGCGAGCTTTCATGCGCTTCCGTTAAAATAATGTCTAATTTTGGGTGTATTATTACTAAAACGAGTGAATAATTGTACTAAGCAAAGTGGTGCAGGGTATCTAATAGTCGGTCTTGCCCGATGTTATTACTTGTTGGACTTGTTCTCATAAAACCTATCACAAATGATCAGATTGTTAATGCACTTAACAGTTTTTAAGTAAATAAAAATTTATCAATTTATTTTTATAAAACAAAAAAGTAACAACTAATCAAAATATTAAAAATCTTATAAATACCTCAGCAAAATGAAAAACGATCTAGTTTTGTAAATTTCTTAAGAAAGAATAACGAAAAAAAGAAGAAATGATAAAAAAATTGGTCTTAACGCAGTTTTTAATCTTAACGCAGATTTTTTTTGGGTCGGGTGACAAAGGAAATGGTACAAAGTTTTCTTCATCGCGGTGTAATCGCAAAAACCAAGAGTACAATAATTATAATAAAATTTTCAGGAAGCTATGCTGATCAAATGCCAGAACTTTATAAACTTGATGATTACGATAATTGTATATCGAGAACTCAATCCGTGTATTGTATGGTTTATGCAGAGATCGTGCCCGATCATTCGTCAAAGTTATGGAATTTCATTGAGGTTTATTCAAAAGATTATCGACATCACTTTCGTCATGATCATTTATTTTTTGGTATTTGTGTGGATAGATGTGAAATTTTATTGGAGAGGCTTTCACTTCCGGAACTGTCGGAATTGTATGATGAAAGAATTGAATCAAGTGAGGTATGTTCCTAGCAGCAGTAAAGTAAAATAATGTAATTAAAATGTTTTTCACGATTTTCGATCGTAGATTACGGAGTACTATGCCAAAATTCACAGAGAAGAAAGTGAACAGCATTCGCGTTATCAACAGTTGTTGGGAAAATGTCTGAATTATGATTTTAAAGCTAAATTCGGCTTACAGTTAAAAACTTTAATTGAATACTGCGAGTACCCAGACAATACTTTAAAAATAAGTTCGTTTTCAAAAACTAAAGTGTTCCTCTTCTAGTCAAATATATCGTAAACTTTTTTTTTTTTTTTCTTAATAGACGGCTGGGCTTTAGCGGCTTATGGAGTTTTTGCAGTTTTCATAATCATTAATATCTTATCCTCATGCTACGATTATTATTTGCTCCGTCAGCAAACTGAAGACAGTGGGAAGATTGATTTCTATAAAAGAGATTTCAAAATTTCAGGTAATATATGTATAACTAAGTCAATCAGATCTTCACTTCTATTTAATGAATCAAAATATTATTTTTCCCCGATTTTTATCACTAAATATGTTTTCAAACAGATATGTAGTTAGGTCCAAAACAAGTCTATATATCTCAAATCCGCCTGAGTGGTCGAGTTGGTAAGAAGCGTGACTACCAAGTCGGTGTTCGCGTGTTCAAGTCCCAAATGCGGTAGAGTTTTCTTTGATTGTAGCTATAGTGAGTGCTCAGTTGGTAAAGTTGGATTGGGAACACATCCACCTTCTTATTTCTTTCTTTTTGCTATTCGCTTTATGAGCGTCACCGTATTACACGAATAGAAGACATCCCCTGAGTGACTTGTCATATTAAAAAAAAAAATCAAATTCTTGATATTTAGGTTAGATATTAGTTAGACAAAGGAAGATTGAACGTTGTATATAGAGGCGTGATTAGTTTCAGAAAATTATTCTCCTTTTGATCGATTGATATAATAAAAGGTAACTCGATCTCGGACCGTTCTGATTATTGCGTACATCTCCATAAGCTTAATGTACCATTAGTACAGTTAACCAACCCCTACTATAAAGAACTTTACTGCACGGATATATTCCAACCAGCTTTTTTTGTATGCAACTAATTGAATTTCTGTCTTTCAGCTCACAAATTGTTAACTTCATTTTCTCTTTATCGGAACTTTTATCGTCTGACACGCCCATTGCCGCAAGAGTATGAGCAACTAAAGTTTTTGAATGGTTATCGCTTCGTTTGTATTTTTATGATGGTCGCAGCTCACAACAAGGCATATTTAGCAATCGCACCAATTCAAAATATAATAGAAGTCGAAGACATTGAAAAAAGTCCAGCAGTCAACATACTGCAAGGTGGTCCTGTTATTATGCAAACATTTTTTTTGATAACTGCGTTTCTGTTAAAATTAAAATTCAATGATTTACATTTAGTAACACCTCAGACGAAGATGTCTAAGTGTTGTAAAGTGTTTGCAAAAGTGTTGGCATTACGTTATTTGCGGTAATTATAACATCTCCAAATTTAGAATCTAGTATTGTTTAATTTCTTATTTTTCTAACAGAATAGTGCCGTCGTTGATCATGTTTAATTTATTTGAGGCATTTTTATTGCAAAATGTCGGGGATGGACCTTTATGGAAGCATGTAGTTCAACCCGATAGCGTTTTGTGTCGTGAATATTGGTGGAAGAATGTATTTATGTTGAATAATATACTAATGCATTATAGTGTAAGTAGAAATTGTAAGATTGGATTTTAAATATTCTTGGATTTACTGTGATGAGAGTTTATCTCCAATTAAAGTGTTCCCATCATACTTGGTATTTGGCCACTGATATGCAATTGACTGTGTTTTTTGTAATTATCGCAATTGTAATATCGAGGTAAATGAATGAAAAACGTTAAGAAATACGAAATAATTTTCTTTTCTTCTAGATTTCCTAATTGGAAGAAATGCATTTACGCAGCTATAGCTTTGACATCTATAATTATAACATCTGCTGTAACATATATTCTTAAACTTGAAGCGTTTACTTACTTTGCACTTGAGTGAGGAGAATATTTTAATGACTCTTCATGTGCAATAATTTGATGTTCTTTCCTTTGCTCTAGCTTTTATCGTCATTTGTTTGTTAAAGATTTTCCGACTTTTTTCCAAGGCTATATTCCATTCTACATGAATTTAGGTGGTTACCTCGGTGGATTTATGTTGGCCGATATATATACCAACTATGTTAGGTCTAATGAAAAATTGAAGAAACAGTTCACGGGTGTCTTGAAATATGAATTTGGCTATTGGTTTGTATTTCTGGCGTTTTTTGTTGTGCTCTGTAGCAGTTCATACTTTATAAATTACGAGAGTGAAAGACAGCCTTTTTTGGTGGCTGCTTATGCTGGTTTATTTCGTAACGTTTGGGTGGTCGTAAATGTGTTGGTCTTCTTAGGAAATTTCTTCAAAATGGGTTGTAAGTTATATTGATTCAAAAAAAAAAAAAGGCAACTTACATCTCTGTGCTATTTTCTTCCTATAATTACAGCTATCGTATATCATATCTTTTCTGCACCTGTTTTCGGCAAATTTTGTAAAATCTCCTATCAAGTGTATTTATGGCACATACCCGTCCTTAGAACATTTGTCGGCATGTATCGTCAACCGTTTCATGTTAATCCCATATCTATGGTAAAATAAACATAAATGCTTTTTTTTGTACCCATCGCCGAAGTATGCATCAAACCCTGAATCGCGTTAAGCACGTCTGTCTGTGCGTCTGTGTAATGTCTCCTGGACGCAAAAGTGAAACTGTCGTCTTCAAATTTGGTAAAAACATTAAAAATGTACATAAATTCTTGGTCAGTTTCAACTTCGGAAGGCACATAAGTATGCCCGTCTGCTCGAGTGTCCATCTGTCTGTCTACCCAACCGTGTGGTCTCTTTAGCAAACATTCTTTCGTTCGCAAAAATGAAAATATCGCCTGCAAAGTTGCAATTGATCCAAACCGGTCAAAGGAGACGGTTATAACACCCACACGTCTACACGTCACACACGAATATAAAAATTTAGTTTTTTTTTTTTTTTTAGTCGGTGATGGGCTCGAAAGATTCGGCTATGACCGAAAACAATTTTTTTATTTGTGTTCTCTAATATAAGTTTTCTTTTAGATTATTGTGATCCTCACCAGTTTCCTTATATCGAGTATTGTGGCATTTATAATGACTCTCACGGTAGAATACCCATTAGCTACTATAATAAGTTATTTTTTCAAAAGAGGCAAAAAACAATCAATTAATTGAAATATTAAATACATTTTTTTTTTAAATGTCCTATCTATTTGTTGTGTTTTTAGAAAAAGTAAAATTCGTTACCAATGCTACTAAAAAAACCGGTAGTAATCATCCGAAGTAGATTAATATTGTCGGATGTTAATTATAATTTTACAATTAATTTATAATTAATGCGATAAAGCAAGTGTTAATAAGAAATTCCACGTATTTGATTGATTTAAATAACGCAACACTAAAGTCCTGACATGAATTATTTAAACAATAATAAACGAATATTGCTTACTCCACATTTACCATTAAATCGAAATTTTATCTTTACTACCTTTGATTTTTCGATCCCTCATCTGAGTAAGAATTCTAATATCTCTCTACGTTTTAACTCAACTTCCTTTTATTAATTAATTTATGACGCTAACTAAAATACATAGATTAAAAAATAAAGGAAGGTGTGCAATCACCCATAAGAATTAAAATGTAAATGCTTGTACTGGACTTAAATGAGCCATCGTCATTGGTCATCAGACGGAACGGACGCTCTTCTTTCGAAATATTCCTAGTTCGGTACCTATAGCGTGCAATCCCAGCAGTTGATGACGGATTTTATGCCGGACGGAGAGATGTTACCTAGTCGACTGTTTCGATCCAGAAGAGAAGAGGGTGTGCAGTCTTCTTCTCCACTACGCCTTTATTCGAAATCGCATTGGTGTTGCCAATCGGTTAGTTGATCACATTCGAAGTATGCCAGTGAACTTAATTCGAATTTGATATTCCCATTCCATTCTGTTCCTACTTATAGCATGCAGCATTCCTATGACACACACAAAGTGCTTGCTGTAAAAAAATGAGTAAAATATACTCATCTTACTTTATTGATACTTATATCAGAAGGCGCTAATGTTTCTTCAGGCCCAGTCACTTTCATTTACCAGAATGTTAGGAGCCGAAACTCAAAAATTCGCTCTTCTTTTTTAGATTCAGTTACCACGGAGTTTTCCTGTTTGGCCGGCACTGAAACTTACTTACAGCCCGATTTACATTCGTCGCAACTTTTTCACAGTTTTTTCCGGGTTTTCAGAAAGGATTGATTGGATCGCCCTGGTGATGGTGTTTTAACTGCCATATCTGCTGCGGTACCGTCCTAATCAATTGAGTTTTCTACCTCTTCTGACGTTAAATTCATCGCCTTTCGGGCAAAAATTGCCAATAAATACTTATACGTAACTTATTCCCGTATATTCCTCTAAATGTGGATGTCTCCATTTATAAGAAACATGCTGCCCTCATTTGCGACGTGGCCGAAATGTTTAAAGTCACTGATATAGTCATAGCCATGGGAGACTTCAATTTGCTACAAGTCGCTTAGCTTATAGTGATAATTCCGGCTGCATGATCTTCACTTCCAGATCTGATAGGGCTATTGTATTTTTCAATGAATTATTTGATCGTAATTTACTTCAGTACAATCGTACTCCTAATTGTATTGACAGCCTGCTAGATCTTTGCTTTGCCAATTTTCCAAAAAATTTATGAAAAGTGGTCATTCTTATGACTTCTACTTCGCCTATTCCTCTAGAGGGCGTAGATTTAATTACTTCAACCACTAATATTATTGCAGACACCTTCAGTTGATAAAATCCTCACTGCTTATTAATCGTAAATATTTTTTTAAGTTTGTCAACACCAAAAGAGAAATCTCCCATATATTCTTCGCAAGTTTCTTTCAATCTCTCTGAGTCCTCTGATGACATTGAAAGGTCAAATCTCTTTGTTCAATACTTCCGACGAATTTTTTCAACTGCTAATTTCGATATAATTGTAAACAATCCGTATCCGATATATAACTCGGTTTTGATTCCTAACTTGGTCATTGCAAAAAATGACGTTTTAATGTGATTCCATCATGTACACTTAAATGATGCCCTGTCGAGCTGTGTGCGTTATTTCAATTATTTTTAAACAGTTTGAGCTAATTGTTACTCGGCATTTAGCTTTTGCTATCAAGTCTTGTATTTCTTATACCAACATGGCGTTCGGAAAGGAAGACTTACTGTCACGAATCTCTTAGGCTTAGGCTTTTTCTAGCGGCTTTCGCACGCATGTCGTATACATTGATTTCAGTAAATCCTTTGACTTAGTCAATCTTGTTGTTAACATTGTGGCTGCGCCTTTGTGCGAGTTGTGTACATGCTTTTTTTATTTATTTATACATGAATTATTATTTAATTATAATTATTTTTTCTTCTTTTTTTACTCTTGCTTATATGCCTTATACTAGTTTCTAATATTAATTAGTAGAAGATTTACTTCTAAGAGTCGACTGTTATTTTATTTTAGTTGAGTTTCATGCGAAAGTAAATAAATAAATTTTATGGACCTAATAGAATAATATTTATGGACCTTATTCTAATATAAAAGAATAGAATAAGTCAGGTTGAACTTTCCATTTGCGTTCGCAGCTTTAACTAATTATACTTTACACTCTGCGTGATAGATGTGTGTACTAAGTTTGTGCGCATGTATAGAGCAAAGAATTATTTACTGAGATTGTCTGGCTGGCTACCTTATTTTATTGTACCCAACCTACAGACCGCAATTTATGAGTCATTTCGATGAAATTCGGTGCACTGAAATGTGTCGACTTACGAACGAGTGCCATTGAAAATTGTTCGAAACGGACCGCTGCTTCGACCCTACCCTACATGACGACCTGCTTTGGAAAGCTGCCGTATGCAAATCTGTAGGTTGGCGTATGACATTCAATAGTGAGCCGTAACCCACTACGGCGCCTTTACTTTTTAACTATTGACTGCACGAACGGAATGAAAATATTCGTAATAATAAAATTAAAATTGCTATCACAGCAGTATTAAATACGCGAACCTTTCAATCGGAATAACCTTTTTATACCTTATACCACTTATGATACCGGGTGTACTAAGTTTGTGCGGATGTAGCAACACCCAGAAAGACTTGAGATAAACCTGCATTTCAATATACCGATCTACTCTACCTAGTCGATTTCTTGGACTCCACTCTAAATAAGATTTCTCATGAAGAGTAGGCCCTGCAGAAAATGATTTAACTTTTAGTATTTTATAATGAAAATTGGTTTATTGGAGCAATTTAGCAAAAAAAATTAACGGTAGCAAATTCGGATCACATAAGTCTATTTTGTAGACCCGAAGGGGTGTAGGGGTTCTCATAAAAAGCAAACCCTTATACGGAGAGAAGGTCTTACTTCTAGTGATCTATGATTGAAACTGAAAAATAATATCTTTAGGAAGTTAAGTGAATTTGATAAATTTCGATCAAGTTTCGTGATGTTTTTGGCATTCTTTTCTATGCGGGCTTTCATGCGCTTGCGTGAAAATAATGCCTAATTTTGGGTGTATTATTACCAAAACGAGTGAATAATTGTACTAAGCAAAGTGGTGCAGGGTATCTAATAGTCGGTCTTGCCCGATGTTATTACTTGTTGGACTTGTTCGCATAAAACCTATCACAAATGATCAGATTGTTAATGCACTTAACAGTTTTTAAGTAAATAAAAATTTATCAATTTATTTTTATAAAACAAAAAAGTAACAACTAATCAAAATATTAAAAATCTTATAAATACCTCAGCAAAATGAAAAACGATCTAGTTTTGCAAAATTTCTTAAGAAAGAATAACGAAAAAAAGAAGAAATGATAAAAAAATTGGTCTTAATGCAGTTTTTAATCTTAACGCAGATTTTTTTTGGGTCGGGTGACAAAGGAAATGGTACAAAGTTTTCTTCATCGCGGTGTAATCGCAAAAACCAAGAGTACAATAATTATAATAAAATTTTCAGGAAGCTATGCTGATCAAATGCCAGAACTTTATAAACTTGATGATTACGATAATTGTATATCGAGAACTCAATCCGTGTATTGTATGGTTTATGCAGAGATCGTGCCCGATCATTCGTCAAAGTTATGGAATTTCATTGAGGTTTATTCAAAAGATTATCGACATCACTTTCGTCATGATCATTTATTTTTTGGTATTTGTGTGGATAGATGTGAAATTTTATTGGAGACGCTTTCACTTCCGGAACTGTCGGAATTGTATGATGAAAGAATTGAATCAAGTGAGGTATGTTCCTAGCAGTAGTAAAGTAAAATAATGTAATTAAAATGTTTTTCACGATTTTCGATCGTAGATTACGGAGTACTATGCCAAAATTCACAGAGAAGAAAGTGAACAGCATTCGCGTTATCAACAGGTGTTGGGAAAATGTCTGAATTATGATTTTAAAGCTAAATTCGGCTTACAGTTAAAAACTTTAATTGAATACTGCGAGTACCCAGACAATACTTTAAAAATAAGTTCGTTTTCAAAAACTAAAGTGTACCTCTTCTAGTCAAATATAACGTAGTTCTATTCTTTTTCTCTTAATAGACGGCTGGGCTTTAGCGGCTTATGGAGTTTTTGCAGTTTTCATAATCATTAATGTCTTATCCTCATGCTACGATTATTATTTGCTCCGTCAGCAAACTGAAGACAGTGGGAAGATTGATTTCTATAAAAGAGATTTCAAAATTTCAGGTAATATATATATAACTAAGTCAATCAGATCTTCACTTCTATTTAATGAATCAAAATATTATTTTTCCCCGACTTTTATCGAGAAATGCACTTTTTTTTCTTCAAGTACTTTTCGAAACATCGCGGTATATAGAGAGTGGATCTAAAAATCATCTCACTAAATTTGTTTTTAAGCCCCTACTTTAAAGAACTTTCCTGCACGGATATATTCCAACCAGCTTTTTTTGTATGCAACTAATTGAATTTTCTTTCAGCTCACAAATTGTTAACTTCATTTTCCCTTTATCGAAACTATTATCGTTTAACACGCCCTTTGTCGCAAGAGTATGAGCAACTAAAATTTTTGAATGGTTATCGCTTCGTTTGTATTTTTATGATGGTCGCGGGTCACAGCATGATATATTTAGCAATCGCACCAATTCAAAATATAATAGAAGTCGAAGACATGGGAAAAAGTCCTGCACTCGCCATATTGCAAGGTGGTCCTGTTAGTATGCAAACATTTTTTTTGATAACTGCGTTTGTGTTAAAATTAAAATTCAATGATTTACATTTAGTAACACCTCAGACGAAGATGTCTAAGTGTTGTAAAGTGTTTGCAAAACTGCTGACATTACGTTATTTGCGGTAATTATAACATCTCTACCTTTAGAATCTAGTATTGTTTAATTTCTTATTTTTCTAACAGAATAGTGCCGTCGTTGATCATTTTTAATTTATTTGAGGCATTTTTATTCCAAAATGTCGGAGATGGACCTTTATGGAAGCATGTAGTTCAACCCGATAGCGTTTTGTGTCGTGAATATTGGTGGAAGAATGTATTTATGTTGAATAATATACTAATGCATTATAGTGTAAGTAGAAATTGTAAGAATACATTTTAAATATTCTTGGATTTACTGTGATGAGAGTTTATCTCCAATTAAAGTGTTCCCATCATACTTGGTATTTGGCAACTGATATGCAATTGACTGTGTTTTTTGTAATTATCGCAATTGTAATATCGAGGTAAATGAATGAAAAACGTTAAGAAATACGAAATAATTTTCTTTTCTTCTAGATTTCCTAATTGGAAGAAATGCATTTACGCAGCTATAGCTTTGGCATCTATAATCATAACATCTGCTGTAACATATATTCTTAAACTTGAAGCGTTTACTTACTTTGCACTTGAGTGAGGAGAATATTTTAATGACTCTTCATGTGCAATAATTTATGCTAATATGATGTTCTTTCCTTTGCTCTAGCTTTTATCGGCATTTGTTTGTTAAAGATTTTCCGACTTATTACGAGGGCTATATTCCATTCTATATGAACTTAGGTAGTTACCTCGGTGGCTTTATATTGGCCGACATATATACCAATTATATTAGGTCTAACGAAAAATTGAAGAAACAGTTCACGGGTGTCTTGAAATATGAATTTGGCTATTGGCTTGTATATCTGGCGTTTTTTGTTTTGCTTTCTAGCAGTTCATACTTTATAAATTACGAGAGTGAAAGACCGCCTTTTTTGGTGGCTGCTTATGCTGGTTTATTTCGCAACGTTTGGGCATTCGTAAATGTGTTGGCTTTCTTAGGAAATTTCTTTAAATTGGGTTGTAAGTTAAATTAATAACAAAAGAAAAAAAAGACAACTTATATCTCTGTGCTATTTTCTTCCTATAATTACAGCTATCGTATATCATATCTTTTCTGCACCTGTTTTAGGAAAATTTCATAAAATCTCCTACCAAGTGTATTTATGGCACATACCCGTCCTTAGAACATTTGTCGGCATGTATCGTCAACCGTTTCATGTTAATCCCATATCTATGGTAAAATAAACATAAATGCTTTTTTTTGTACCCATCGCCGAAGTATGCATCAAACCCTGAATCGCGTTAAGCACGTCTGTCTGTGCGTCTGTGTAATGTCTCCTGGACGCAAAAGTGAAACTGTCGTCTTCAAATTTGGTAAAAACATTAAAAATGTACATAAATTCTTGGTCAGTTTCAACTTCGGAAGGCACATAAGTATGCCCGTCTGCTCGAGTGTGCATCTGTCTGTCTACCCAACCGTGTGGTCTCTTTAGCAAACATTCTTTCGTTCGCAAAAATGAAAATATCGCCTGCAAAGTTGCAATTGATCCAAACCGGTCAAAGGAGACGCTTATAACACCCACACGTCTATGCGACAAAAATCGTGAACATCTTTGCTTTTCGCACACCGCCAAATTAATTTCCACTATTACGCTGACAATAGCCAATATAATAGAATATAAAAATTTAGTTTTTTTTTTTTTTTTTTACTCGGTAATGGGTTTAAAAGATTCGGCTATGACCGAAAACAATTTTTTTATTTGTGTTCTCTAATATAGGTTTTCTTTTAGATTATTGTGATCCTCACCAGTTTCCTTATATCGAGTATTGTGGCATTTATAATGACTCTCACGGTAGAATACCCATTAGCTACTATAATAAGTTATTTTTTCAAAAGAGGCAAAAAACAATCAATTCATTGAAATATTAAATACATATTTGTTTTTTTAAATGTCCTATCTATTTGTTGTGTTTTTAGAAAAAGTAAAATTCGTTACCAATACTACTAAAAAAACCGGTAGTAATCATCCGAAGTAGATTAATATTGTCGGATGTTAATTATAATTTTACAATTAATTTATAATTAATGCGATAAAGCAAGTGTTAATAAGAAATTCCACGTATTTGATTGATTTAAATACCGCAACACTAAAGTCCTGACATGAATTATTTAAACAATAATAAACTAATATTGCTTACTCCACATTTACCATTAAATCGAAATTTTATCTTTACTACCTTTGATTTTTCGATCCCTCATCTGAGTAAGAATTCTAATATCTCTCTACGTTTTAATTCAACTTCCTTTTATTAATTATTTTATGACGCTAACTAAAATACATAGTTTAAAAAATAAAGGAAGGTGTGTAATCGCCCATAAGAATTAAAATGTAAATGCTTGTACTGAACTTAAATGAGCTATCGAAATTGGTCATCGGACGAAACGGTCGCTTTTCTTTCGAAATATTCCTAGTTCGGTACCTACAGCGTGCAATCCCAGCAGTTGATGACGGATTTTATGTCGGACGGTGAGTTATTACCTAGTCGACTGTTTCGATCCAGAAGAGAAGAGGGTGTGAAGTCTTCTTCTCCACTACTCCTTTATCCGAAATCGAGTTGGTGTTGCCAATTCGAAGTGTGCCAGTGAAATTATTTCGAATTTGATATTTCCATTCCATTTTGTTCTTACTTATAGCATACAGCATCCGTATGACACTCACAAGGGAATAATAAAGTGCTTGATATAAAAGAAAATTAGTGGAAAGTAAAATATGCTTATCCTTCTTTAAATACTTATAATTACGTGTAGGAATAACTTATAGAAACTTGTAGGACCAAAACAAGTTCTCCGACTTTGATCATTACATCATTTTAAATAATAATAAGAATAAAAATAAGTAAACACTTTACCTCTATCTATAATTATTAGACATCTTGTAATTTCTTGAGTAAAATGAGGGTTCCCACGTCCATTGGCTTACGCAACCAGTAGATAACCGTTTAAGCATAGGGAATTAAGTCAAAAAACACAAGCGTCATTTTAACATTTTTTCGTCTGGGATTTCTGTTGGAAATTTTTTTTTAAGTTCCATTATGCAAATTTTGTAGTTTAATCCGCACATATTTTATACTTAATTGCACTCTACAACAATGCATCGTTCAATTTGTTCAATTGCCATCGATAGGCGCCTACAGTAATAATTCTAGTCGATTTTACCAGCTCGTAATACACTACACCTTGGAAGTCTCACCGTACGCCCAGCAAAACTTTATGGCGATAAATATTCCGCTTCGGAGTTGATGGGTATGGCATACCCACTTTTCATAGACGTTCACCATACGCTACAGACAACTTTTTTCTTTTTGCCTGGCAAGCAATGAAGCCGCGATGTTCGAAATGGCATTTTCAGTCGTTTCGTATGGTAACCATTTTCCCGCCCTTTTGGATCTTACCCATCGCACGTAAACGTCTAAAAACAGCAATTCATCGGCTACTAAGCTATTTGAAATTTCTTAAAAGTTTGTGTTGAGTTTTCGTCCAATAAGTTTTGCAATTCATTGTCTTCGATCTTTTTTGGTCCTCCAGGCCGTTCTTTGTCATTAACATCAACATCATTATTCTTAATCCGTTGAAACCAAAATCGACAATTGGAGTAACGTCACCATAAGCCTCTAAAAGTGTTTGATAGGCTTCGGCAGCAGATTTCTTCAAATCAAACAACAAAAGTAATGATTGTCGAAAGGATATTTTTAAGCGTTCCAGGATTAACGTCTGCATATACTGAATAACTCAACAATACTAAATGGAAAGTCGCTATTTTATGTAGAAAGGTAGAGAAAGGTCAAAATCATCGAATTTAACCGTTGTGTACATTGATACATTGCATAATTTATTATTTTCACCAATAGTTACCGCTGATCAAACTACATGCAACTTAGTGTTTCTGGGTTGAACTCGTAAGCAACGAAATTTGCCATAATGACGTGTTTTGGACGCAATGATCAACTATTTTGAAGTGGATTGGATACAATGCCTTATTTTAAGAAAGGCGTCAGATGGAAAAATTTGTAACTTTCAAAATTTTTTAATAAAAGTCGCCAACTAATAGTATTGAACTCAGAAGTCGTGATCGGCTAAGGTAGATTTTTAAATTCTCTTTTTGGTACGTTTTTATAGCCCATTAAGGCATAAATATATATATATATATACATAGTTCAAGTGGAAATTAGTCCATAAAAAAAAGTAGTTTAACATAAAAATTAATTGTACCACATAGGTAAAATAAGTCAATTTCCATAATTCATATTAGAGCTGACATGAAAGATAAGTTTATCATGGCAAGAACGTTTTTAACCTTTTCCTTACAATGGCTCTTATGGAAAATAGGACTTTACGAGGAAACAAACCTTTCCGATTGTATTGTCCTTACTTGTCGTCTAAGCAGATTTTCAAAAAGTTGAAGCAAACAAGCATATTAACAAGGTTTTTAAGAATTTCGTACAGATTCAAACTTATGTCTTTGATAAAAGGCGGATATAAGCAAATAAGTTTTTTTATTTTTTTGGCTTTATTGGGTTTATCCTTCCTTTCTTTTGATTGATTAATTAAAACGCAATCTTTTCATTCTTTATTTTATTTAACAAATTTTATTTGTAGGAACTTTGGTGTTACAGCTGACGTTTGATAAAAAACTAACTTTTCTTAAGAGACTATCTTAGAGGAAACCTCGGGTTATTCAATTATCGACAGCCAGCGCCTATGTTTATAGTAGGGTGCAATAGAATATCGGTGAGAAGTGTTTACAATGAGTTCATATGACACTCATTGTTTATGAAACTTTATTTTTGTTTAATTAACTTATAAGGGTAATTCGTGAATTTGCGCTTTTTATTAGGATGGTCCTTGCTACTTGCATAAGTAATTCACAACAATATCCATCCGACGAGAGATTTCGCATATGACAAATAAATCATATAATTAGTGTGCGAAGATATGGCAACCCGGACGTTTTCCTTTTTAAGGTCGCAGGGTGATGTTTAGAAAGAATCGTGGAAAGAGGTAGAGAGAAAGCTTAGCGTAGTGGCCCCATCGGCAACATAACTGCAATGTCTTTACCGACTCAGCACTCCCTATAGCTATGGCCAAGTACACTTCACGCGAATCGTCCCTACTCTGGCACTCAGCTGATTCGTTATATTCGCCCAACGAATTGGTTCAGTAGGTTCCGTATCGTTCGTAAAGTCTTTTTGCTGCTGTTTGCGACAAGCATGGGTTTCAAAGGCATTTTTTATCAGGCTGAAGCATTCATTTTTCACTTCTTCTACGGCCGTAAGGCCATAAAAGATGTTCTGTGCCGTACGCCTGCATCAAGGCTTTTGACACCACAATTTGCCCCATAGCTTTATTAGTGAAAATATCAACGTATGGGATGGGAATTAGAAACTTGTCAAAGGTTTTCGAAAACATAGTGATCGGAAAACTCAGACATTCCTTCATCACGCCATGGGATTAAAATAAATAATTCCGGGCACATTAGCTTAATCGCAATGCCTACGTTTTTTTTGTTTCTTGTTGTGGAGAGAGTTAGACTTATCTTTTTTTTTCCTTTGTTTTGACTAGCCATCTACGTGCAAGCGCGATAGCGGTCAAGAAAGGTTATAGGTAGAGAGGCCCGGAAGGAGGGAGTAGTGCCTGTCTATGTTTGACTCCAATGCGGAAATATCAGATACGGTAGGAAAGACCACTACTAGTGGATTATTCCAGAGGCGGGTAGACCGACAAGCCGCGGTAGTCGGTCGTGCGACATGCAGGCATATCCAGGAGGAGTGGTCGGGAAAGCTGAGATAGCCTTGAGGCCCTGGTAAACGACTAAGTTTTTAGACATAGCTCTTTTATCTCTGCAAAACACTTGCCCAGCATGTACCGACGCGTAAGCATCAAATCGCCTACATTATGCCAGTGCTCGAGGGTATCGGGAGTTTTGGACACGTTTTTTTGAGACTATCACATGCACATACACATACACGATATTCTGCACATATGTGGCCTCCAATAACCATCACTTTATATTCTCATGCCTAGTACATCAAGAGATGGCGGTTCTTCTACATTTACAGCACCACCAGGAAAGGGGTTCTGCATCACTTCGTCTATGCGTTAAAAGGCAACACTCTTTTTGATGGCATTAAAATTTAACCCACTAGTTTGATCCTCTCCTGATATTTGTTACGAGACCTCGATTTAACGTATCACTCATTAAACAGCGTTTGCTGCTAGGCCTCTTAGAGTACTGTTGTCTGCAAATGGAAAAATATGGTTTTCTGTTAGACATAAAAGATCGTTGATGAACAACAGGTAGAGAGAAAGACAAAAATTGTTGAAAGTGAATCCGTCGATTACAATTCTTATCGACCGATTACGTAAGAAGCTCGACATAAACCGAGCGAAATTCTCATCGACATCTGCCATAACCTTCCTTAAAGTGATTTAATAAGTTAACAATTATAACGATTTGCGGACTTGTTTTATATAAAATTGTGCATTTACGTCTCAATTATTAACGATTAAGCAGCAAGAGTGCTTTAATTTTTATTTAAATAAAATGAAATGTTAGAAGGAATCGCAAATCAGTCCAGCAAAATATTTCGAAAACAACTTAACCAGCAAAACATATAATATTTGAAAGTGAAGGAAAATGTTTAACGAAATCTCTCTATTGAATCTAATAATAATTACACAAATTTTGCTAACTTATGGTGAAAAATTAAACAGTGAGTTTTTTTTTGCTAAAAATGATTTTCTTCCATAAATGCAAATATGTTTTAAACATTGCAGTGAGTGCTTTTTATCAAATGCCACCAATATATCAATTCGATGATTATGACAAATGCTTGTCAATCAATCCGTCCGCTTATTGTGTAGTTTATGCAGAGATTGAACCAAATCATTCTTCGCAGCTATGGAATCAAATCGATATTTATTCAAAGGATATTAACCGTCATTTCCGTCACGATCGTTTACATTTTGGCGTTTGTGTAGAACGTTGTAAAAGTTTATTGGAATCATTAACGGTCTTTGAGCGACAGCAACTTTATGATAGAAGAATTGGGAAAAATGAGGTAAGTTTCGATCAATCGATCAGTCCATTAAAAAACTTCGAGCTTAGATCAAATCTCCATCAGTAGATAACAGAATTCCAAGCTGCACTTTTTAAGGACGAGACTCCAAGATATTCAGCCTTTCAAGAAATGTTGGGAAAATGTTTGAATTATGATTTTACAATCAAATACAATCTAACGTTAAAAACGAATATTGATTACTGTGATAGCAATGAATTGCCTCAAAAAACAGGTTAAGTCTCATTTAAATTTTTGCAAAAAAAAAAAAAAATCCAATATTTTACTTAACACAATTATTTTTTTGGCTCTTTTTCAACAGATACTTTTGATATAGTGGTTTATAGTATCTTAGCCAGTTTTGCTTTTGTCAATGTATTGTCCTCATTATATGATTATTATTTGCGATGTCAACAGCCTCATTATAAACAAACTTATGGATTCTATGAAACAGAACATAGCAATTCAGGTAATAAATAATTAGTGTTCATTTAAACTGTTTAGAGAAACAACAGCAAATGTTACAATAATAAATAAAATGAACTTTCAGTTCATCGTTTGTTAACGTCATTCTCCATTTACCGCAACTATTATCGTCTAATGGCTCCAATAACCATTTCAAGCAACAAACGTTTACGATTTTTAAACGGTTATCGTGCTTTGTTTGTTATCCTGAATCTTTTCGGTCACTGTGTTATGTTCTACACTGGTGTTCATATTGAGAATACACAATTTTTCGAAGATTACTTTCATAATCCTGTGGTGGCCATTTTCCAAAATGGTCCAGTCATTACTCAAGTATTCTTTCTTTTATGCGGTTTCGTATTGAAAATGAAATTTAATGAGTTTCGTCCAATAACTCCTGAAGTCACTTACAAAAGATGTTTTGGAATTTTCGTCAAAATTTTAACTCTTCGCTATTTACGGTAAGTAGGATTTCTCCATTTTTACTATTTTTGTTTTCTTAATAAATGTTTGCACAACATGTCCTACATGTTTGCAAGTCTCGCACGTACGCGGAACTTCTGCTACATGACGCTCTGCAGGTTATTTACCATATCACCAATTTTTATACTTAACACCACTTCTGGTACGTGGACATATTAAGGTTGTGAGTTTGCATGCAACATCCAGAAGGATTTGAAATAGACTCGCCTTTCATCTTACCGATCGATTCAGAGTCATTTTCTAAATCGATCTAAACTTGCCTGTTTGGCTGTCTGTCTGATAACTGTCCATGTATTCTTGGGTACAATGACACGCAACTGGTGCAAATCGGACCATCGATTTTTTCGATCATTCACCATATGACACCTTTTTTTGAAAAGTCATTATAAGAAAAAATATTATCCTTGTAATACAGGGTATATTAAGTTCGTGCGAACGTATGTAACACACACAAGCGCTTAACGTAAAACCCTGTTTTATTATGCCGATCTATTTAGAATCGTCTTCTAGATTGATCTAAGCCTGTCTGTCCGTCGATCCGTAAGTCGTTATTCCAACTGCAGGTCGAAATTTTTAAAATATTTTGATGAAATTTGGTATACTAACTTACTAAATGTTTTGATCCAGAAACGAATGCTAATGAATGTGGTTCGGATCGGTCCACTTTTTCGACCACTCCACGTCAATAAAAAAAATTGCAATTTCCAAAATTTCTCAGCAAGAGTGGCTAAGTAATAGCAATTCGACATTCTACGTCGGTAAGAAAAGTTTGGACCGGCTGGGGCAATTTTTTGCTTTCTATACAAATTCAGTTTCCAATTTCAGAAATTTCCACTAGACATGAAGAAAGAAAGAATTCGCACCAACAATATTACCAAAGAGCTAACTTTGAGAATTTTGTTGTCATTAATAATGGAATTTATTTGTGTTAGGCGAAACTATTTTTCGAAAATTATATTTGATCAGGCATATGAAACCCTTTCATTTATTTCTTTTTCTTTTGCCTTTTTCTGTAGACTGATTCCATCGTTGGTAATTGTTATGCTATTTAATGCTTCTGTATTACAATACCTGGGCGATGGACCATTTTGGAGACACATGATTGAACCGGAACGCGTTTTTTGTCGGGAAAGATGGTGGCACAATGTATTAATGATAAATAATTATTTCACTCATAAACCTGTAAGTTTCTGTTACTTTATCTTTTCTTAAGAACAATATAAAAGCGGAAAAAATAAAATAGTGCACTAATATCAGTATCTTACGTATACATATGCATTTGCTTTATGCTGATTTGAAAAGCATTACAAGCAGGCAAGAATGCGAGTTGAGTGAGTTTCTTGTGTTTGCACAAGACAGGAAGTCTTCTCAAATTCATCTGTAAATCTGCTATCTGTTTGTGCTCTCCCTTTTTTTTAATTACGTTACTTACTATCTAACCTTTTAAAGTAAAGCAGAGTAAAAGCATTACAATCCAAATTAAATACCCTACACTACTTTACTTGTTCATACTATGACTTGTCCGAATAAAGTATTGTATGCGAAGTTGTCCGGTCCGAAATATATTGAACAACGTTCGTCTTTGGGCTAAAACAGGTCGCTGCACGCAATTTCATCAATATATATCAAAAATTACGACCCGTCGCTTGAGCACAGATTTACATGGTTTAGATCGATCGGTATAATAAAAGGCATCATCTTCAAATCACTTGCAGAATTATCTTCTAAGTCGACCGGTATAATAAAAAGATTCTGTCTTAAGCGCCTCTGCGTGACAAATAAACAAAAAGTGAGTCTACCTCCAAACCTCCTACGTATTGTTTGCGCCCGTTTTAAATACCCTTGTACTCCAAGTGCCCTACACCAGCACTGTAATAAACATTGCTTTCTTATTACTCTCACAGTAGCTTTCTAGAACGACTTGCATATAACTGACCTTCTTTTGTGTCTGATCCATCTCCTACCAAACGATGTTAACTTTCGGTTACCGATAGTCTGTGTTATTTATACCTACATTTTGGTTTACCGATACTTTGCTTCTTTTGTTTTTCTGAGAAAAACATCACCATTTTATATTTAAATAAAAATTTTCGAAAATCTTCTTTGTATCTGAATCTGATTTGCGTAGCAAGTTTAATTCGATTAAAAATATCGCACAACCCGTTATAGGTACGACAAAACGACTGACCTTTGACTTAACTTTATTTAAATAAATCTGTCCGTTATTATTATTAAGTCTTTTTTTTTTCTTAAACGTAAAAGTGAATGCGTCGCTTATAAAGTAAAGCGATCTATAATAAAAAAATGGAGATAAAAATAAAATTTAAAGTTTTAATACGTTTACGCTGCAAAGTAAACAAACGAGGCATTGTAACGTGACACGGGCCACCATTAAATATTCTACATCACTCTATAGTCGCACACCGACTTTTCCAAATAAGGCGTTGTACGGGAAGTGATCGAAAATGTGGTCCGTTTAGACTAATTTCCAATTGGGTCCCTAAGTGGGTTCAAAATTGTCGATGTACCAAATTTCATCAAAATATCTGAAAAATTAGGAACCGTAGATTAAACGCAGACGAATTGATAGACGGACGGACGAACTGAGATCACTTTAAAAACTAATTCTGAATCGATTGATGTAATAAGTGGTGGGTTTATCTTTAGCCCTTATGAGCGTTACATACATTTGCACAGCCTTAATATACACTCGCAATACATGTGATGCAAGATATAAAAAGTTTCTGTGCCACCTAGCTGTGACTTTTCAACACAAAACAAATTAATGTAGTTATGTTTATATCTGGTTTGGAGATGTTTTGAAACTAGTATATATCAGATATCTACATAACCGAATGATATAAATATGCCCTACACTTAAAAACCACATCTTACAAAAAGTGTTGTGGATGGTGTTTTAATCAGTACATATAACCTTCATTGGTGGTACATACGATACATAATTATAATTCAAATTTTTGGTGACGTGCGTTACATCGCATTTGTCCAAGACGCTACGCCTTATATGTATATATATATATATATATATATATATATATATATATAAGATATATAAGTAGATGTCTTAGGTGTATTAAAAGTAATCATGATGTTGTATTTCATTTTAGTGTTCTCTTCACACTTGGTTTTTGGCAGCTGATATGCAGTTAACGGTACTATTTTTATTGGTTTTAATATTAATATCAAAGTAAGTTCATAGTTAAAAAGCCTTGAGGCGACTGCTCTACACCGTATAACATAGAAAATTTGTATAAATCACAGGCATAAAAAAAACACACACACTGTTGTTCGCATAGGTGATAAATTACGACAAAATCGACATTTTCTTCACTCTGTTAACTCAATTATAGTCAAAAAAGAACTTGCCCCGTGGATCGTATCAAAACAATATTTCCGTATTCATACATTAAGTGTAAATGTTACGGAAAGAATAGAAAGCCAACGGACAGACGCAAATAACTAAGCCAAAGACAAGAATTTTTCCCCTTAATCAATGCTTATATACATGACAGTATTTTAGAGGTAAGCAATAATTCTTACGAAAGCATACTTTGATGGTGGATTTACGCAAAGTAAACGAATGAAGAGTACCAACGCATTGAATGTTGTTATCTCTATGCCACCTTAATGCACAGGGATATGCCTTTGACTCCGTAACGTTTCTTCCTGGTATATGAACGTTCTTACACAATTTTTGCACTTTATCACATTAGTGATGATCAAGACAAATGACCTTTTTCTTATACCCGCCACGGAAGAACGGAGTTACAATCATTTCTTCAAAACTTTTATAACATCTACATAAAAGCTTCAGAGACCCCATAAGGATGTATATGTTCCCGATCAAAAGTTGATTCAAAGCATGTCCGTTCATCTGTCCGCCTGTCTGCCGGTGTAATATCTGCGGTAAGCATAAAGCTATCGGCTTTAACTTTGGCAGAAACATTGGTAGCCTCGAAAACGGTCAAAGGACGTTCTCACACTACAACACCTCTGTCAGTCAAAACTGAAAGCCAAAACATTCGTTTTTCATTAATTATTCATATTCTTAAATAAATTATTATTATTATTATTATTATGATAATTTAGCCAGAGAATAAATTCTAAGACTAAAGTCTTAAAGCACAAGCATCCAAGGCTTTCAGCTTTATTAAAAATTCTACCGCTCTTGAGATTTGAACCCACGACCATTGAGTTGCTAGTCGAGACTTTTGCCTACTCGGCTGTTCAGGCGGATTAAATAAATTAATATGTCCGTGTCGTTTTCTATCTGCACAATAATGAAAAAAAAAAAACGCTCACGGTGAGTCACAGCCCACTCTTCAATAGAACATATTGAAATTTCATTTTTTTCGAAAAAAGATGGACGATATAAAAGAATCGGGCCAATTTTCTTACGTGTTTATTCACAATCATTTTCTAAAACGATTTGAGTCTGTCCATCTGTCCATGTAAGTTTGCAAGTTTTTTTTTATCGTATTGCGTTATTGTAAGTATTATATAAAGTCGTAGGTCTGTAATTATCATATACATAACATAGGTACATGTGCAATTCGATTAAGAGGCTATTAGTGTTCAAAATATTGACGAAATCACTTTGACGTATTTTAATCCAAATTACAAGCCTGTTTAAACAGACATTTTCAAGCCCATATAAAAGAGCCATAAAGCGAACAACAATATAAAGACGTGTAAAGTATTTAATGGGCGGTCTCGCTCATTTATAAAGCGCACTCATCTACATTCTCATTTTGATGTTTATTTAAGAACAACTTGATTGATTAAATCCTCGCTTGTTGTTTACAGATTCCCAAAACTGAAGATATTATCCCTTATAATGCTAACAATTATATCTGTAGCTATAACGGCTGCCGTAACCTATATCCTAAAATTGGAAACTTTTATTTATTTCAAACCTGAGTAAGTAGGAATACTCTCGATTCTTTTTTATCTTTTTGTTACGTAAGAGTCTTTTAACTAATAATTTTATATATATTATTTAGATCGTTTCGGTTTTTATTTTTCCTTAATATTGAAGAATTTTATCAAAGCTATGTGCCTTTCTATACTAATATGGGCGGTTATATTATTGGTTTCATATTAGCCGATATATATGCAAATTGTAAAGACAGCGACAGCTTAAACAAATGGATTCAATTAGGTTTTTGGCTCGCATTCCCGGCGGGATTTGGCTTTCTATTTAGTAGATTATTTTTTATAGACAGCGACATTGAAAGACCATCGTTATGGCTCGCTTTATATGCTGGCTTATATCGTAAAGTTTTCATTGCGATCGCCATGTGGGCTATATGGGCCATGTTCTATAAAGCGGGATGTAAGTTATTTGAATATCATCGATTGTATGTATGAAAATAATATTAAGAAAAAAAAAAATTTCAGTCATTTTGTATCACTTCGCAAACACGCCCTTCGTACGCACATTGGGTAGAATGTCATTTCAAATATATTTATGGCATTTTTCCGTTATTCGAGTTGTAATTGGTTCTCATCGTCAGCCAGTGTTCCTTAGTGAGTCATTTATGGTAAGATAATAAAATCTATTCTAATTATTTTTTTAAATTTCTTTAATTTTAATCTTTTTTTTTTGCTCTCTTCGTGGTCTGAAGTTCTTTCAAATAATTGTTGTTTTCGTAATAACGAGTCTGACGGCATTTGCGATGACCATAATACTCGAATTTCCGATGGCAAACGTAATTAAATGTATTTCCGGAAATGGTAATAATTTCAATTATAATCGATTGTCAAGATAAATATACCACTTGTGCCCTAACTTTTTTCTTTTACAGGAAACTTGCAGCCCACCAAAGGGAAAGAGACTGAAAATAATTATCAGCCATGATAAAGTAAAATTTAAAAAAATGTAAAATAGGGGCAGAATATACATAATAAAAGTTAATTTAATAAACTTAGTCTTAGTCTACTTTAGCGTATTTTAAATCTCTTTCAGAACATTTATAGAAAGATTAGGTATCTCTTTCAAGCCTAATCTGTCCATCTTTAACCAAAGTACAAGGTATATTAAGTTTGTGTGAATGGTTGTAACACACAGAATGAATTTAGATTAATCCACCAACTTGTCAGTCCGTCTGCCCGTCTGCCCGTCTGATGCGTCTTGCGTACAATCTATAGATAAGATATTTTGATGAAATTTGGTACACTGGCGTATTTTGACCGAGGAATGGTTCGGTGCGGACCGCCTTTCTCATCGCTCGCCGGATGGCGCCTTATTTTGATAAATCGTCATAAGAAAAAATGTAGTAATTTTCTAGAATTTCGCCTCAAAAATCACTTTGTAGTAGTAGTATGAGAGGGATTCTAAATTGATGTGGAAGCTTTCGATCATATGCGGCATTTCTTTGAATCCCTACCCGTTCGTATGGAAACTGAATCTTTATATAGTAGAAAGGACCAGTTTCTTCCAACACTTTTTGATGAGATTTCGTTCATAATAATAATTTGACATTCAAATTAACCTTATCGAAAAAGGGACCACGCTTGGACCCTTATAAGGATTCTAATGAAAAATAAGTCTTGATATTTCAAAAAGATCTACTTTTTGATATCTTATGACGAAAATTTATCCTTAGTAAATCAAAAATAGCGATTACATAGATGTATTTTTTAGAAAGCGCCAAGTGAAAGGACCTTCACGAGGCAAATACTCCTATGACGGCAAAGCGAACTTCGTGGTTGGTTATGACGGAAGCTATTGAAAAATAATAAAATCTTTGGCATGTACATTATCTTTGCCAAAAATTAGGCCACATTGACGTTGAGTATCCTTCAATATTAGGGGCTCCATGAAAATTATAAAAATAATGTATAGCGTTTCGTGTACTATTATTTAAGCAAAGTGAGCCTTAATCAACTGAAGCGTCGTTGTTTGTTCTTTAGAAGAATATACTCCGGCTATGAGCATCGGCTATGAGTAAAAAAGAAACATGTGTACGTACCTACGTGTCTTTTGATTTAACATTAAATGAAGCTAGATTGCTTTTAGCGGACGACAAAATATATCTATAGCTAATTGAAAAGCTACTGACGTTTTTCAACGAGTAAAGAAAAACAAAAGCACACAGAGAAGTAAAATACACAGTAGAAAATTAAAACTAGTTGCAATATGCACTGAGCACTATCCTACTATATTGTCGTATTCTCCTTTTTTCCTTTGTAAGGAATCGTTGGCAGCGTTTTCACAATTTACAATTCGATTGTCATAGAACTACTGCGGAAGTCACTCTCATCAGGGAATAGATAGAGTTTTCGTACTTATATGGTCCTGCAGAATGAGTTGTTTTAAAAAAAATAAGTGTTTGAGATGAAAGAAGAGACATTTTATTTAAAAAAACAAAAGTAACAACAACATTACAATCGGGCGAGGCCAACCATTAGATATCCTACACTACTTTGGCAAATACAGTTATTCACTCGTTTTGGCAATAATACCCCAAAAATTACACATTATTTTCATGCAAAGGCACACTTTTCGTGAAAGTCCGAACGTTGGAGAAAGCCCAAAACATCACATAGCAAACTTACTTCACTTTATACAAAATTTCATTATTTATCAATTTTCCTCACAATAAACTTGAAATTAGACTTTCTCTCCATATAAGGACTTGGGGTTCATGGTAACCTCTACATATAAAAGTGGGTGTCCAAAAAAAAGATCTATCTGTTACCGTTAATTTTTTTTTGTTAAATTTCTACTAAAAACTAAATCTTTCTCTAACGGGCTTACTACTCACGAGAAATTTTATATGAAGTGAGGTCCAAGAAGTAGAAGTATTTGGTTCAAATTGGATACATTTAATTTTTATATCAAATTACTATCATGCCTATGTGGCAAATATGGTGTTTATATTTCCTCAGAATGCTTGTATACGGTATATAATATATCTACATGGACCAAATTCATTATGGTCGACTTCTTTGTCAATTTAACAATACAAATTAATTACCGTCAAGAAATATTGAATATTAGGCCTTTTTCCATATAAAGTTTATACAAAAGCTTATATGAGAGGGAGTTCGTAAAGTTGCCACAGTCAAAACCAAATTTTTCATACCAAAATAGAATGTTAAAGCACTATTCCTCAAGGAGTATTGTTAAAAAAATTGCGAAAATGACGATGATTTTCCACAGAACAACTTTTCAACATAGGTCGTTAAGCGGGGAGTGATCAAAAAAGTCATCCATTTTGGATTTTTCATCAATATATCTCAAATATTGCGAGCTGTAGGTTAAACATACAAGGACATGAACATAATTTAGACGGACAGACAGACTTAGATCGATTTAGAAAATGATTACCGTAAAATGAATTGGTGTAATAAAAGATGGGTCTGTCCTGAACCCTTCCGGATAGTACGCATGTTCGCGCAAACTTGGTATGCGTTCTACCAGAAGTAGTGTACGGGATAGCTAGAATACGTAGAAGACAATCAAATATGAATATTTAAAAATCGTCAACAATTTATCAAACATTCCGTAATTTATGAGCATTCTTTGCAAGTTTGGGAGGAGGATGCAAAGCTCCTATGTGGTAGTTTGGCTAATTCTATTGTCACCCCATAACCGGAGAAGAAATTTTACAGGAATTTGAAAGATACATTGCAGTTGCATTTACTTTTATATTAAAGCGATGATAAATTTTAAAAATCTACTCAATTCTTCTTTTTTTTTAACTTTATTAAATTGTATCGATATCGCATTGACGACAAATTTCAAGTTTAGTTGAAAATGCGTTATTCATCTAATTACATGTTGAATAATGCCTTTAAGATGAGTGCATGAATATACTGAATTCTCAAAACTAGTAAAAAAAATAAATAAATTAAAGTTATTAGTGAAATAACATCAGCTCAGTGAAGATAGCACAGCACGCAAGATCACATATTCTAAAAAGAAAATGCTAACAAAAGTGTTTAAACTTGATTTAATAATTTTACAAGTAATACTTGCTGGTTCTAACATATTCAGTGAAAGTCAGCGAAATATTCCAACCAGTAGTTATTATGAAATGCCACCACTTTATCAATTCGACGATTACGACAAATGTATAGACTCTCGAATGTCATATAGTTATTGTGTAGTTTACGCTGAAATAGAACCAAATGCCTCCTCACCACTTTGGAATCAAATTGATATGTACTCAAGGGATGAGAGACATCATTATCGTCATGATCGTCTTTTTTTTGGTGTTTGTGTAGAAGATTGTAAAACTTTGTTAAAATCATTGCCAGACTTTCAACAACAGCAACTTTATGATAAAACGATCGGTTCGAATGAAGTAAGCTTTTCTTATTTACTAAGAATAATATGCAATTTGTAAAAAGAAGAAATATAAAATATGCTCTAAAATGTACAGATTACAGAATATTACGCCGAGGTGTACAAGCATGAGCCCGATTATCATTTAGTAAATCAGCAATTGCTGGGAAAGTGTTTAAATTATAATTTTCAAGCCATGTATCAACAACTACGGTTAAGAACATCTATTGAATATTGCGAGAGCTCTGAAGTTCCATCAAAAATCGGTTTGACTTTAAAGGATATCCCAAAATTCACGCAAGATTTGAATTAAAAAGAAAACAAAATCTTGTTGGAAAAATTTAGATGAGAACGTGTTTTAGTAATATTCGACAGGCACAAGATTTCAAGTCGCTAAACGTCGAAATGAATGAAAAAATAATTTTTGCTATTTTGACATTACAACAATACAAAATCTTTTACAACGCAGCGTTGTAATAACTTACAAAGTAGTTTGCGACATAAATTTCTGAAGCCTTTACATCCTTTTTTTTAATTGTAATGTTTTTATTGAGTCATAATGTACATAGGAAAAGGTTATGCACATCGGGCAAGTAACCTCCATGGCGCACTCTTTGCCTTGATGCAGAGTCAATGTGAAAATTGTTAACAAAAGTTCCTGCTAACCCTAAATTGTCAGTTGTCAAAATGTTCTCTCTTTTTTGGGCTGGCAACACTTCACCGCAAAACTGGCGGTAAATTTAAATTTCGCGTAATTTTGGAACACCCTGTACATATATCACATTGAAAGGAAGGAAACGTATATTTTTATTATTTCGCAGATTCTTTGGACGTTGTGGTTTACTCGATCTTTATTGGTATTGGGCTTATCAACATTTTATCATCATTTTACGATTATTTCTTACATTGCCAGCAAACAAGGAACATCCAAGCTTACGATCACTATAAAGAAAATCAATACGGCGGTACATAATGATATATAATTTGACATCCGGTTTTTTTTAAGTCCTTTTTTTTTAATTAGTTAAAAAACTGCTGACTTCCTTCTCACTTTATCGCAATTATTATCGTCTACTTGCACCTTCAAGTATTGAGAAAAATGAATTGAAATTCATTAACGGTCTTCGCGTTTTTTTATTATTCTGCGTCGTAATGGCTCATAGTGTTGTACTTGACATGTTAATACAAACACAAAACCCAGAATATTTTGAGAAATTTTATTATAATCCCGAAATCGCAATCTTTACCAATGGCGCTGTTATTATTCAAATATTTTTTTTCTTCGCTGGATTTTTTCTAAAATTGAAATTCGATGAACTGCAATTAGTATCACCGCGGACCAGCTTACGTCGATGTATTGGAGTTTATTTTAAAGTATTTTTAGCACGATATTTGCGGTAAGTGCCTACAATAAAAGTTATATTGGATTCATCAAATTCATGTAATGTTTGCAAATACAGAAGAAGACCTGCAAAGACTATAGAACTATTTGGCCCGATTACAGTGAAGTCTGTTTACCTTTTTTCATCTCTTTGTCTGAACATCTAAAATTTTGTCATTAACTTTGGAAATTGAATTTAGTACTGAGCTCCTTCTCTTATTGACGTACACTTACATCCAGCTAACGGTTGAGCATGCCGAGAATGCTGACCAAGTTATCGCTGACACGTACCGCTATTCGGGTTATAGCGTCCGTAAGCACAACGAAAATTATGATAAAATAAGATTTGATTGATATGCCCACTTTTTTGGGATTCTTACGAACGTAAAATTTGAGGCCGAATTTGATCGGTATCGCCCCATAAGCATTTTATTTTGTAAGGATGAATTTTGTTAGAAATCCAATAAGACATTGGCATTTTTAATAAATAAGAATTTATTACACATAGTTCCATTACTTCCATATATCCAGTGACGTCATTTGACCCAAGGACGAAGGTCTTTGAAAGTGGTTTGTATCGGTCCACTTTTTCGATTACTTATTATATAATGCATTACTTTGAAGTCATTTTGTAAAACATTGCCCAAGGACGAACGTTATTACAAATGGTCTGGATCGAACCACAGCTTCTACCGTATTGCTATTTTAAAAAGCCGTTATATGAATAATTGTAGGGCGACGTAGAGAGTTTAGCGGCTAGCCGGGACCCACTATAGTGTTTCTATTTGTTTTACATGTGTTCAACTTCTCTAAATTTCTACTTGAAACATTAATTCTATTCGGAAACGAGATTACTCACAAAGATTCTTCGGTGTAAAATGAAAACCTTGCAAGCAACCGCAAATTTTGATTCACAAAATGCGCTTCTTCTGAATAAACTTTTTGACTTTTTACACCAAATAATCCCGACTAGCAAATCAAAGGTCGTGATTAAATGATTTTCATTGAAGTCCTATATTCTTAATTAGACTATTGATATATTTCACATTATTAAAATTTTATTGGCATAATTTATTGCAATATTGGTGTTTGTAAATGCGTTCTTTGCATTTAACAGATATGGTCACTTCATTTCTGTTACTTCGTACCATTTAACAGATATACTCATGCCATTTCTGTTACTTCGTCCCATTTAACAAATGAAAGAGATTTTTTATTAATTTATTTATTACGTATTTATTTATTTATCACTTATTAAAATCAAATCTGTGCTCTCTTCATTCACCGCACATAGTATTTTTTTATAAACGGTGTATAGGGAAAACCAGCTAACGGCAGTCGTGGGTTCGAATCTTAAGTGCAGTAGAGTTTTTAATAAAGCCGATAGCCGTACTTAACTAGTACTTTGACACTTTAGTCTTTGAATTTATTTCTGTGGCTGCTGTGTCCGTATATGCGTCACGCCACAGGTCTCAATTTTTGAAATATTTTGATCACATTTCCTACCCACATGTGCTTTGGCACAAGGATGATCGCTACTGAAAATGGTAGAGATCGGACCACTTTTTCTATCTTTTCCAATTTAAGCCCTTGTTTTGAAAAGTCGTTATATGAACAGCTATGTTAGGCGAAGCGGTATAGGATACTTAATAGTGGACCATGTCCCGCCATAATGGTTTTACTTGCTTTTTTTTTAATTTATAGACGAGCCGCTCCTTTTCATCCTTGCAATTTTCTTAAAACAGGGAATGAATATAACCTCATACCCCAATTAATTGGTTTTATAATGCTCTTTAACAATGGTATTAATAATATTACAGAATCGTTCCCTCATTAATGATTTTAATATTATTCAATGGCTTCCTGCTATCTCATATGGGAGATGGACCATTTTGGCGGCATATTACCGAAGCCGAACATGTTTTTTGTCGAGAATATTGGTGGCAAAATTTATTCATGATCAATAATTTTTTGCTAAAAGAAAGCGTAAGTCAAGCAATTTTAACATTTTTTCGGCGTAAATAAAAACAATGTTTAATTAAGTGCTGTCAACATACTTGGTTTTTAGCCACTGATATACAATTAACTGAATTTTTCTTAATAGTCTTCATATTAGTGGCCAAGTAAGTGGATACAATTACATTAAATCTAAGTAAACATAATGTAATATTAATTTAATTAGGTATCCACAGATAAAAAGGTTTTTTTTAGTAGTATTAACAATTGCATCTGCATTAATAACATCTGTGGTCACTTATGTCCTTAAACTTGAACCGTTCTTGTATGCCAGACCGGAGTAAGCATTTTCTCATACAATTATAAAATAAACTGGTTAATTAATATCACCTTTTTTTATTCAGAACATATCGTTATGTATTTTTCAAGGACTTTGACACTATGTATCAAAGCTATGTTCCTTTTTACACTAATTTAAGTGGTTATATTTTTGGTTTTATATGCGCCGAGATATATGAAAACTATGTACATCTGGATGCGGTAAAAAAGCGATTTACTGGTTCCCTTTTATATGAGCTATTTTTTTGGATTCTCTTTTTAACTTGCTTTGGCCTAATTTTTAGCGGTGTTTTCTTCATAAATCATGATATTGAAAAGCCTTCGTTATGGATAGCTACATACGCTGGTGTTTATCGTCTTGCCTGGCTTTTTGTTGTTATGTTAATTGTATTGGGAATGTGCTTTAAACTGGGCTGTAAGTTACTATACGTAAAGAATAAAAATGTTCTGCACTTTGTTGACTTCATTCATTTGTTTTAGCTGTGTTTTATCGTATATGCAGTTCACCACTTATGCAGCCAATCGGTCGTTTGTCATTTCAACTATATTTATGGCATGTAACTGTCATTAAGATTCTAGGCGGATTCTATCGTCAACCAATTTATATTAACACAACATTTTTGGTGAGATGTACAAACTTCAGATCTATTTAATTTTTTCTAATTTTTTTTTTATTTTAAAAGGTTGGCCAAATTTTTCTTAATTTCTTTATTTCAAACTTAATAGCGTTTGTAATGACTTTAACATTAGAATATCCCGTGGCGCGTATTATCAAATATTTTATCAATAAATAATTACAACGTTTTAATTTGTTTTTCTCTTACCTGCTATTTTTGTTTTATATGTATAGCAAAAAACATTTTTAATGACCGTATTATTAAACTAAATTGTAACATACAATAACGCGATTTTTTTCCACAGAGAGAAAGAAAAAAAAAGTAATTTTTTTATTCTTTCCATCTCTCAGCTACTTTAAGAAAATTTATAATGCAAAACTCTTTATTAGTTAAATATAAGATTGTTATACTTTCTCTCATTATATCCACATAAATAATCGTATTCAAATAAATCACTTTTAGTAATAATGATAACAATTGCACCGTAATATCCTTACTCAAAGATAATTTAAAAAACGTTCACAATAATTTTAAGTTCATCTGTAATCAACGTAACAAACACGGCAATCCAAACTTATTAAACAGATATGTTAAACGACTTTTGTAAGCCTTTATAAAATGAATACGTACTTCTTCTGCAAAGTAAAAAACAAATGTTTTTAAATGAATGTAAATTGCTTATAACGGTATCGGGTCCTTAACATGGCTTAAAATCATTTGTAATTATTCAAGTACGTTGATTTTATGCAAAGCCTATTTAAAAATATAGTTACTATAACTGCTTTTATGTATTACTTCGCATTAATTCCTATTCTCTTTCAAATTTTTATCTCTATTCCCAAATCATAAGTTTATTCTCATTCGTGGCAACTTATTTAGAATAGTCAGAAGAAAAGAAGAAAAAAAAAATTTATTGTGGGATTTCATTAAAAAAATTGTAGTTTATTTCGTTTCTCAAAAACTTTTTATCGTTTTCACTCTTTCTCTCTGCACTGTAAGGTAAAAAGAAAATATGCTTCTTGAGAAGCGCTATTTGCAAATCCCCGTTAATAATCTGTTACTCAAATTTCTGTCATATTTTTTTATGTTACTGTGGTGGAAAAATCAAATAGAACGTAAAAATTAATGAAAAACATGTCTAACCATATGGTTAAATTGCAAGCGCTAGCCGATCACTACAAAGAAGTCCTGGACAGGACATTAAGCGATAAAACGAAGCCGTGGAATAAAGGATTCGAATACGTGGAAAATAAAACCAATGTACCCAGAACTTATCTATTTTTAGGTAAGTGTTTATAAATTGAACGCAAGTGACTTTGCTTGTGCAAAAAACACTGGCACAGATTTGACATATTAATATCACGTCAATACGTCATCGGGCTAAACATAAGGTACATTTACGTTAATAGATATGTGTTCTAATGTATTCTAACACGAACCTTGGAGATAACTACGTGGCTATTAGTGTATTATATGAATACGAATGAAAACGAACTTGCTAATTGTTGTTATTAAGGGAAAGCAAACAGCACATTAATGACTTTCTAAGATCACATTCTTCATAACGAGTGTTTGCCGGTCTGTAGCCGTACCAGTTATCAGATAACTTTGTAGATTTGATTTTCTTAATAATGTTCTTTTTTTTTTCGTTAAACTGGTTACCTTATGACTTTTTCAACTTTTTTTAGTGCTAGTGTTTTTGTTTGCGGTTTTGATACATTTCTCTTCGAAACCTTTGTCTGAAGTTGTTATTGCGTATTTGTATTTATGCTTTTAATCATCCTCTCTCCTTTTTTACATAAATAACTGGCCTTTGTATTCCAGATTGCAGGGGAATGTTCTTTGTACAAATAAATCTTTGTACTCAATTTAAAAGTACACTTTGTTGGGATCAGTAGTGAAAGTGGAGGAAAGAATAAAATTATTATTGTAACAAATTTTTGCCATATCATCAGCGCGTGCAGTGTTTTTTATTGTTATTATTTTAATAACAGTTATTGTTATTGTTTTACCAGCAGCCAAAAAGTTTTTTTCATACGTGTTTGTGCATATTTTATAATCACTCGCGTTCAACCTTCAGTTGTGACGTAGAACAAATCATTTAAACAATTTTTGTTGCATTTAATTCGTCAATGTGTATTGTATTTAAGTTCATATGGGGCTGATCGATAACTTTTTAAGCACAAAGCAACCGAATGCCGAACAAAAGCATAATGAGGCTATTGTAGTGCTGGGCACGGGTAGGTACACAATATTCTCTTTTTGTTTCTAGTCTTTGGAATTCGCTCGTATGTAAATAGATTTGGGAAAAGGGCCACTTATATTGTCAAATGTTTTCTTACGTTGTTTAAATGGTAAAAGGCACGAACCAAAAATCCTTCTTATAGCCTTAAGTGCAGATAGGTTTGGAAACGAAAGGATTATTTTTGAAATACAATTTTTATATTATTCTGTCCTTAAGAATTGCAAGAGAGCACGTGTTAAAGGTATCTATGTTCTGCTAAGGAAACTTGGTCTCCTTAACGCGAAAGATTTCCAACAGTTCCCTTCCGTCCACCAGGTTCCGTTCTAAAGGAGTTAAATTATGGTTTATTTCTTTTTATCTAAAACTTCAAGAAACTTTCGCAGGATAAATGGAATATATCCATGAAACGTCCATGTTAATTTTCGGTACATGTCCTAACATTTCCTAATTCATTGCAGAAATTTTAACAAAAGAAAAATGTATAGCCCGCTACCCCTTAACCTCAAATTCTTTTATATTCGAAGAATTTGTTTTCCGTTATATTAAAAGTTGCCTTCAAATACTGTCCTAAAGTAAAAGTTATAAGAAATACATCTTTTTCATTCTTATTGTTGTTCACTTTTTATTTTATCAAATTTTATACGAACAATGAAGATAACAATTTTATAGGTAGACCTAGAAACGAATCGAAAGAGGAGATAAAGAAGAAAATAAATAATTAGTTATGCAACTTCCAGTCTAGATTGTCTGGTTTGCTTGTGAGCTTGTCTAGCTTTTTCGATATTTGCTTGTGCTGCCATTTCATAAACCGAGTCTTTTCGGTTGTGCTTTTAGTTTTGAATTTTTTTTTTTTTTTTAAATTATGAAAAAGTGCAAAGTTATAATAAAGCGCATACATAAACGTTATATATAAAATGAGGAGTGAGGAAAACTTTTCGAAAATTACCATTAGTTGATTCAAGTAATATTCATAATTTATTTGGCCGCTTAACGGATCAATGGCGATAGCTAGCATTTCATCGACTTCCTCCTGAGTAAATGGCTCACCTTCTTCCATCATTAACTTACTAAAATACTCGGGATCTAAGTAACCGCGATTTTCTTCATCTATAACATGAAATGCCGCCAGCAGTTCCTCCGGTCCAGCTGGTTCCATTCTAATGAATGAATAATAATTCATTTGCACTTGCTTAATTTTCTTTATGAGAGAGCTTACCGACGATCTATCAGAAGATGCATGATATAAGGAAGAAATTTTGTTAAATGCACTTCACCTCCCGAATCTTCCATTTCGGTCTGGGTAATTACATCATTAACTTCTTTCTCAGTAGGGGCACAGCCTAGAAACCGCAACACAGTCCCTACCTCACGAACATCTATAGTTTTATCGCCGACATGATCAAAGATACAAAAAGCTTCGGATATGCGTTTTTCCAATTCAGCTGATACTGAAATTCAAAAAATGAAATTTGGCTATGACGGCTTAGGTTCGCACTTACCTCCTTCCATAATGATATTTTGTGCTCTTTTTTTTTTTAGTTTATATACTTTTTACTAGAGATTATGGTTTTTTTTTTTTTGTAATTTTCTCTAATTTTTATGAATTTTTATGTTGAAATTTTTGCACTTGAAATTTTTCCAATAATAATGACACCTCCTTTCACTTCAAAATTTACTTACATAATAAATGTTTTATATTTTTTCACTTAGAAAGTAAGAAGAGCATACTAGATTTATCATTGTATATGGAACGCCTACGAATGTCAGAGGTGAAATGAACATACTTGTGATCAGCGGGGACTCTTTTTGTCGCTTTATCTTTTATTAGTATTCCTATTATAATAATAATAATAATAATAGTATTCCTAACTTAGCTACTGGTCTATTAGTACAGACTTTTCCCTCCCCTTACGTAAATTGGTTTTGGAAATCATAACAGATACGGACAACTCCTGAAGTCACCGAAAATTTGTTATAAATAACAAACAGTAAATAATAAATTTTCAAAATATATTTATGTTAATAAGTGAAGTGATACTCAGTCAAAAGTCGCTCCTTGACAAATATATCCTCTCTGCAGGCTTTGCTATAGTAACAACCAACCAACGGAAAAGTAAGTAGATTAACACAAAAGGAATAGTCATGTCAAACTTAAAGGTGAAAGAGAAAAAAAATATTTGGCTTATATGTCGAATAGTTCGAGTGTGCGGTGGTTATTCGAAGCCCCCATCCTTCACAAATACATCTTTCCTGCCGTCTATGCTATGGCAACAATTAGGGGAAAATAAACAAGTTAAAATAAAAGCAGTACTTGTATCTAAGTTAAAAAAGTCGGCCTACATAGAATTGTTTGGCCCCTTTAATTTCACCAAACACCACTTTGTGTGGTACAAGGTACATTAAGTTAGTAAGGACGTATGCAACACGTAGAAGGGCTTAAGATAGACACACACTTTTATTTATGCCTATTACACTTTTTATTATACCGATCGGTTCAAATTCATAATCTGAATTGATTTTAGCCTGTCTGTCCGTCTGATGTCTGGGCTACGTAAATTTGCGTTCAGGCTACAGGAAGCAATTTTTGATATATTTCAATAAAATTTGACACAGGAACAAACGCTATTGAAAATGTTTCGGATCGGTGCAGTTTTTCGAACACTTCCCACATATCGAAAAAAATTGTTATTTTCAAATTTGTCGGTAAAAGTGGCTAAGTAGTAATATTTTAGCATTACACATTTCTATGCAAACTTTGGACCGACTGAGGCAATTTTTTAAATCTCCCTCATATAACGAAAATTGAAGTTCATGCAACAAAAAGGTATAATTTTCAATGCTTCGTGGTGAAAATTATATCACAATAATAATTTTTAGCTTAAAAAAATTAATTGTACCAAATTTGGAACATCTCGGCCTATTTTTTGAATTCTACCGTAAAAAGGATTTTCACGAAAATTGATCCTGTGGCGTGGGGTATTCGAAAGTCGACCTAGCCAGATATAATTATTTCTTGCAATTATTGTTATTAAATTATATTCTTCAAGAGAAGGCATGGAATGCACTAGCACTAGCTTTGCTTCGATACATTACATTGAACCAGTGAACTACCCTATTCCTAATCAAAGAAATTTGTTGAAACACGGCTTATGTTCCTTTTATCGTAAAAAATGAAGTGCATTTTCACTTGGCTCTCAGGATTCTATTTTTCATGTGCATAGACGAGATTTGGAAAGGAATCCATCAAGTTTTTTTTTTAATTTTAAAAAAATTAAATTTTAATCTTAAAAGTTTTCTGCAGTTGCAGAGTTGGAGTTTTGTATTTGTTGATTGTAATCTGCTACAGTCGCAACAACTGACAACACTATAGTAGGATAGTAGGCTACATCACTTTGTCTAATAGAGTTATTCATATAACGACCTGTCAAAATAAGGCTTTAAATAGGAATTGGTCGAAATAGTGGTCGGATCGGATCCATATTCAATAACGTTCGTTTTTGGGTCAGCACCAAATTTCATGACAACATTACAAAAATAGTGCCTTGTAGGTTGAACACAAATGGACGGACATAGCATAAAATGTGAGTCTACCTTAAGCCCTTCTGGATGTTGCAAATCTCTACCAGAATAGTTTTTAAAATTTGTTTTTTTTCTTTGAGCTTTTAACTTAAAATTGATATGAGTGTAGAAGACACACCGGACACAGTGAAATTTGTTTTTCTCCGTTAAAATCGTTGTTTATATGGTCAAAAAATATTTGTTTTGTAATTACCACGGCCGGTTTAGGAGGTGCTTAAAGGCCCGTTTTTTTCGCTAATCATGATTTTGCATGGTTTTAAAGTTTTCGAACTTGACCTCGGATATGACCTTATAAAGCATTCTTCTTACATTTTTTTTTTTTTTTTTTAAATAAAACCGTGAATATTCATAGACAAAAAGCCCACTACGTATACAAAAGATATATCCCTCTCAATGGGATAAATGGTATATTTTTCTCTAACCATAGCGAGTATTTATATACAAATGACATTTGATTGGACGACAACGTCATGCGTGATACGATGTTGGTTACACGAAGTATTTATACCAATTAATCGCATTTCGCGACATCTTATCCAAACAACAACAGACCTTATATTAGGTCGCGGCATAAATAACTTCCGACGCAGGTAGGTAGAGTCTAGTGTCCGTATTTAAGCACAGTGAGTCACCGAAACAACACAACACCGAGTTTTTGTTTTCACAATATAGATGAGGATTCAGTTAGTCTTCTGTCAACTGTTTTATGTGGTGCATGTTATGGTCAACGGTTTTTCTGAACCGCTGGAATGAAGAGTCAAAAAGCGCATATTCGACACATAGCGCTTTGGGAATTTAAGCAAGACAATACTCAAGACCGAATGCTGAAAAAATGCGCAGCCTATATGGTGAGGAACTAATAAATGATCGGTCAATTGGGAATTGGTTTGCAACTTTCCGTTCTAGAGATATGACCTTAAAAGACGAAACGAATGCGGGACGGTCTTCCGCCTTTGACGACAACCTTTCAAAGGTAATATTGAGGCAAAATCCATGCCAATCAATAATAGGTATAGTGAAAGGGATGAAAACCTCACAATCAACTTTTAAATTAATTAAATTAATATAATTTTGTTATTCAATGAAAATGAGATAAATTTCTGATAAAAAAATGACTCGACTTAATCTATGTACAAAGTTTCATTTTTTTATATATATTTAGATTTTGTGTGTTCTTCTTGTTGGAAGGACTCTTGGGTGAGGGGAGAAGAGGGAATGTTATTTGGAGAAACCTTAAGGAACAGCGGTTTGGGGTCATAAAATAGAAGAAATGATTTTCTTCCTTTTGCTACTATAGGCTACCGCCACTAAGGTATCTCTGTGCGATAGGTTTTGAGAATAAGAAATTTATTTATTTCCAAGTTAGTTCTGCTAAATATAGTTCAGAACAAAGACGTAATGGGATAAATTTTGTTTAATCGATTTTAATGATTTCATGTTCCGAATTACTACTTACCGACGTGTGATTGTCTGTTTCTTTCATTTATTTATTGCAAATTTTTTCATATGAATAGAATAAAATGCAACTTTTCACATTTCCACTCACTCGTAATGCTATTATTATTTCTCTTTAATATTTTTTTATTGCCAGAGGTTTGGATTTGTGTTTCGCAGAGCAAGTGCTTGAATAAAAGATGCAATGCTAATCTCATCCAAGTAGGATGAAGAGATTTCAATATAATTGTGAATAAAGAGAATTTTTATGATTTTTCATTTTTGCTTTTTTAAATCGATGGAGGAAAGCATTTGAGGGCACTCACTACTCTGCGCCTTAAGAGATCATATTTGCGACAATTGCATGTATACTGCATGTGTATTTAGGAGTCCCTCGTTTAACACCGTGCTTGATCCAAGACAGCGCAAACATAATTTGGTAGAAATTATATGTGTTTTGTCAAATGATTTTTTCTCTTATTTTATTTTTGTTATCGCTAATAGGAAGAGTTTCAACCGACTTTGAAAAAAAAACAAATAAGATCATTATAGTCGGACAGGGCCGCCATCGATACTCTATACCACTTCGCTTAGTACAGTTATTCACTAGAAATAAAAAATGACTCATTATTTTCGTGCAAAGTCATAATTTTCATGAAAATCTGCCTAGAGGAGAATGTCCAAGACATCGTGTGGCAAACTTAATTTACTTTCTAGAAATATGATTATTTTCCAGTTTTATAAAAAACTAGAAATGACATGGTTTTCATGAGAGCCCCTGTATATGTTATAGTATAAGAAATAGATCTATGTGATCCAAATTCCTTAACATTGATTTTTTTCCTAAGTTGCTATTATGGATCAATTTTCATCATAAATACATTGAAATTGAAACCTTTGTCTCATGGGCTTACTATTACTTAGAAACCTTATATGAATTGGGGTCCAAGAAGTAGACCCATGTCATACTACTATCCCGAAAAAATTTTCATTACAAAACACTTACAATTCGGAACATAAGGCTGGACATTTCCTAAGAATCTTTATATGCGGTGGTATCCAAAAAAAAGACTTACATGATTCAAATTCAGATCGCTTTGTCAATTTATTGAAAATGATACCTTTTTACCGTATAAAGATTAAGTTTTCGTAGGAACGTTTTTATAAAAGGAGGTTCAAAGAATTGCTCCACCGAAGCAAATTTCTGAAGCGACTTTTCAAAGTAAGCCATTATATAGGAAATAGTCGAAAAAGTCAACCCTCCTTCGATCAAATGACGTCGGTCGTCGTCGGTATACCAATTATCACACAAAATTATCTCAAAAATAGCGATCTGTTGGTCGAAAACGAGAGTATAAAGACGGACGAACAGGTCAGTTGAGAATCAGTTTTCGGATCAATCGGTATAATAAAAAATGGGAGTCTTTGTGGCTATTACAAACATCCGCACAAACTCAGTATACCCTGTACTACCAAGTGGTATAGGGTGATCGTCATCGTTAAACTCAAGACTTGGTTTCGATACCGTTGGATTGAATTGCGCTATTTTAATGTGTCCTATAATACGGTTTGTCGATGCGACACGGTACACTGCATGGTTTTTCGATTTATGGGATATCGTAAGTTTAAATTACATCGCTGTATACGATAAAAAAAAGTTTCGTAGAAGACGGTTTCGATGCGTCACCGTAAAAATTAACCGTGTTAAATGAAGGCCGCCTGTATACGTGAACCATTTATGCACTGATACGGATATGTGAGCCGGCCAAGCAATTAATTAAATCTTTGGATTGACAAATGATGGCTAAAGAGCGCAGTTAATGCATGTTTAACTCTCGGCACCGCGAACTATTGTTTCGCATCCAACATTAGCGACAAGCCGTCCATCATCGAAATCACTTTTCAAGAATTTATTTATTAATCAAGAATTTTTTCGCGTTTATTTCGTTACACTTTCATGCACAATAAAGCAATAAGCATAAAGAAATTCGTTTAGATGTCCACAACAACACAATGGTCAACACAAGTCTCTGCCAACATCTGTGACTTTCGTATAAGAAACAATATATTAATTAAATCGGTGACAATTTAAAAAGGCATAATTCTTCCCGACAAGAGCTAAAATTAAATTTAGCTACTCATACTCGATTAGCATATTAATAAATAAATAAATAAATAAATATACCGCAAAGGGCGTTCTATTCGCTTGTTATTTGTAACAACAATAACAACAATAATAATAGCAATAATATTCACGTGAATTACCGTCAGCCGTTACGTGTGCTTAGTTTTAAATGCATCAGTGATTTGTTCATATTCTCTATTAAAACAAAATTGAAAATAATGTTTGAAAAATTGCAAAATAAATTAATAAAAATAATAACTGAAAATGTTTTTATACAATACGGTGCCTTTTTAATAAATAAATTGTATATAAACGAGTTTAACGAAACTTATTATAAAAAATTTCTTTTTGTTTCTTTTCCTCTTCTTTTTTTTTTTTTTTTTTTTTTTTTTGGTTTTTTAGGGACAGCTGCATTTTGTGCACTATATTTGGTGTTTGGTTATGGTGCTCAGCTTTTATGTAACATTATTGGTGTGATGTATCCGGCATACATTTCTATACATGCCATTGAGTCCAGTTCGAAATTGGATGATACTAAATGGTTAATTTATTGGGTAACATTCGGTATTATGTCAATTATTGAATATTTCTCGGGTGTCTTAACTTCCGTTATACCTTTCTATTGGTTACTGAAGGTAAAGGCAAAAAATTTTTCTTTCAATTTTTACAAATATTTTACAAACGAATTTTATTTAATATTATTTAGTGTATATTTCTGATTTGGTGCATGTTGCCAATAGAGAACAATGGTTCCAATGTTATCTACAACAATGTTGTACGTCCATATTTCTTAAAACATCATAAAGGTAATTAAAAATTTTATATTCTCCTTTTGTCTCTCCTTTCTTTTTTTTTTTCTTAAATTATTTAAATAGCATTCATTCACTAACATTATTTTATTGATTTAGAATAAAAGAAAATCCTTAAAGAAATGGTTTTCACTTTTAAATCCATTCAAAAATCCTAAAATTAATTCCTTGTGTTATTCAAATAAAAATCGAAAGTGTTTTAAAGCAAGTATAATATTGGAAATTATTTTATTTATTTACTTGTTGATTTGTTGTAAAAATTCGTCCATTTCAAATTCATCAAAAGATTTGCATTTTTTTCTTTTAGCTGTTGATGCCGCGATAGATAAGGCTTTTGACACTGCTAAGAAAAATATTGGTTCTGCGTTTAAGCAAGATTAAAGAGTCCTCTACTACTACTACTACTACAGCTACGCTTCTTCTACATACAGCATTTTCTATATTCAACTTAATGCCTTTACTTTGAAAATGACAAGTTGGTGGTGGTGGAGTAAGAGTTTCAGCAAATGTCAATCTTTGTAAAAAATGTTACGATTTTGCTTTTTATTTTTATATTTTTTTTTTTTTTTAAATTATTATAAGTAAATTATATGAGTAACATTTCTTTTAGTCCACATATAAAATAAAAACAAAAAACCTAGTTGTTGAAAACATTTTGAAAGAAATTACAAATATTTGAAAACGAAAATAAAATGTTTGTTTAATGGAGAAAAATTTAACTCATTTATCGTGATTTGGTTAACGGTGTTTACGTTCTATGCAATATTATTGCTACGATATATCCTACGCCCATCATGTTGTTTTAAATATGAAGGGAAGAGTAAAGCAAAACATTCCAAGAAACACTAAAGAATTGAATAAAATAATTATATACGTATGTATATATGTATGTGTATATATACTTTTGACCTGAAATGAACGACTTATCTCATTTAATTGGAAAAAATCCCCAAAAATTTTTAAACGCGGTCTAAATACTTGTTATGGTAAACAAGGGAACATGAGCTTGCCCCACTTCATTTAATACCGCTATCAGTATAAAGAGCTTCCAAAATAAGGCCTTATATGGGAAGTGATCCAAAAGGAAATTTGATTGAAACCATTTTCATTAACGTTCACCGATGTGTCCAAAGTTCAACAAAATATATCAGAAACTGCGACCTATAGGTTTGACATAAGAAGACAGGATAGGTAATTGTATATATCTGTATATGAATGCCATAATATAAAGTGATGATGCAGATCCAATTTTTTAACTAATTACTATTAATGTATTAAAGTTACGTTAAATTAAATAGAAATTCATAATTTGAATGTTATAGCATCCAAGTCCGCAAACATGTTAAAAATTATACCGTTTACGTATATTTTATATATTATTAATATTGTCCATCGTTCGCTGCTACTTTTTCAAAAATTGCTGTTTATAGACAAGCTCAATTCAATCCGGAATCACTTTCTGAAACGATCAGCAAAATAAAAAGTAGGTCTATTTCAAGTCTGTTCTGTCGGTTGCATACATCCGCACAAGACTTAGGCTCCTGTACCACAAGTGATGTGAAATATAAAAAAAAAGAATGATTTATTAATATTCAGGGCTTTTCGGTCCTATCAAAGTACAAATATTAAAGTACGTAAAGTACATTTTTTCGGATACTTTAAGAACATAATGACGAGCCCCGGCTGCTCTCTCTAAGCATGTATTTTGTTTTTCCTTAACATAACCATCCACCCAAAAAAAAAGTGCTGGATGCTCTTTATTCGATACCTGAATCGTACAATTTGTTTATGGATTTTAAAAACATTTATGGAGAGGGAGCGATTATATTTAATGCATTTTTATATCCAACGATTTTTTCTACTTGATAACTTAAGAAACCGGCTGTCAAGTTTTGTAACATTCATTAAAAAAAATAAAATAGTAATATTAAGTGTAAATGCTGATTGCGGTACGTAGAACACATAAATGTGCTGACTAATCGCACGGATAACGTGGGAAAAAAGATTGTCACATTTTTCTCTTGATATAAGAAAGCCATGTATTTACAAAAACAAACCTTTCTCTAGGCTTCTAATAGATTTATTAGGTTGGTCACATTGTTTTATAGCAATAAAGTTAGGTATCGAACATAGTGATTGCATTAAACATGTGGAACATACAGTTTGTATTGGATTTTGTTTACATGGAATTTGATCAAGCGAAAATGCTCTTTGGGAACTAATTTTTTTTAGCAAAAGAAGTTTGTAATTACGTTTTGGTTTTAAAAATAAATATATAAGTAATTCCAACGATAATAAACGGTATGTGTTGTTCACATAAACAAAGTTGCATGAATTGCCAATACAAACCTATGTAGCAATTACGGAAAGCAAGCCATCTGCCAAACTAAATATTCAAGTACGAAGCAAGATGCGAACGCAAGCCATGCATGCAACACTTGCGTTATGCGTCTCGCAGTTGAACGCATAGCTTACGTTGTTTGCTACAGGAGAATCATGTTGTTAGCGCTTGTTACATGCACGTTAATGAAAAGGGCAAAATTCATAATTTTTTCATTTATTTATTTTTTTTAACAATTTAAATTAATTTCCTTAATTTTCAATTTGATTTAATTTTTTTCACCTCGTTTTTACTGATATTATTTTAGTAAATGTTAAAAACCCTTGCAAAGACCGATTGATGATTATGTTTTTTTTTCATGAATACACATCACCATTTTGATTGTCAAAACTCATGCCAGTAATTTTAAACATGTGCCAAAAATTCGCGGTCTCGCACAATTTCATTCATCAATCAATTTCATTGTGACACTTTCTGAACCACGCATGACGCTTTTATTGAGTTGAACACTGCAATCAGCATGTGTGATGCTTCACTGAAATGTAAAGCATAAAGTTACACGAAATAAAACTAATAACTAACTGGCAAACAAAATTTGGTCCGGTAGTTTAATTTTAGAATACGTATTTTAAAGTGCTATCTACGTTAATAAATTATAGGAAAACTTTAGTATTATGTTTTTAAACTATTAAACATTTTAAAATATTGCATTTAGCAAATAAATAAATATCGTACAAAAGCTTTTCTCGGAATTCTTGAATATGTCTAATTTTCTCGTGATCATTTTTTTAAATAAGATGTTAGGAGAAAGTAGCCATCAGTTGAAATGGATCTATAAACTTGTATTAAGGGTACATAACGCCATCAAGAGTCAAAGATATTCAGGGAATATCTACCCGTCATGTTTAAACTAAACGACTTTCAGGTTATTGTTAAAATTTACATAACAATTATCGACGGTATGAATGGGAATTAAAAAGAATTTAATTTCTATGGACTTCAAAATTTTTTCAAGAATCACTAATGATTCGTTAATTTTTAAGGATTCAATAGGATTCTTCAAGCAGTATAATTCTTCACACTCATGCATCTTGAACGCTCCTGAAGGCTTTCTTTAAGTTAAAATTGCTATTTTTGGAACGCATTTGAATGCTTTCATCCACTTGCCGATCTAATTTTCTAGTAATCTGCGTCAGCCGAGCATCAGCAAGAACCCCAAATGAGGAAATTATTTTTGCCGCAAATGCAGCTGCGATGGCTCCGAATTTTTGATACGTTTATATATATACAATTATATATTATATAAATAACATTCACTGCCTACACTTTCACATGGATAGTGTTTCCACAGAAATAAAACGAAGGCACTATTTATTTCAAGCATAGCATACAATGTTTACCGTTATTCTAACTCATCTCAAAGCGAACACAATATTTTTTATTACTAAACGAAATACTTTCGTTATTTCATTGTAACACCTTTAATCAGTTACTAAATCGGATAAGATAAAAGCATCGTTCATCTGCCTAAAGCTCTACAGTAACGGAGAAATCTAAACCCAGTAAGTCTAGAAAATGTGTGGAAACATCAAAATTTTCGATTGACAGCAAATGCAAATTATACCTTACGTTGATAATCTAAGCGTATCATTTATTACTGCATTTTTCCATATTTTTCTCCTCCACAAGTGAAAAAAAATAAACAAAACCTTAACTAGTTGCGGCTTCCGTCTCCAAAACTTTGTTTTCGACGGCGCGTTGTCGGTTACGCCATGCCGTCATATATGTGCGCGGATGTATGGGCAGAAATCCAGCTATACCCAATAATTCCGCTGCCGGCGTAGATAGATGAGCTCCTTTACCCAACCAATAACGGATACGTTCAAAATTGAAGGAAACCAGGCGCTCGTTGTAAATATTAGGCATAGGATCAAAGGTTCCTACCTGCTCTATAACTGGTTGATGTTGATTTTTGCGCCTCTATAGTAATATCAAATATTTTTTTAATGTAGACAGACATAATAGGAAGTTGTATTCCATACCTCCATTACCACTATATGATAAAAGGGCCGATTTGTACAACCATAACGTACGCATCTAATGATTTTAGCGGATGTTCTCCAAAAGCGACCGGTACCACTGGCCGGTGATAAAGGAGGAACGTACATTTTTTTCAATTTCCACTTGATGAAAATTAATATTGAAAACAGCACAAATTTTCGCTTATCTTATTACAGTGGCAAAGCAATGAAACCAAACACATGTTTTCTATAATATTGCCAGATTCATATTTTTATGTAACTTCAAAGATGAAAATTAAACCAATTTGTTGATTTCATGCACAACACTAAAGTAATTATATAGAAGTGCGTTTTCTGGCGCATGCAGGTGATTTTACTTAAAAATTTTATTTAATTTATTGAATAAAGTGACGAAAATTTTGTGAATTTTGCTTTGAAATGCTTTATTAAGCTATATTTTGGTGATTATTTCTCAAATATTAATTAATAGGCTGCAGTAAACTAAAAAAATTTTTGTTAAAAAATGTTAAGTTAAAATTGTGGAAAAAGCGTGTCTAGAGTCATTGGCATTTTCTTATTTAGCAGCGTGTAAAAGAGTAAAATACTTGTTTGCGGTTATGTGCGGAGAAATGCCATAAATATCTATAGAGTGATGGCATATCTAATTTTTTATTTTGGTAGCTGCACGAAATATGCAAAATTAACATCAGTAATAAATTATGTCAAGTTAAAAATGATATGATTGTGTGTTACTTTTCATGGGTTTTTTTAGAGGAGCTACTTTTAGAGTGTTTTATGTCTTCTTTTTCTCCGGTATTCCGTAGTTTGGTTATTTCCTTTTATTTTCACATTCGTTCTTTTTCTTATCTCAATCGTAATTTTCTTTGTTTTTATTTCGTTCTTTGCTTATACTTTATCCTACCTTCTCCCATATAAAATGCGACTCTGAATTATAATTGTTATTATTGGAAAGAGCTAACAAAAGTTTTTATGCTATGATAGGCTTTTCTATTGAAGAGTGAAAGTGATAACCATAGCATGCAAAGTTATAAAGAAAGCCGAGCACAAAAGTAAAGCGAAAAAAGAAAAACCGAAGCGAACTTAAAAAGACTTCAGTTGAAATTGTTGTAAATCAATTTTTTGTGTATGTAATTAGTGTATTAAACGCTAATCTAAGGTATGAATAGTCTTTTGTTTGAAATTAAAAAAGTAATTATTAAAAAAATCGACAAAGAGAAATACTCCACGTGAAAGTTGGTTTTATTTTACAAAAAAAATCTTTGAAATATGAGTAGAAATTCAATAGAAATTTTTGGTGTCGCAGAAATGTGTTTCTTGTGTGTGTGTTGTTCTGTCGTCTTAATGTGCGTGTGTGTAATGAATGTATACGTGATGTGAAAATTAAGTTCGCTCTTTGTTGAGAAAAAATGGGGAATAAATATTTTTAAAGAAAGAGTTTTAAAGAATTTTTGTAGAGAATTCGGGAAAACCTTAATTTTGCCCTTTGTTTTTTTTTAGAGAGTTTTAAAATAATTCATTTTATTTTATAGATGGAATATGTTTTTGTCAATTTAAAACGGTGATTCTTGGGAAGTTTCGTAACTTTTTTTTCTTGTTCTAAGGTGTTTATGCCCAACATAACAATAAGCTCATTGAACCGATCGCCCGTATTTTGGCACATTGCCTGCGCCCGTGTGCTTACACTATTACAGTAGAAGCGCCTGTTTACTGTTTGTGTTTATGTTTCCATTTTTATTTTTATTTTTTTTTCCTCCAGCTTACTTGTAAATACAGTGTACATAGATATGAGCACACAAAATCGAAGCAGCGGCGGCAGTCGCAATCAAAAGAAATCAAACTCTGGAAGTGGTGGTGGTGGAGGGGGTGATTCCTCAGTCATACATTCTCACAAGAAAACAGATTTAATCAAAACAGAAAAAGAGAAATCTCATCCAACGGTATGTTTGCTATACACTATAACGAATATTTTGGATCTAATATTTGCGTAAATTGCAGCCAACTGCTGAACAACTCCGCATAGCTCAGATAATTGAAGCCAATATATCGGAAGATCCACAGATGCGCGAAAAGGTCTTCACACTTATTGAAATGACCCAGCGTTCCGAAGAGGAGGTGTGTTGTGCTTTAAATGAGTGTGACAACAATTTGGAGCGGGCTGTAGTATTTCTTTTAGAAACCTTGCCAGTGGTATGTACATGATTTTTTGTTCAGTTGAAAATACTCATATATATTACTGTGCCCTTCAGGGGGCATTTGAAAGATCTTCGAAGAAGAAAAAAAACAAAGCTGCAAATGCTGTACAGGACAATGTTGGCGATGGTGAGTGGGTCGATAATAATGCCAATACGGACAAACGTGAGAAGTCACGTAATCGGAACAATAATCGTAATGGTCGCGGTGGGACCGACAGTCGTGGTTGTAAGTTTCCATTTGCTATAACTCCTTAGATAGTTGGCGTTAATGTTAATGTTCCTTTTAGGGCGGGGTAGAGAGGCACGTGAAAATGAACGTAATTCAAGAGGATTAGATCGTGATGACCGCACTAATGATAATTATCGAAGCAACCAACGTGGAGGTGGTCGTAGTGGCCGTGGTTCCGGCTATGTGGGACGGCGTGGTGGTGGCCGAGTCGGCGCTGGTCGAGGCGCAGGCGGACGCGCAGATCGCAATGAATACGGTTCGCGTTACAATGCAAATGATGACCATCAAGAAGTTGAATTGTGGGACAACACCATAGCACAAAACGCGGAAAAATTACAGCAGCAAACGCAAGATGATGCTTGGGGTGACTGGGATAACGAAGAATATGTCGGCTCTCTCAAAAACAGTAAGGTATTCACGACAAGCAATCTACCTAACCAAACGGCAGCTAGTGTGCTTAGTGGCACTGTGAACAGCAGCGGATCTGCTAATAGTGCTGCGGAGCTAACGGCACCACCAGGTCTGGAACACCATCTGGGCACTTCAGTTATTGGTGGCGGAACAACAACAGGGCAGTCGCAGGGATCTCATTTGAATGCTTTAGTTGGCAATGCCGTTGGGGCTGGCTCTAGTCTGGTAGACGACAGCAGCAGTGGTATGACGTCTGCAAATGTACTGCCGTCGGCCAACACTACTCCATTAATGCAGTATAGTGCTGCTGTAAGCAGTACTCCACAACTACAGCAGCAAACTATTGTTGGAGGCGGTAGTAGTAGCTTGATGAATAGTAGCAACACACAATACGCAAATGCAACGGCCACACAATTTGGCGCGACTGTGGACAGTTTTACTAATGCTGCAAACGCAGCAGCTAATTTGGTGCAACAAGTTCAGCAGCAGCAACAACAACAACAACAATTGACGCCACAGCTAAAGACTTCAGCGACTCTATCCGCCGAACAATCGCAGTATTTTAATTCGTTAACATCACAGAGCGCTGCCGCAAATGCAGTAGCGGCCGTGGCTAATGTTCAGCAGCAACAACAACAGGTGCAACAAATGTCAAATTATGGGCAGAACCCTGCTTCAGTTCAATATCAAACCTCATATGCCAATGTATTTGGTTCAGCGGCAACGGGTAATGCTGCTGGTACGGATCTTGCAGCCCAGCTGGGTAGCAATCAGCAGCCGCAAGTGCGGAGGGCACGTGCTAAGCTACCGCCGCCTTCAAAAGTAAGTTTCGATATCCACTAATTTGAGAACTTTACATTACATTATATACATGACCATCATCATGACAAAAAAAGCTTACTGATCATCAAATGTCCATGCGGCACTGTCCGTGGATTGGCTCTCAAAAACGTTGAAAAATTAAAGTAAATTTCAAACAAGTTAGAAAGTTATACTCTGCGGGGGCCAAATCCCGCATACTCATCGCTACGTATTTCATATTCTGTTCTCCAAGTTCTCTTATTTGATACCCATACTGTTATTAAGAAAAAATTAATCGTGTTCATAGACATTTTAAAATTAAACCGATAAACTGATTAAACCTATTTTTAGGCAGATAGTACATATTCGTTTGTGGAGGGTACAAAACAGTTTTGAACATTCTGTCTTGTTTGTCTTATGGTAAATGAGCATGGAACCTCAAAAAAATGAAAAAATAAAATTTAATTACTCATAACATTGTTTGGACGTAAAGAGTGGAGTAGAGCCTTCTAACTTTAATCATTTCTAAGTAACGAGATAAATGAAGTTGTGTTCAGATTACGCCACACTGCGGATTTCTGCTCTAACCACTTTGGCCCATTTTCAATACTAACCTGCGAGCAGAAATTTGCAATGTTTCTATCAAATTTGAAGTCGACACCTTAATTTTTGCGAACAGCGGAGTGCCAGGAACACATACCACGCAACCACAAAGAGACGGACAGACATCAATTCAGAGTTTCACGCTGATCAAGAATATATATACCTTATAGGGTCTGTGAAGCTTCCTTTTGGGTGTTACGTACATGATGAAAAAAAAAAAAAAAAAAAAATAAGTGTACGTTCATCTTACAATGACGGGTATAAAAAACAAGAGCAGTAGAAAACATTTTCCAGAATTATTTGCGATTTAACTGCGACTGAAAACTGAAAGACATATCGAATCGCGAATGAAAAAACCCTGTCTTCACAATTAAATAAATTCGATATGTTCATCTCTGTGACTCCCCAAGGGCGATGACATTATTTTCATGTTGTTTGTCGTTTCAGATACCCTCGACAGCTGTTGAAATGCCTGGTGATTCTTTGAATAACATTGGTTATTTGGATGTACAATTTGGTGCTTTAGACTTCGGTACAGAGGATACGTTCGAGAACATACCTGATAAGTTTAATACATCAGTTACAATTGAAGCTCAACAGCAACAGCAACAGACGCAGCAGCAGTCGCAGAAAGGTATGGTCCAGACGCCACAAGATGTGGTTACATCGTATGAAAGCCAAACAAAGGCGGGTGTTTTGGCACAGCAGCAACAACAAGTAACGCAACAACAGCAGCAGGTATCATTGTCAACTGGGCTACAAGGTAGCCATTTGGTGAGCAAAAAAAAAAAAAAAAAAAAAAAAAGACGAAGAATGTGTATAAGCATTTAATTTTAGGACTCCTTATCGGCGGGTTACACGCAGCGACCGTCTCAGCAACAACAACAAGTGCAACAACAGGTTTCAGGAGTTGGTAGCTCCGGTACAGTCACAGGCAATGTTGCTTTAGATCAATTGACCAAAAACGATCCTTATAGTCAGACTAACAGTAATGCTGTGGTGGCTAGCGGCTATCAAAGTGCCTACCAAGGTAGTGCAAATGTTGCCAATAAAGCTGCCGTAAATGTGTACCAACCATCCGTGGCCACACAAGGTTACAACAATTCTAACTATGGCAATGTACAGGTAGGTATTCAAAGAATTTACAAAATATTTGCAATGTTTTAATTAATTTGTTTAATAATTTTTTAAATTTATAGTCTTCGGTTGCTAATACTTACCAACCTCAGACTTATGGTTCTTATCAACAGAATTCTGTGAATTCGTATCAGCAACACCAACAACAACAACAAGTAACAGCTAATGCACAAGGTGCGTCAAATGTTGCGGCCTCTGGTTCAGTAGGTGGCGGTAGTACAACGCAAAACATTCCCTCAGTTGGTGGCAGCGGCAGTAATAATACAACGTAAGTTGATTTGATTTTAAGATTGTATTCTGTCGAAATCTTCGCTGACAGATGTTGTTTTTTATATTTTTTTAAAATTTTTTTCCTTCTGTTTCATTGTTAATATTATTTAACTTGTGTTGACTTATTGGTCAATTGCTTGTAAAATCGCTTGTATTATCATACTATGTGCTTTGCGTTCTTGTCTATTACTATTATTATTATTTGCTCGATGATCAACCACGTTGTGTCGCCTGCTATATACACAGGGCAAATGCAAATACGAGCTATTTGTCGTCAGCCTATGGATCCCAACAGAATGCCTACCAAGCTGGCCAGAGCGTTTATGGTAACGCTGGTCTATCGAATAATACCGGGTATGTGCGTAAATTTTGTAAAAAATTTTTTTTAATGGTATTATGAAAGTAGTTTTTTAGTTTTGTAGATGTCTTTCAGAAGGGGTTGAGAAAAGCTCCACAATTTATGAAAATATTGCTTTGAATTTTTCTCTGCAAAAAAAAAAAAAAAAAAATTCTGAAATGTATAAATTTTTATCCTCATCATAGAAACGGGAAAAGATATGGTGCTTGTAAAAAAATAAAACCGAACTCGAACCATTTACGTACGTGCCCTTCATTGAGAAGAAACTTTGTCATATATTCGCTATCAAAGATTTATGCAAGACTAATAAAATATTCATTATTTTCCTCTTAGAATATCTAAAAGGTTTCGATGATATCAAAATTAATTGTTATTGAAAAAATTTCACTGAGATTCAAAATTTAAGAAGTAAAAACACTGTAGTGGGACAAGGCATACTGTCCTAGACCACTGCGCTTAGTACAGTTATTCACGTAATGACTTTTCAAAATAATGCACTGTATGGGAAGTTGACGAAAAAGTGGCTCGAACTATTCCGAACTATTTTCAATAGTGTCCCACCTTGGGCCAGATCTGTCATTGTAGTAAAATTTTTTAAATATCCCAAAAAATGGTAGAGTGCGGGTTGTAGACAAAATAAAAAAGGCGGACGGCATGCTTAATTCAGATCAGGAAGTGGTTCTGAGTTGACCGGCGCAGTAGGAACCACAATTGGTGCAGGCTATAAAAATGCTTAATAAGACCTATTTTGTACGTAATAAGTTTAAGATTGTGATGGGGATTATTTTGACGTTCAGCTTCTCTGCCAGACAATCCGAATGTTTGTACGCTACTTAAAAGTGAAGCAATTAGGTATTTGCTTAATTTGCTAATACTTTAGCTTTGTTTTTTGTGTTTCGTAATGTCATTTTGTATTGTTCTATATAACGTTTAGATATTCCGGTAACACAAACACTTCATCGACTCAGTACAGCAACTTTAGCGCTAGCGCAAAGTTAAAGGAGACATCAGCTTCATCAAATCCATCACATTACGAAAGGTAAGCTTATTTGTTCCTACTTTTGATCTAGATTGTTATAGCCATTATATGTTATCAGTTATATCATGTTGTCATGTCAATTTCATATTGATTTTATCGTTTTCTTTCTATGCATTTACATAGCGTTTCATCTGGCAATGCAGTTAGCAACAGTGGCTCGGCAGTTAATGCCGTTACGAGTGCGGTCAATTCGGGTAATGCTCCCCCAAATAGTATGATCCCGTTATCTTTAAATGCACATAACAATGATCAATTTAAATAACACTTATACCTTCTTCTTTAGATAATAACAACAATAATAGCGGCGTCGGTAGTAATAGTCAAACTGGCGCAAGTTCGGGTGTTACTAATACCGGTTCAAATGTGGCCTCGGCTGTTAACGTAAATGCTGGAACAGCCAGTAATAGCAATAGTAATAATGCATCAAATGTGTCCAATAATAGTAGCAGTACTGGTAGCGGTGTTGTAAACAGCAGTACCGGTGCTGCATCATCAGTAGTAGCCGCTGCAGCAGCAGCTGCTGCTGTTTCGTCGGCGACAAATAAAAATAGCGGTGGCGTTGCTGGTAGTGCAGCAGCGGCCGGGGCCGGAGGTGCTGGTAGCGGAATGGTTCCCAACATTCAAATGGTTAGTCAATATATACAGACTTCATTGCCATACTATCAGCAACCAGTTTATTCTTATGAGGATTTACAAATGATGCAACAGAGAGTACCACACGTGGTGAGTTGATGGCGAAATGCAACGCAATATAAACAAAAATAGTAATAGTTCTTTTATTAACAATTATATTGAAAAAGCCAATCACATTAATTCTAAATTATCAACCCATTTTGATAAAAATATTTCCCTTAATTATTTCTCATTTTTACAAATCTAATTTTCATCTTCCCCATTTAATAATCATAAGCTCGACATTTGGATTTCTTATATTTTAAATTATTTAAGAGCATTCGAGGCTCTATATCAACCCTTGACGAATCAGAATATAGCAATGTTTCAGTTCTGTTTGCCAAAATGAATAGGTTTTTTGTGTCAAAAGAGTTCCTATATATCATTGTATGTTTTTTTTTTTTTTTTTTTTTTTTTTTTTTAATTTTTCGATGTAAATGTGGTCGGTATATCAGTAAGAAGAACCTACTTGCTCAAGACGAAAAGTCGGATATTAGAGTGGTTTTGTCAAAGTTCAGGTCAGTTTCTATGTGTGGCAAGTTTCTAAATAAAAACATATCGATAGTACCTTTTCCATCAATATTCCTCTACACTAAAGTACATTGTCATCGATAGCGAGGACGGACTACGCCATCTTTTCGCTTAAATTCTTGATGATTTTTCTAGATTAACGTGCATCTGTGATGACCTGAAAGATATATATTTTTTTTCCTACTCTAAATGCTAAATGTTATGGCTGGATTGAGCTCATATTGATCCTTGGCTATCAATGGAGTATGTTAACGATAAGTTTTATTCCATTTCCATTTCAACTTGCTTTTCTTTCTGTTCCAAAACCTAATCAAGGGCCATCAACGAAAAATTAAAATAGGTTTCATTTTCCTATCCCTAACTTTTGCGAACGCGATTCAAAAAAGGTGAAAAAATGCAGAGTTTTTTGCTCATATGAAATATGCCTCACTTGTCGAATCGATTAACTTTGCTTTCTGAATTTTTTTTTTTTGTGAAAAAAAGTAAAATTTAACTACTTGTAACTTTGTGTGGGCATGGCCGGTTGCTTCCATTTTTCCATTCTAACTTTTATCATTTCTAACTAACGCGAAAAAACCCACAAATTTTTGTTAAGCTAATTGGAGTTGCGTTCAGATTGCGCCACCTTGCGAGCTTTTTTGCTCTTACCAATTTGGCCCATTTCCAATAAAAACCAGCGTGCAAAGACTTTCAATGTTTCTACCAAATTTGAAGTTGATATCTTAAGAAGAGTGCCAACAACAAACGCAACACAGACGATTTAATCAATACAGCATTTCCCGTTGATCAAGAATGCATATACATTATAGGCTCTCTGAAGCTTCTTTTCGGGTGTTACATACCCCCACCTTTTGATGGTGGGTGCAATAAGCAATAACTCTCAGACACCAACTCCACCATATGGTGATGGAAGAATTTAGTTGGAAAAATTTTTAACGAGGCAATCAAAAAAATAAATACTTAGTAAAAATCTATATATTTTTATCACTTTCTAAGCACTGTATATAAGACAATGTCAAATAAACCGTTTTATCACTTTTCTCCCCCTTTGGTTTTATGAAATTGATCGATTCGAAAAGTGTGAGTGCGGCACTTATATATACTTTAGAGGCTTTTCGGTGACTATATCTGAGTTTCGCAAGATTAATATCTTTTATTGATGAATGTAAAGATTCGTGTGAAACACATCTACGACAATGTGAATATTTTAGAGCCATGCCACGCACAATCTTTAAATCAAAATATTGTCTCTCTTTACTATTTTCATGCAAATACCATCTGTGTGTACTTAAATTATATGTTGAACTATCAAATGAACACCTTAAACAACGCCGAAGAGGATGGATAACGAAATATCGTCTTTCATCAGCCAATCGTACATTTCTTTGTTGTACTCATCGCTTTTTATCATTTCATGTTTCATATTAGCAGTTTTTCATGATTTTTGTTTTGCTTACTTATTATTAGAGCCCACATTGGGTAGCTGTTTACCCTTAAACAATATTCTAGCATGGAATTTCATTAATTGCAAAATGCATTGTACTTTGTAGGTAGCTTGATATAAAATCATTAGAAGTGTATGTCGATGACGACCCCTATATATTCCTCTATTTGGAAATTTCGATTTCTGTAAGTCATCTTTCTCACCCAGATACAGTGTTGAGAGAATGTTGACGCTTAGCGCACATAACGAAATTTCACAGAGGAGATTCCAAAATGCCCTCATAAATGTACCTACAAAAGCCAAGAGCGAAAGCAAAATCGAAAAAACTAAACATTTCATCTTTCGTACACGTTACCCCACTTGTGGTATAAGGTAACATTAAGTTTATACGGATTATACGCAACACCCATCCTTGATTACACCGACACCGTGGAAACCACAGTGGTTTAAGCCTGTCCGGCCGGTCTTGTTTTGTTAGATTCAACCTACCGGTCGTAACGTTTGAAATAGTTTGATGAAATTTGATTCACCGACATGTTCTGGCACAAGAAAGAATGCTAATGAAAACGATTTCGATCACTCTCCATATAAAGCCTTAATATGAAAGATGTTTACATAGGTAGCTGTATTAAATGGAATTTTGTAGGGCAATTGCTGACAGGCCGCGTTCCTCTATTGTGTATTCACTTGTTTACTTGTGTCACAATCTGTTTAAAAACTTTCAGGAGATTTTTTCTAATTAAATGGAATAGTAGGTAGAACGATGAGCTGCTGGGCTGTTTTCTCTCTTATTTGTAAAAGCTGTAACTGTATATTATCGTCAGTTACGTCACATTAACCAGTAATTCTTTTTTAATTGATATATTAGACTATTTTTAAAGTAACGAAAGAGACTACAATTTTTCAATTTTTTTTTTTCGTTTTCTTATGTACCTTATTTCATTCATTTGTGATACGATCCATCTTTCTTCTTTTGTCATGTTTACGTTTCTATTGCATTGCATTGAACCAAAATTTAACAAAAAAAAAAAAAAATAAATTTAAAAAAAAAAAAACACTTTCTTTTTATCATATGTAAATAGCTAAACTCGTCCTTATTCTAACAAGTTCACATCTCGCCTTCCCAAAATGAATTTTTGTATTAACACCAACAAATTATATATATTTTGTTTTTGAAAATGAATTTAAAGAAATTTTTATGATTAATGTTCTCTCTAAATGTTTTATAGCAAGGTTATTACGATTTGAATTACACACCCACCAGTTTAGGAGCCGGCCGTGATAATTTAGGTTCAGTAGCGTATTCAGCAATGACTGATGGTCGTTTCGCCAGAACTGACAATAATTCCAGCCCTGTTAGTAATGTAAGTACAACAAATTCTTAATAATTCTTAAGCATAAATGAAAAGAAAAGTTAAATATATTTTTTTTATTTTATTTTCTAGGTTTCCAGCACTATGTCACAACAAGCCGGTTCTAGTGGACCAATGCTTAATGTTCCTTATGCTTACTTTTATGGTGGTAACGTAATGCCGGGTAGTTTTCAATATGGCACGCCAGCCATTTATCCGGTAGTTAAATATTTTATTATGAATTAATTTTATAAGGAAAATATATTCAATTTTCTCTTTCTGTTTTTTTTAATTATTTCAGCAAATTCCAGCCGCCAATACTGCATCAGGTGGTCAATTTCCAAAGCCATCGTATAATACGGGTTATGGATCGACAAATTATGATGCTCTCTCGCAGGCTTCGCAAGACTATACAAAAGGCACTTATCCGTCGAGTGTTAATCAACAAACAAAATCTCAAAATGTTACAAATCCCCCTCAAGCAGGTACCGCCTCAGATATTACGTCATCCATGTATGGTAAAGGACATGTAGCGCTTAATAAAGTCAATGTAAGTAAAATATTCACTTTATTATTTTACATATCTCGCGTTATATCGTCCTGTTTTTTTTTTTTTTTTTGTAGTCGTACGAAAAGCAGAATTTTCATTCTGGTACTCCACCACCATTTAATATGCCTAATACGCAAGCCGCTGGAGGTACTTCGGCTCAGCCATATGGCATGTATTTACCTACCATGCCGGCTGCCGGACATCATATGATTCACCCACCCATACATCAGGTAAAATCATAACATTATAATTGGTTTATTTAAACCTAGTTTGCTTCCAATGGATATGCGATTCGCTATACATCCGCCAATCGTTTCATTAATTATTTAATTAAATTCAGCTTAGATTACAGCTAATATAGCTAAATAGCATTATATCAATCAATTTGATTTTTACTGACATTGTAATGTGCTTTTTATTCATATACTACTTTTTAGTATCATTTCTTGTTTGCTGTATATGTAGCTAGCCTGTGTGTTTATCTCTATGCTTTCCTTTATATTTTTCATTCGCCTCTTATATTAATTATTTCATTTTCAAGTGTAGTAGAAAAATGTGATTCAACTTTTACCGCACAGTAAACAGTAAAACAGTAAAAAATCAAATGCAAATCCCGTAATGATGATAATTGATAGGTTCATAAACATTTTTTACGTAGTTACGGCACTAGCACTTAATCGAATTCGAGATGATGCAATCATTTAAAAAAAAGCCTCAAAAGTTAATGTAAGGTTAGATTTTTTTTCAAAAATAAATCATAAAATAATTAAAATATTTATTCAAATCTTTATTGAAAAGCATCACCCATCCATTAAAATTGTATACGAAAAAAGTATATGGCTTCCTTCTCAAAATTTCGCTAACTCATTTAATCCATTGATTTCCATCCACCGAGGAAATTGTTGCCGAAATGATTCTAATAACTTGTGCTTAAAAAAAAACAAAAAAAAAAAAAAAAAACCCAGAGAAAATAATTGAAAGAAGGGTAAATTTCAAGATCTACATGAGCCTTCAATGTTGGAATTTCGTGAAATTCATTGAACCCGGCATTCTTCAAATTTAGGCAACAAATGTTCCTCAAACATATTTATTTGTAACCTGGACGCGAAGCAATAACAGTAACCCGCACAAACTTAGTTCGAAAGTTTAATTAATTTTAACGCGTAGCACTTGCTGTCTGTGCACGGATTCATTAAAGTTAAAGTTGCATGTCATTGCAGTTGCAGTCAAATGCCAATATGATACTTAAAAAAAGTTAACAGATTTAATAATGATCTCGTGCTGCAATGTCCGTTCGCTAAGAGAACGAAAAAATTTTAGTTTTGAGCAACTTTTCACTACGTTATCCCTTATTTGCTTTTGCTTTTGCATTTCTGTGGTTTGGTAGCATGAAAGATTTTGCAGGGGGAAAATAAATTTCTTCGACAGCAATCCTCATATTGAACCAATATACCTTTTTTGTGCACGTGAAGTGAATCGTAGCAAGTGAAGGTGAATTTTCGAGAAATTGCGTCCATTTTTAATTTGGTTTCCTAGCCATATACATATATATATATATATATATATATATAACTTACTTTCAATTAAAATGAGCAAAACTTTAATCAATTTCTATTTATTACTACACCCTACACCATTTGCAATACAAAGATGTATTAAGTTTGTGCGGATTGTAGACAACATCCAGAAGGACTTGGGATGGACGGACTGTTTGTTATACCGATCGATTTACAATCATTTTCCAAGCCTATCTGTTTATCTGTTTTGGTCCAAGTAACGAATGCTAGAGAAAATGATTCGGGTCAAACACTTCCCATATAAAGCCATGCTCTGAAATGTCGATATATGGATAGCTGTAGGGTAGTGTATTATTGTTAATAGTAGGCTGTGCCCAGCTTTAGTTATTTTACTTGCTTCTCATTTGCTTTACTTTTAAACTTTCAATTCGGTAAAACATTCGGACACGGTTGAGTCCATTTTATATGTACCCTGCAAAGATCGTAACAATACAATTATGAATAGCCCTGACGAGCGCCCTATAATATCCCTCAGCGAATAAGCCAACGATGTGTAATTGGTGACATGACAATACGCGAAAATATTGACATATGGGAAAATCTAAACAATTTCCGAGATGTCGTTTCAGCGGGGTAACACAATATGACATAAAGTTGTTGAACGAATCGCGTAATTGCAAAACAATGTATCTTCACGACAGCTTCTCTTGGGCCTCCTCGTAAGTGAAGGCGTGCTTATTAACTGTTGAGAGTAAAGATCGATAGATTTGATCGATCTTTTAAAAGCGTCAAAGTTGGCTTGTAATGTGCGGGTGAGCTGTAGCAAGCAGTAATTTATTAATAATTAAATTTAAGAAAGGATTGCATCAAAATCAATTTTTTTCAAATTACAACAGTGGTTAATGAATTTCCTCCCATCGTGCCGCGCTATTCTGGCTTTAAAAGAAAAAAATTTTTCATTGCGTTTTTTTTTTTTTTTTTTCTATTTTACATGCACACACGTATTTCAGTACATGTAAATATTTTTACAAAACTTTGCCTTAATTTTAAAAATAATTTTGATAAATAAAAAAGCAGCACTAGTAAGCACTAAAAAAAGGTCATTTATAAAAAAAAAAAATAAAATAAAAATTAGTCGTACTTTTTAGAAACCTCATACACCACCTCATCACTGTCACTCTCACTCATGTATTCCACTCTCCACTGTTATTCGGAATTATGATTACTATGATACTCATTCACACATCTATTTATTAAATTATTTTTTTATATGGGGTTAATTAAAAACGTATTTATTAAAAATTAATATTTATTTTGAGGTTTTTAAAGCGTATTTTTTTTTACTCTATTCTCTAGTCTTTTTATTTCCAAATGTTTGACTATTCTAGAGAAAGTTTTCTTAGATAAATTTTGCACATTAAACAACAACAAAAAAAAAAAAAAAAAAAAGTTTTAAAAAAAAAAAAGCGGAAATTGTTGGATATTTATTATTTTTATTATTTTTTCTTTTGGTTTTTTATGGGACTACGTTAGATGGACGGCAGGATTCACAATTCATCCCGCCGGGTAAGTTAATGTCTCTTACTCTTTCTATCTCTCTCTCTCTCTCTCTTTATCTATCTATCTATCTATCGATCTCTTTGTCTATTTCTTTAACTGTCTCTTACATGCACAAACTTTCACTCTTACATTATATCTTTTAATACATAACGTCTCTTAATTAAACAAAACTACAATTAACTCTGGCTTTTTATAACAAAATTACTTAAAATGGCAAAGTTTTCTAAAAATATTTAATGCTACAAAAGAAGACACAAATAAAACAAAATTTTTTTTTTAAGGTACAGAAGAAAATAAATGATTGTTTCCTGCTTTTGGTAAAAAAAAGAAGTGTCTTGTTATTACAATTTTTTTTTGTTTTTTTTTTATATATTATTATTGGCTTTTGATCGGTTAGGTTTAAAATTTTAAAATTTGCATTTGTAGTCGAATTATTGTAGTTTTGTTGTTATTTTGTTTGTGTTGTTGCTTCTTTTAATTTTATTCTCTTTTTTTTTTTTGAATTTTGTAATTTTTTTTTTTTTTTTATCATTTCTATGCCACTCACCACCCAAAATGTTATTGAAACTAATTTTGTTATTATTCTACTCGCTGCTGCACTTAAAGGTGGCTAAAAATGTTCAAGTTCATGATCGAATATTAAATGTTGGGTTAATTTAATCATGGCCAGTCGCTTTGCCAAAATTGTAAAGCTTCTTAAATTCAAGGCCTCGGAAATAATAATTTACCGTCTTAAAACGGAAAGCCGATAATGGGATTATTTTGTTAGATACTTTCGGGAATTACAACTCACTATAGATGCTGGTATATATACATCGATTTTCTTCTTTTCTTTTTTTATTTGACCTATAATATGGTATATTGTATTGGTAATACTGCACAAAAATAGAAGAAATTAGCCACACCTATTTAATATGGAAATTTGTTTTTTTTTTTTTAGTCATCTTTTATGACGACGACGGTAGTGGGTATAAAAGATTCACTTACAGCCGAGTATAATATTCTTACGTAACCGGTTATGGTACAATGAGACATTAAGTTTGTAAGGATGTATGAAACGTCCAAAAGATATAAGATTGAGATGAACCCGCCTTTTATTATAGAAAGTGATTCTGAATTGATTTCAGATTGTCTGTCCGTCTGAGCGTCTTTTCTCGCATCGAAACTTTTGAAATAGTTTGATGAAATTTGGTATGCGGATGTGTTTTGGCCAAAAAGCGGACTCTATTGGACTATCGGACAATTTTCTCGACCCGGAGTATTTAAAAATGGGGCAACTCGCACTATAATGTTTTTAATTGTTTATAATGACGAAACTTACAACGACTAGAAGGCAAATTCGTACATAGTTAATAAGTAGCTCAGATATTTCATAAGGTGGTGGTTAAGCCAAGTAAACCTGTAAAAGTTTTCATGAAAACCTATTATACAATTAAAAAAAAAAAAGGGGGGGGGGGCGGGGGGGGATAGCCAATCGTTTGCTAATAAATTTATAAAATCTATTCAGGAAAATTAATCTTCGGTTTAAAGAGATTAATGCCACTATGACGAGAGTTGGGAAGCCAAATGATAGACAGTATTATCCACTCCATACAACGGTTAAAGTAAGGTATTTTAGCTACCCTTACAATATATCTGATTGGACCAAAGCAAATTGTGCAAGCTTTAGCCTTGACAATAGGTTTGGATGGGTTAAAGCAAGCAAGTTAAAATATTGCAACATTAACCTTTGAAGATCTAGGAAAATTCTGAATTGATCTAGACATGTCCGTCTGTGTAGCGTCTGTTCTAAACAATGCCCTGGGCGCAAAACTGAAGCTGCCGGCTTCAAGTTTGACAGAAATATCGGAAGTCCTTCCTGGCCAGTGGTTATTTAAAATTGGCGAAAGACCAAAACCTGAAAATTGACGAGTATTTTTTATGATGAGTGTACAAAAATAGAAAAAGTTAAGCACGTCCATCCTATACGGAAATTTAGTGTTGTTTCCCTTTTCTTAACTGTGTTTTTGGGACCCCGGTAATGGATATAAAAAATTCGGTCATAGCGGAATACAATTTTCCCATCCTTCCTAAAATTTGTAGGTGATGACGAAGTTTAACTTATATTCATCTGCCGGTTTTTTTTGATATGATCAGCGATGTTCAGCCTACGGAAAAAATTGGGTAAAAAATTTCCATTAAAATGTGCGTAGCATTTCTCCTAAAGACAAGACACAGACATTGACGTAAAAGAAGCCGTTCAAAATTTTCCAAAAAGTATAGGAAGACTTTCCGATAAGAACGAGTCTCGGGGGCACGTATAGCCCATAATAATATCGAAAAAGTGAAAATATGGATAGCAAGAATACTTCACTAGGCCTCAATTCGAACCGAGCTATGACAGGAGAGCAGGACCTCAAAAGTACTAAGACGATGCAAATGACTTTCCGGTTAGCAAACGATGAGCTTGGAAGCGAAATTAAAACTGGCTGCAAATTTAAACGTACTTCTTAAATAAGTCTTTCCAAGTAACAAATTTTACTTACTGAAGTTGTGGAACTTTTGAAATTACCGGAACTTTCTGAATAGGATCAGTAATATAGTGTATGCAGCAAATGTTAATTTGGTAATCTGTGCTTTTCAAAAAATTAATCCCGATCGATTTACTCTAATACAGCCATAACAACTAAAAAAAAGCTCGAGTTATATACATCCAACTCTTTTTACACGATAGATATGTTCCTTAGAAGACCGTGCAGAAAACAATAGTGCAAAAATATACACGCGACATATGGTAAGTTTGGGAAAGTGTTCTAAAACTTCAAAAAATCGTGTAAAACGAAAAAACTCTAAATATTTTCCCTAAAAGTCGTGTAAAGTAGTAATCATAAAATTCAAATTATTTATTGGTAAAACTGAAACAATCCACTTTCACTACAAAAAGCATATTCAAATTAGTGTACAGAGAAAATTCGGTCCATTAGTACTACATATAAAAATTTTAATTGAAATTAAGAACAAAAAAATTCAATTTCGCAAATATTCATCGCTAGTTGATAACAAGCGTGAAAGTTTATAATGGATTGGACCAAAAATGCTACCATTGGTAGATATTTCGAGTGTGTCTAGCACAATTGTCGGGTTTGATTCAAGTGAAGAATTTCATTTCTTAGTAGTATTCCGAACCACTAACAAAAGTCTAGGTACAAACCGATCCACTTAAGATCACTGTATTCCCCAAATTGTATGTCGTTGCTGTACACACGAGTTTCTGCAAGACACTGTCGAAATTAGAATTTAAAAAAAAAATTGTTTTTGCAATTCGTGTAAAAAAAATTATTTTTTTTGGAATTTGAATTTTTTCTTATTAGTGAACAGTGTTATTTCAAAATCGAGTAAAAAAAGGGTTGCTTGTATATAATCGGATCTAAATTATTTTGGACCTAACTACGCGAGTAGCATTAGTTTATCGCAATTAAATTTAACTTACACCAATAAGCGTTTTCATTAAATGATGTGAATGAGTGAATGGATGAATTTTAATTTTCTAAAAACTCCTGACATCTTGTATCGCCTAACATTTTCTTAACTTAATGTGGTGGGAATTATAAAAAAAAATCGATTTAAAGCGAATATATCATTTTTTCTATTTGTTTTCTCTCGATTTTTTTTTCGTCTTTTTCTTCTTAACTTTGTAATTTATTATAATTTTTTTTTTTTTTTTGGTGTTTCTAGGATTCCAACAGCACTGGCCAACGCCAACCGAATAGTAGTCAAACTAAATCGGCTGCTAAACAAGGTTACTCACCCTCTTATTGGACTGGTCAGAACTGAGTTGTTATCGTTTGCTAGTTGAGCTAAGCAGGCGATCTCTGAAAAAAAGAAGAAATCCATTTTTTTTTTTTTTTCGGAAATCTTATTAATCTATATATTTCTACATAGATCGAAAAACAAAAGAAAAAAGAAAAAAAATAATAATAAAAAAGAAAACCGACAAAAACTTTTAAAATATATAAGCGTATGTATGTAAGTTGCTGTTAGCCGCTGCTGCTTCTTTCTCTTTTTTTAAAACAAACATAAAACCAACAAACAACATCTATGAGAATTGATGTAAAATTGAAGAAAAAAAAAGAAAAAAAATTTAAAACACGATTTTTTTTAACGTATACATAAATATATACAAATATATATATATATATATATATATATATATATATATATGTAGAGAGAGAAAGGTAATAATAATAATAAGAAAAAGAAACTCCCACATAATTCAATAGAATCAATCAATCCTCTTGTAGTTATTGTCTTAATGTTATTCATAATTTTTACACATATTTCTCTTAAACATAATGCCAATGCCACGACGCCATCACAGACCATTGCACCATCAATTGCATCATTTTTTCATATTACAAGTGTTCTGTGTCTCTTCGCATCAACAACAACAACAACAATAGTATATAGAATAGTCAAGAAATAAACTATAGAAATCATTACTTGCTTATACAGATTTATACAGGATATGTGCAAACATGTATGTATATACACATGTATTTATATAAGAGAATACACTTTTTTAAATCATATTTTTTAAATATATATGGGAACTCATCCGCATTACAAACCGCATAACAATGCATACCCAAACATGCCCGCCAGCACGTCCATCCATCCATCCATCCATCCATCCATCCATCTATCCATCCATCCATCTATCCATTCATTCTTCCATTCATCCTTCCATTCATCCATCCATCCACCCATTCATATCCAATTGCACCAAACTCTGTATTCTCCTTCCTTTTACTTTTGCACGTACACATATAAATATATATTTACCATAATTTACACTGCAAAGATAACCAACCAACAAACACAATTATCAAATAATTTAAATAATTATTATTATTAAATAAAAACAAAAAGTAAAAAAAAAAAAATAAATACAATATGTATTGAATGTGTGTATGTAATACTAAAGGAAATTATCGAAAGTTAAGAGAAAAATAAACAAAACTTTATTAAAACCGAAAATAAAAGAAAATTTTTATAGAAAAAGAAAAAAATAAAAACAAAAAAAATATATAAGCTTAGTAAAGAGCGAAAGTGTAATGCAAAGCAAACTAAAAATAAAAAAAATAAAACATTTTCTTCACCTTTAAACACCCGCAAACAAACTTTTTCACAAAAATACATACACTTACACACACAAGGAATACTTTCGATTTATAATGAATAAAAACAGTTTCTCAGCGTATGTTAAATAAAAAAAAAAAAAAAATAAATGAATAAAAATTTATGAATTAAAAACCAAGAATAAATAAGTAAAAATAAAAAAACCAGAAATTAAAAGAATGCAGAAAATTTACAATTTATTAATAATTATATATACATAAACAAAGAAAAACACGGAGAAAATGAAACACATTGTAATCGGTTTAAACTTATATATGTATAATTATAATAACCTTAATATTTAAAATAAATACAAAAGTACGATAAAATTTAACAACAGCAAAAAATTTTAATACTTTTACTTGGTTTTCTATTAGAGGGGATTTCCTCTTTTGTATCTTCTTTCAATTTATCGCGGTTTCTTACATATTTTGACCGAAGGATGGCGGATGTGTTCCTCTCTTCGCAAAGATACATAAGTTGTCCATTCGCCGTAACATCTCCACAGGAGAAACCCTCTTAATTATACATAAGTTGAGCATCCATCTGTACGTCGTAGACATTCGCAGGAGAACCGTCTCAAATTATACATAATTTGTCTACCCGTCTGCCCGTCGTAGGCATTCGCAAGGAAAACGCCCCAAATTACACCTAAGTTAACCACGCCTCTGTTTGATGTATAAATGCCAGCAATATTCAGATAGAAAGCTGGAACTTGAAATATTTCCTGGTTGAGACTAATAAAGTTCCACAATGGAATCATGCGGTCATAGTGAGCAGAGAAAAGCAGTAGTAGATAGTAAATATAGATCTAAAGTTCAGTACATATAATTATGTATATATACGCAATAGCTAAAAATTATTCGGATCCAGTCTTCGCGCAATGAAATGCTTTATAATTTTTAGGTGTTGAATAGAGGAGGATAATGTGTAATATTGAAGTATGTGAAATTAATTTTTCCTTCACATGATCGTTAATATATAATTTCTATTTTTTTTAAAGGTAATTCATCAAATCATCGATCATATCAAAAATATTCATCGAGTATTCATGAGAGTGTATAGCGGAAGATCTTGGATTAAAAGGTTCGACGCATTTGCATGAAAACATTGCATTGGCGACTTTCCAGAATATAAATAAGCTTCTCAAACATCTTGTACTGATAAGAAAACATTGCTTTTTCAATCAAATTGCAACACTGCATTTTTTTTATTTGTAATTGAATTAAACTCGAAAAAAGTGTAGCTTAAGCTAAGGGAACGATTAAGTCGGCTTGGAGTAAAAATGAAACGGTTAGATAGTGGCTTCCGAAATTTCAATCAAAAATTATTAGTCTTACAAACGATGAAGTTCGCATACATTTTTCCGTCTCCCGCAAAAGCAACTAAATATATAAGGATATAATTCTCAACTTAGGCTGGGAAGTTTTATCCCACTACAAATATTCTGTTTCGCTTCCAAACCGACAAATTTCTAGCGAGGGGCACTTGATAAATGGCAAGAGGCTATAGATAATGATGGTCCATATTTCGATTATTAAGATTTTTAATACGAATATTTAAAAAAAAACTAAATTTTATGAAAAAACGAAACGAATTTATTTAAACACCTAATATATGGGAGGTGGGGGACGAAAGACGATTTCTAAAATAAGCATTTCTTGATGAACGGTCCTACAGAGGGGCGTGTTACAAATTTTTTAAAAATATCTCGTACTTTGCAACCTATAGGCTGAACGCGATAATACATGGACAGGCAATGGACAGACATGTACAATAAGTAACTTAAGGTATACAAACGATTATTTACGTGTGGTTGTTATTCTTTACTATAGGTATGAAATTTAAGAAGCATTAAGTAACTGTCAAGAATTATCTGATATATGCTTAAATTCTTACCTCAGTTGCAGCTTGTTCCACAACATCCTTTTGTTCGCCCTTCGCTGTTCATTTATTTTCTGGTTTTGGTTTTTGTCTTTGTCATTTTCTGGCGCTTACATTTCATCAGCAAGTGGATTGTTTTCTACTTGAGTCAAAATGTATCTTATTCCGCTTCGTTTATTTTTTAATTCAAAATTTTCCTTTAACGCAACTGAATATTATTCTGTTTTCATCTGGGGAAAAACCACCAAAAATACGAAAGCGATAAACTTAGCTTTTGGTGAAAATCCACTAAGTGATAGAACAGGTAGAAAGTGGTTTGCGAGATTTCGTGAAAAAAATTTTAATATTGAAAACGGTGAATGGTCTGGAGCTCCTCGAAAGCTGTTGGATGAAAAAATCCAAATTTTACTAAAGGAAAATCCAATAAAGACTCGAAACGCACTGGCAGCAATTCATTTCGATTTCATAGAATGCTAAAGATACAGAAGGAAGGACAAAACGAAAAAATATTGAAGAGTTATAGACCATTTCAAAAATAATTAAATTGCCAACATTTTTGTCTTGTTTACTTTACGTGCTTAGTTAGCAGCTTTTTAGTTCTGTTAAGTTCATTTACTTTTGCCACAATGTAATTAATTTAATTAATAAGAATTCGTAGTACAATACATGTCATTAATATTGTTAAGAAAATGCCATTTTTCATGATTTGGGTTTTCATGAAAATTAGTCTGTTTTCTAAGAAACTAAATTCTAAGGATGGAGAAAACTAAATACACATTCATGGAGCGTTAGCTGTGTCAAGTAGCTGGCGGCTGGCGGCAGGGATTAATAACAATTGGCAGAAATTTAGCGGAAATTGGATTAACAGGTTAGCGAGTTAAAAAAGTCGCCATGAATTTAGGTAATGGTAACTTGCTTACAAAAGGCTATATAAACAGCATCTTTGCGGAGGGTAAAATTGGTTGAGTCAAGAGAGTGAAGTCGTATCAAAGCGCTCAAAACGCAGTTGCAAACGTAAATTTTTGAAAATAAATTGTAAATAGCTTTTCCAGTTTTGAAGATACACAATTCTTATTTCGAAAATAAGTAAATAAACAACGTAAAATTCTTAAAGCACGGATTTACGTTACAATAATGATAATATAACATATTGTAAAACCTTCTCGCTAAATAAACAACATATATATATTAAACGTTCTATAAATCATTGTTTCACACACACATTATTAACGACAGATCAAAAAAAAAAATAAATAAATAAAAAAAATAAATAAATAAACATATAAATGCACGAAAAATTAAGGGTTCTGTATTTATTGACTGAGGGTTAAGATAAGATATATTCTAAAAAACAAAGGTTTACATTAAATAACAGCTCAAATTTTCTTTTTTATTTCAATCTCAAAAAAATGTCACAAAAAAGTATATGTACAGTTTATTTCACAGGTGGTTTAATACACGATTTGTGGATAAAATAAAAAAAAATAATAATTTGTTGGACTACCTTTAGCATCTAGTGCTGTTGGTATACGTCTTGGTATTAAAGAAATCAATTCTTTTTGTTACACCCGCGCCAATTTTATTCCGTTCTCCAAGTAAAGCTCTCTTAAGGTCTTCCGACTTGAAAATTTAATTCTTTGAACACGCCTATCCGATTCATGCCATACGTTTTGAAGTACATTCAAATCTGGTGATCGGAAAGTAGAATAGGGACGTTGTAAAGTACCCACTCCTTTACAAAGGGAGATATATGCATCGGATTGTTATCCTGCTAGAAGGATCATTTGCCAGAAAGATTCATTTTAATTACAGAAGTCTTCAATTTGGCTCTCAAATTGAAACAAACCCTGACAGATTATCCGCTGCGCTTTATAGTTGGTAATAAATTTTGGATTGTCATAGCTATATCATGTTTCCTCCATACTTTTTATTTAGATTCGCCACTAAAAATTACGTTTTTCCCAAAATTTATGTCATTTTTATGGAGTTTTGCAAGATCGAGACGCTTCACCAGGATCGTTGCGCTTATGAAGGTTTTTCTAGGAATGTGGTTACGAAAATTGTTGGCTTTTAAAACATTTCAAACGGTTTCGCGAGGAATATTAATTTGCTTATATTTTTTTAGGTCTTTTAGAGTATTCCCCTTCTTTTGTGTTCATTTGTTTCTGGTAATATTTCGTTTTTCATACTCTGTAAGTTTGTTTGGTCGACCTGATCGGTGCTTATTTTCAGTGGTATTTTTGTTCTTGTTACTTCTTAAAATATTTTTTACCAGAGCACAATAAATTTCAATTGTTTTTTCTATTTCTCCGTACGACGTTTATTCACTTCTTTATTTTATAATTTGCATTAATCTCGTGAGAAATTCCTTTGCATTTTTGTATGTTTTGTGACATTTTAAGGAAAAGAAATAATGAACTGACTTTGATTTATAAATTGTTATTTAAATGCACAAAAACCAAGTACCGTTAGTTAACGGTATTTAGTTAAAAAATTTTTTTTTAATACTTCTATTGATTCGTCACTGTATTATGTTTTATTGTAGAAGTTTTCGAAATTGATCTATATTTTTAATTTATAACTCTATCTTAAATCAAAATTATATATTTATTTAATAACATAAGTTTCAAGTAAGCTTGTTACATTCTTTACATCAAGTAAGCTTTTTACATTCTTGTCTGGCTTGTTATTTTCACACCCACCCTAGAGATGACATTTTTTTTTTTTTTTTAATTCTCTTATCGATAACTATTGGTTATTACATTATAACATTGAAATCTTAATAATCTACACAAAGAATCAAAAGAATCTCAAAGAATTCGTCATCTGAAAAAAACTGTTGTATATATTGAAAAAAGATACAAATTCGCTATGCAGGACACGAATCCTGATTTATATGAGGAAATTAAATTATTTCGCAACGCACGGGAACGTGAGAAATATGATAATATGGCTGATTTATATGCAATCATCAATACATTACAACAACTAGAAAAGGCTTATATACGGGATTGCATTACTCCTCAAGAATACACAGCAGCATGTTCGAAATACTTGGTGCAATATAAAGTTGCCTTTAAGCAAGTACAAGGTGATGATTATCCAACAGTAGATACGTTCGTTAAAAAGTTTCGATTAGATTGTCCAGCAGCACTTGAACGCATTCGTGAAGACCGTCCAATAACGATAAAAGATGATAAAGGCAATACGTCAAAGTGTATAGCGGAAATAGTTTCATTGTTTATAACAATAATGGATAAATTACGTTTAAAAATGAATACAATGGACGCCTTACAAATGGATGTAAAAGATTTGACAGATAACATGAATCGCCTCTCATTAATACCAAAAGATTTCGAGGCTAGGGTTAAAGTGGAATCATGGCTGTCTACGTTAAATGAAATGCAAGCATCTGATGAATTAAGCGAAGCTCAAGTAAGGCAATTTCTATTCGACTTGGAATCTGCCTATGCAGATTTCACTAAATTACTTCACAGCCAGTAGAAATAATGGCCATAATAATAAAATACTCGCATGTATTCGTCTAATCAAACTCTGTGTGAAGAAGTATTAGATTTAGATTTCTTTTATAAAATATTTTCTTTTTTTTCTTTTTTTTGTAAAATAATATTTAAATGCATAATTTAAAATTTAAGGACATTAAAAAAATTTATAGTCTAAAAGAGAATATGATGTACGGGAAGGGCATTGCTGTTGACGTTGGAAATTTTACTTTTAAGTTATCTTTTTAAATCGACACAACTCGCAATTGATATGATTAGTTTCCTCTATCGCTTGTAGAATGATTTGATAAGACAAGGCCAATGACAAAGAAAATAATTTTGGTGTTCAGAACGAATACTTATACTTATGTTTTGATTTGGTCATTTATATTAAGTAATACTCTCAAAAATCAAAACAAGAATATTATAGTAGGGCAAGGCCGACATTTAGGTGCCCTACGCGCCATTTCCTGAACATACCGCAAATTATTTATTGTTTTTATACAAATGGATAATTTTGATGGAAGTCCTCATCTTGGAGGATACTTAAAGCGTCAACTAAAGCGGTTTAAAATTTGGAACAACGTCGATTGTCGTTTGTCAAAAATTTTCTTGTTTTCTAATTGATTCCGTCATAACAAAAAAGGACCCTATTTAAACTCTCTATGGACAATTTACAAAGGACCAGTTTTCATCATAAAGTACCAGCATCTATATATAATAGGGTTACATTGTCCAAATTCCGAAAGATTAATTCTTATATCAAATTGTTATTATGAACAAATTTACATCAAGAAGTATTGAAAAAATTAACTGTTTTTTTTATCATGGAGAGCTTCAATTTCCATGGGAATTGTTATATGGCAAGGGGTTCAACAAACTGACCCATCGTTTACGGTTTCCACACCCACTTAGAAAGGCAGAATACTAGATATACTATTGCTAAGCGACTTCTCAAAGTAAAGGGGGGTGGTCGAGGAAGTAGTTCGATCCGAATCATTTGCAATAACTTTCCACATTCCATTAAAATGTTTCGGAAGTTTGAGAACTGGGACCTGTAGCTTCAACACAAAGTTATAGGAGCATACATCAGATGAACAGACAAGTTTAGAACGTATCTAACACCTAGAAAGACTTTGGATAGACCCACATTTTATTATATTCTAAATCGATCGGTGGGGTTTAACTCAAGTCCTTCGGGGTGTTACATAAGTCCACGCAAAGTGCTCTTGCACCATAAGTCATATAGGTTATAAACATTACTGGGAGCAAAACATGCTTCATAAGCATAAGCGTATTAATATATAACCTTAACGTGAGGTGAATTGCGCTACTGATACAATACAAATATTTGAGTTATTATTGTAATGTTTGAGATAACTTTGTATTCATTGCACTACTTACAAATTAAATGTTCAATATATCTATATATATATATATAAGTATATATATATATAGTTTTTGATATCTGCTTGAACCGGATGAAATATGTATTTGTGAACAAAGATACGTGATCGTAATTGTGAGATCAATAAACACACAAACGGATAAGGGTAAATTAATTTCGCCGCTTACGTCGATTAAAAATATACTTTTCTTTGTTTTCATTATTTATAAGTAATTACTAAATCATAAGAAGCTGTCGCGCGGTAAAAAACCAAAATAAATTCGGAAATAATAAAATAAGTAATAAAAGTCTACGGTGCATAATTTAAATGATTTGATGTCGTTATCTCCACGTGCTATAACAGTAAAAACACTTGTAAAAATATTTATTAAATTAAAGTTTTATTGGTTGGTAGCAGGGAATTAGAAAAGGGAATGTGTTTGGATTTCAAGTTTCATTCAAAAAAAAAATGAAAGGCATTTCATTAACAGTCTTGTGTGTTGTGTTTAAATAATTAAAATCAAAACTTCATATATTAAAAAAAAAAAAATGAGTGTAAAAAACGGCGAATCGCGAATGCAAGTAGGTCTACAATTTTATTTATTTTTGTCGGATCTTCCTTGTGTGTTCTCTTTTTTTTTTTGCTTTATAAATTAATTAAGTAATGAATAATTTAATAAGTAAGTAATAATTTAAATAATCACCAGCACGCTACGTTAAAGGTATTTACAATAACTGAAAGTTCTACTTATAAGGTTTATTTTGTGAGCGAGTCTTTTATTGTTGTAATGTCTTGTTGCTTTTCATTAGAATACCACAGATTGTTCCACTAATTTATAACCTTGGCCATTAAAACTTTTTGGTGGATAGCATACAAAAAGACAAAGCTGCAGCATAGATAAAATGCAGCCCAAAAAGTTAGGAAGCTTAAAACATAAAATGTATATACATTAGCGAAGACAAACGAAATTAATTTGTAATTTCTTACTTGAATAAATGTATCCGATATAATGATGCCGTAGACTAACCATTGTATTGAGACTAAAAACGACATTATTATCATAGGAAATGGCAAACTTTCAGAATTCTTAATCCGTATAACATGTAGTAGGTTGATTAATGGCGCAGCGAAAAAGCAAACCGTTACTATGCAGCAAACAATGCCTGAAATACAAAAAAAAAAAAAGATAAGTAAATTTTTAATAAGAATTAAATTTGCAATTTTTACAATTACCCATAAACTTTTGTGATTGCTGTGTATCCATTAGACTATTGTCGTACAATATGATTCCAAACAAAGCCAATACTATAAACAGAAATTGTTTAACATGACTCTTCTTATTGACTGTAATCACGTAGTATATCAAAGTGTATATAAAAAACAGGCAAACACCGACGATGTTAACCAAGACAACGCTATTTTCGCTGCTTAATATCCCGTAATGTATCCAATATCCGCATCTTAAAGATTGTGTGTGAAGTCATAAAAAAATTATCCATCAATATATATATTTGTAAATAGTTTACGATAAAAATCCACATATAAAAGGGAATCCTGAAGAGTCACCAGTACTTTTTTTTTTAACGTATTTCAGGCAAATTAGTGCTCCTGATAAGTATTGCAAAATTGTAGTAATTACGGCGGTAATCTCCAATAAAGATATAAATCCTTGAGCGTTATGCATATTTTAATTATATTTATACTGTTATCATCTTTTATTAGATTATAAATATCATAAAAATTATTCAATTAATCTTTGTTTACTTATAATAATAATAATATAAAAGAAATTATCTACAAATACTTTGTAATTTTCTTCTAAAATTTCTACGTCAACATAAATATATTTAGCTTCTTTTTATTACTTATCATTCATTGAAAATTATTAGCATCTCAAAGTGCGTAGGAAGTTGCCAGGCCAGTTTCACAAACGCTGAGAAGGAGAGATAAATAGAATTTTATGCAGTACTAGGACAAATTTAAATTTTTGTTCAGTCAGTATACTGGCTAATTGAATAAGTCTTTTTCGTTTCATATTTTACTTGATACCATTGACTTCATGTGGTAAGAGAGAATACACATCAACATTACCTTACCTAAATAATTTTTGCTCTTAGTTGTGACAGTTGCTTTTACAGGACTGCAGGGTCCGTCTTTTGATACTACTTCGCATAACGGCAATGTGTTCAAAAACTCGTTAATCGGTTAATCGGTATTTCCAACCTTTGTAAAGTTCCGCTTACAAGTTTTGGTAAGTTTAGTAAATTTCAATAAAAGTTTAAGAAAATGTTTACAGGCATTTTACAAAAGTAATTGAAACGATTATAATTCGGTAACTATTAACTAAGAGCTTAATTTCCCAGAACTTGCGCTGCTGTTTCCGCTATGACATTTCGTGAAGCTAATGTTTTCAATCTAGCAATAGACGACATGGAGGAAGAAAGCAACTGAAAGAATCTTAAAAATGTTTAGGTTTGTGTTCATGTAAGCAATAGGTAAAAATGGCGATACTCTCTCCTTTCCAGATTCGAGCAAAATAACATTTTACACTAATCTCCTCTCAGAGCAAACAAAAGTTTAATCGCTGATGGCGCCAAGTATTTAAATGTTAGAAAATTTCTGTTCCGTTCTGTTAGTGAAACTTTAGTGAAAATAATTTAGTACAACAAAACATGCAATACGCAATTAAGATTTCGGTTAACCCGCATAAATACAAATTAATAGTGTACACTTACAATCTCTCAATCTAATCTTTGCACGATAACGATGAGTAAATCTTGCTCCCATTTTTCTTCTCCAGTTCGTTTTGTTAATAAGAATTTTGAAACACAAAATTCGACGAGCGTAAATCAGAGATGTTAAGATATGTTAAAAGCAACGTCAAATGTTTAATTTTTTTTGTTTTTCGACAATACTTTTTGAACTATGAATATCTGTTGAAAAGAGATCAGCAATTTTCGGTCTTTATATATTACATTACTGCACTTTTTTAAGTAAAGCAAACTGGAAAATTGCCCACGTTTTTTGTGGTTTGAAGTGAAGGACTTTAGTATGAAAAGATATGAGTATGATGGTCTAATTAAAGCGTTTGGTATGAAAGCATATGAGTTTGATGGTGTAATCAAAGCGTTTGGTATGAAACGGCCTAAGTATGATTTAGAGACTTTGATATGAAACGGCGTGGGTATGATGGTACAAGACTTGAGTATGATTTAGAGCCTTTGGTATGAAAAGACTGAAGTATGACCATCAGCATGTATGATGGTATGGGTAGTATCATGAAAAGAATCTGATGTCTTTTGTGTTTTTTTGCGAATTGGATTAAATCAAGTGCTGCTTTTGCGTAAATGCGCGTCAGCCACGTTAAAAACTTCCTTCCACATTAAGACTATTGAAAAATATTAGCTTCAGATTTCCAACTCTTTATAACAACTCAAATTCGTTCTCACAATTCTAATTCTGAATTCAATATTGGATTGCTTTATACATTTTGTTGTAAACACAGTTTTTAATATACACAACTAAAAAAAAAAAAGAGTGTAAGTGAGTATAGTGATTGTACGACGAGGTATGAGACTCATCGCATGGATTTATTTTCGTTTTTGCGTTTTATAAAAAGCTTCGTACGAATCGAATATAAAAAGCGTAAGAAGAAGAACACTTAACTAACACAACTGAAATAGCTGAAATAGTCTAGTCTACTTTAAGCTCCCAGTCGGGAAGCATGAATTTTCCGAGTTTTTACGGTAACATTACGTATTATAAAGAAAGCTCACAACATAAACAATGCAAATAAATTGAATATCAAAGGAAATGAAAAAATGTTATTTTAAATACTTAATACAACTGAAATCATGAACATAACTATGTCAAGATTACATTAAATTTGTTTAATAAAAAAATATTACAACTTTTGGATTATTTTCGCACTTCCAAACAATAAATCAACATCCATAGAATTGTAAAAAAAAACAGAAAGTTAAGCAACAAACGGCCTGCTTAACAAAAGCACGTGAAGGTATTAAACAAAAGTTAGAACAAGTTTGTGAATTTAACATCGTCTTTTTGTTGGAATAATTAGCAATGGAGCTAAGGAATCTGGAAGAATCTCAACATCTATGCCCACAATTAACTAAAGGCGAAGTGATAATTAGTAATGGTGGCGATCGAGCGCCGCCAAAAATCAGGGATTGTTCAAAGGTGAGGATATTTCCCCTTTAACAGGCTCAGTACTTTTCAGATTATATATTCATATAAATATATTTATGGGGATTATACACCAGCTAGCAGTCACGCAAGATAAAATTATCTACGACATAGGAGAAAGCAAATTACATTTGATTTTTTTATCAGCAATCACTTTTTTTTTATTTTTTTTTATATCAATCTAAATGACCTTTGCTCAGTGTTATTAAATAGGTTTTGTTTTATTTATATATCTGACGACTTATGTTATCCCTTTTAAAGGTGACATTGTTAGTTTAATAAAATACATGCAAAAAGTAGTAAACTTGTTGAGAGGAGAAGGCACGTAGAACAGATTAATTATTTTTATACCCATCACCGAAGGATGAAGGGTGTATTCATTTTGTCAAAACGTTGGCGACGCCAAGAAGAAAGTCTCAGAGACCCTACAAAGAATGTATATTCTTGATCAGCGTCAAATCCTAAACCGATTTAAGCATGTCCGTCTGTCTGTCTGTGTAATGTCTGTTCTAAATATTCGCTTGACTGTAACAATAAAGCTATCGTCTTTAAATTTCGCACAAACATTGGAATTTCTTGCGCGCAGATTGGTATTGAAAATGAAATTGATGGAAGGACACGCCGACAGACCATGTGAACTGAGAACACCTCTGTTTTCCAAAAAGAAATAAAAATTGGTTGTTTGCTCGTTACTCATAAACTACAGCAGATAACTGTACAAAAATTTGAATGCATATTCTTTGGGCGATAATGTGGCAACTACAGTTGAGAAAAATTGACCGCGCCCACCCAATACTATAGTGTATCATATAAGGCGCGTAAACAATCTGCAAAAACCCCATAAAGTACATAAATTCTTGGCCACTTTCCAATTTGAAATGCATATAAACATGTGCGTCAGTTCGTCCGTTCATCCGTCCGTCTGCGTAACTTTTGTGATACACATTCTCCCGTTACCGAAAGTGAAGACATTACCTACAAATTTGCAAAAAATTTGGAAGTGACTTAAACTTTTTCAAGGGCATCTCTACAATGCCTATGCGACAAAAACTTTTATTTTGAAAATAGTAAAAATCAGACGCGCCCACTCTATATTATAAAGCATGAAAGTTTAATTCTTTAATTTCTCTTTTGTCTTTTTTTAGGATAACGAAGACGGGTATAAAAGAACCGATCATGACCGAATATAATTATTTTATTTGTTTGCTCTCATATAGTAGAAATAATATTTTTTTTAAAAAAGAGTTCAAATTAGTTTTGTAAATTAAGTGATTCAGAATAATTCAATTAATGGTTGTTTTATAGAGAAGGGAGATATATTAGATTCTTTCTACCGTTTGTAACACCAACAGTCCATATATAGACAATTGTATAAATTCCACAGATTACTATATAGAGAATGCAACAGGTGTGAATATAGCTAATTCAATGTATCCATATATAGCCAATCCTCCTTCAATTTGCTTGTGTCCGTTCATTCACATGTCGGTCACACCGTTGCTTAAATTTGAAATGTTTTCGAATAAATTCAAATCGGATTCGAAACCGGAACGCAACATAGAAATTGTTTGTTAGCAATCAAAAAACGTTTTCAAAAGTGGAAACTATTATAACTGTTTGTTATAAGCAGGTAACGACATATGAGACCAGTTGAATTGACTTTGTGTCAGTTGTTATTGCGACCTAACGATCAAGCGGTGTGTTACATCCGTAGTAAAAGCACTTATCCGCCCAGGTAGCCGAATAGGTAAGAATCGCGACTACCAAGTCATTTTTTTTTGAATTCAAATCTCAAGTGCGGTAGAGCACTTTATGAGTGTACGGTTCCTAAAGCCATAACACTTACCGATTGGGCGCACAGACTCGCTGGGCTGCGACCACCACTACCGCGTCCCTATTGTTTCTTTCTTTCGCTTTCCTGACTTCTTCCTGACTGTCGCCGCGTTACACGTATAGGAAACATCCCTGAACATCCCTGAGTCACTGGTCATGCAAAAAAAAAAAGATTTGGTTTCAGTTATAGGGTATCAAAGATTCGTCTTAAGCTGAGTATAATTTTCTTATTTGTTTATTATGGTTTCTTAACAAAGTTTTTCTAGAGACGCGTACGTCTTAAAGTACACGCGTTTACCTACAGGGCCGCAATTCTATGAACGTTCGATTATAGATAGTAATTGTTGTAAATAAAATGTAATCAATAAGCATATTGCGGTTGTCGGCCGCTGTCTTATCTTTCCCTAAGAAAGCTTCTAAAATATCTCTTAAGCAAATACGGGGCTGGCAAAAAGATATTTTCGGTTTCTTTGCGTTTACTTCTAAATTTTCTTTTTTGAAGAATCGTCTCAACTTGTTAATTTCCGCGTTAACGTAGTTATATTTGGCGATTTCAGTCTATCTAATATTTCTTAGGGATGAGATGAAGACAATCAACGCATCACTTCCATGCATTCTTCTTCTAACTATGTTTTGAAATTAAATAAAGCCTGCAACGTTGTTGCACCCATCAAATAAAAGTAAGGATACACATACATGTATACATACATGCATACATATATACTTATCGTATTTAAAGCGCTTTCTAAAGCATACGTATTTACACATTAGTAAACAAAGGGCTTTCTACAGTAAGCAAGGCTTTCTCAAAGTACCACATTCCAGTCCATACTGCCGCTGTTGGCTGCATTTTCAAAAGTAATACTTAACGATAGTTTAAGGATAGCTACCATACGAAGAGATTCTAGAACGGCCAGTAAGGTGCAAGTCTTTCACTAACTTTAAGGTTGAAAATCCTATTGCCTGAGTTGGAAAGATATATCCTTCAATGATGTTCCGTCAAATTTTCTCAACAAACCGAAGTGTAGAACACGAATTGAAGTATGTGCCAGTGCACAAGGCGTTTGGCCTCAACTCAACGTAGGCATTACTAATACCAGTCTGAACTTTTGGTTCTTTATTCAAGTATTAGTAAAGATTTTTGAAGTTATGATGTATTTGCTTGGGATGATAGGTATTTAAATTTCCTCTAAAGCTTCTTATATCATTGTTGTATCCATCGCCGAAAGATTATGCAACGACTAGAAGGAAGCTTTAGGGACTTCACATAATATATATATTCTTGATTAGGATGAAATTCTGAGTCCGTCTGTCCCTCTATCCATCTTTGTTATCTCTATTATAAACATTGTATTGGCCATAAAAATTGAAGCGATGGACTTCAAATTTAACAGAAATATTGGAAAATTTTGCACCCAGATTGGTATTGAAAATGGACCAATGGGTCGAAAGACACAGCTACAGTACCGCGTAAACTGCGCATATCTTTGATTTTCACTCATTACTCATAAACCACACAGCAAGTATGCCTGTATTTATAAATACTGCAGATGATGGTCTAGCACCTATACGAAAATGGGAAAAATTGTCCATGTCTACCCAATACTATAGTGTATCAACATTTAATTTATCTTTTCGTACAGTATATATACTCTTGACCTGCTTGAAATTCGAAGTGTATTCCATCCGTAAATCGGTCCACACGCCTGTGCAACAAATACTATGAACACTTTTGCTTTCCGTATTTCTTGCTTGTTACTCATAAAGCCCAACAATTAATTACCTCAGATAAATTTTCCCCTTTATTTGAAAAATAGAAAAAATCAGTATAGTATATAGAAATCTGATTCTGGTATAGAATATAAACCAAAGAAAATCTGGTTCTTTTCTTCTTTTAAAGTTAACGGTGGTGGGTATAGAAGATTCAATCACGACCGATCATTATTTTCTTACTTATTTTTTATTTATTTAAAAAAGATTTTTTTTTTTTTTACTTTCAGAAACCACAATGGGGTAAATTACTAACCCTTGTTGGTTATGCTTCTACAATTGGCTCAGCCGTACCGGTGGGTTATTGCATTGGTGTTATTAACAGTCCGGCAACAGTAAGTTTTTTAATAAATCCGATTCTAAGATAAATTATGCTAATGCGTTTATCACGATTTCCAGTTAATCAAATCATGGTGCAACGATGTTATTAATCAACGTTACAACGTTCAGTTAAGTGCTTCGAATTTAGAAATCCTATGGGCATCAATCGTTTCAGTATTTCTGATAGGTGGAGCGATTGGGTCATTGGGTGGTGCTTGGGTGGCCAACAAATTTGGAAGGTAAAGGATGATAATTACTTTAGCATTATTTTGAACATCTAAGATACATATAAGACTTCTTTACATATAGGAAAGGATGCTTTCTCATTAGTGGTTTATTGTTTATGATCGGTGGTATTATGTTTTCCTTTTGCCGTATGGCTAATTCGGTGGAAATGTTAATATTGGGCCGTTTATTCGTCGGTTTAGCTTCCGGCTTAACTACAGCTACTTTACCTATGTATTTAAGTGAAATTGCTCCTTTGACATTACGGGGTGCTTTAGGTGTATTCTGTGCTGTGGGTGTAACAGGTGGTGTTGTTGTTGGCCAAGTATTTAGTTTACGGAATATTTTTGGTACATCCGATCTCTGGCACTACGCACTTAGCTTTTATATGGTTCTGGTTGTTATATGCTATTTACCATGCTGTTATTTCCCTGAGAGTCCGAAATATTTATACATTGTACACGGAAATCGTGAGCGTGCTCTACGTGAGCTATTGCGTTTAAGAGGTAAAGACGCTCTCGTCTTAATACAACATGAAATGGAGGAAATGGATATGGAAATCAGTACAAAAGTTGTGACAAGTAGTTTCTTTTCGGTATTAAGTGATCCCGCTCTCATGTTGCCATTGATAATTGTTTGTTGTTTCCATGGCGGTCAGCAATTTTCCGGCATTAATGCGGTAAGCTAAGCAAACAATATATGAATAAATTTGATTTTCATTTCATTTTTCGTTGCAGATATTCTATTACTCTGTTTCGATTTTTGAAAAAGCTGGACTTTCTACGGCCGATGCAGAATGGGCTAATTTAGGTGCTGGTTGCTTAAATTTGGCCACTTCATTTTTGGGTCCCGTTTTAATGGCTAAGGTTAATCGTCGTCCCTTAATGATGTTCTCTAGCGCTGTTTGCGCCTGTTTCTTGTTCACCATTGCTTTCATTTTATATTACATCGTATGTACAAAAAAAAGAAAAATATTTTTTTTATTTTTTTTTTTATTCATTACTTTACACTTTTTTTTCTACTTTTTTTTCCTTTTTTAGGAAGCATTCAGTTGGTTGCCTATGGCTTGCATTGTTTGTGTCATGGGTTATATATTCTTTTATCAATTTGGGCTAGGACCGATACCGTATTTCATTGGGGCCGGTGAGTAAGCATTTAATTTTCTTATGCAAATGCCTGAGATGATTAATTAAAAACAATTGTTTTTTTTTTTTTTGATATTTGAAAAGAAAAAACACATTGCACATAATAGTTACAGTTCAGGAAAGAATAACAAATGTTTTTAGGAAACTTTTTGCGCAGTTCAAAAAACCTCACCTTTCCAGAATTCCGTATGCGTACATCGCGCGGAGATCACTTAGGTAATATCGTTTTTTGAGGAAGTATACGCAGTATTTTCAGAACACATTTGAAATATTGTCATGCCATACAACACTTGCGGTACAAGGGTATGTTAAGTTTGAGCGGAAGTGTGCAACAAATAGAATGACTTGAGACAGGGCCACCTTTTACTATACTTTACAACTAATCTTGTCGATCGAGTTAATCTTGTCTGTCTGTCCGCCTGTCTTCCTCTTTTTTGCACAACCTGCAGATCGCAATTTACGAGATATTTCAATCAAATTTGGTACATTGACGTGATTTGACCCAAGGACGAACTCTATTAAAAATGATCCTGAATAGAGTCAAGCTTGTCTGTCCGCCTGGTCTCCTTGTTTTCTTGTGTTCAAGCTGAAGGCCGCAATTTCAATGAAATTTGGTAGGTTGGTGTGTTTTGGCTCAAGGACGAACGCTATTGAAAATGCCCCGGATAAGACCGACAACATTTTCGACTTTTTCTCCTATAAGGAATTTAGTGGCTCTTCTCCTACTATTGTGCTCTTACCTGCTTTTATTTACACATCTTAAAAGGAATTAAAAAAATTTTTTTTCATTTCTTCGTATTTGCTGGGGCGAGGAAAATTTGTCTTCCCTTAAAAAGCCTGTTATTTAGAGATGAACGATCTTTTGCAAAACTATATGTATGTCGTATCCATCCAAAATCGCTGTTTTCGAAAACTACGCGCAGCATAAAAAATTCTATTACTAAATTCAGCCTTCCACTTGCAACAACCAGAAAAGTCCTTTCTCCGTTCCTCGTTTAATTTGAAAAAATTTTCTCAAAACAGTCAAAAAGGCAACAATTGTGAAATTGTTGTTCCTTTATAGTTGTTAGAAGCATCACAACGACAACAGTAAGGTACAACTTTCTGAAAGTTCGAAAACCAGGCTAATTAGCCGTTTTCGTGAATCTCCTTCATTGCCGGAATTATCGAGACTACCGTCGCCAAATTAAAGCTTAGGCCATAATTTCAAAACATGCAAAACAGTGCAAGCAAATGTTGATACCGGTTAATCTAGTGCCACCTTTAGCTTACTGTGTTTGCTTAGATTATCGAAAAATTAAAAAGTGAGACAACAAATCCAAACTTAGATGCATTTAGTACCTACTTAGCAATCTTTGAGAGTTGAGCGCTATTGGTGTTAAAGTTGGTAAAAACATATATAGGAAGATTTCTTTAAAAATAGTTCAATTGATTTGTTTACACGCCCACGGTCGTCGTAAGATGACGATAGTCTTCTAATTTGTTTATTATGTCTGCACTGCACTCCTTATCTGAAACGTAAATAAATTATGTAAATGCGCTCAAATGCGCCCGCTTTGCGTAAGTATAGTAAACGGAGATGGATGAACTTTTCATATCGGCAGACTGTAATATGATTTATGTGACACATAACGATATACATGTACGCGAATGTATTTATTTATAAACAAGAAATTCGTTTTTTTTTTTTTTTGTTTTTCATATTTTACTCCCAATGGTTGTTTATGTTATGATTATTATTATATAGTGCTGTTGTTGTGCAATTCAATATGTATGTAATGCGCCTTTTATTTATAAACGTTAACATCTCACGTGACTAGCGTATCTGCTGTGAAGGCAACTCGTTTCTACACACAATTACGTTTAATTGTTCATTGAAATAAGTCAAGAGAGTATATGCATATGCACATGTATGTGAATAAATTGATGTTCACGGTTAAATTTCATTAGGGGAATTCCTGACTGTACGAAGTTTCAATGTCCGCACACATATTATAGTTGCATTCACTTTCGCATTTAAAGCTGATCAACTTGAATTGATTTCAATTAAAAGTTGATTCTCAATTACTTTTGTATGTGCATTGGAGATATTAATTAAACATAGATTTATTTATTTATTTTTTTGTTAATTTTTGCATTTTCTCTTTTATTTTTTTATTTGTAATAAATTTATTTTTATTTGTTTTATGTAACTTTCTTGCAGAACTTTTCGAAGTGGCTCCAAGGTCAGTAGCCATGTCAATGGGTAGCTTAGCTTCTTGGTCATGCAATTTTGTAATCGGTATGGCTTTTCCTAGTCTCTCGAGAGTGTGGGGCGCTTTCGTCTTTCTGCCTTTTTCGCTTACTTGCGCGCTATTGTTCCTTTTAACGAAATTCTATTTACCTGAAACTCGCGGACGCGATCCCTCGGAAGTGGCTCCATTGGTAGCTAAAGGCTTTCGTTCTAAAGTTACATAAATTTCTCATCGAGATTGACGGGCGATCGTCGTCTCTGCAATTTAATTTAATTGTTCGCGCACAATGGTTGTTATACGTGCCTCTGTTTAATTCAAAATTTAATTTAATCCGTTGTTAAACACTTTTAAATTTAATTAATTTTAGATAGTCGTAGTTAGTAATTAATAATTCGTCTAAGCTTTTATACTTGATTAATTTATTAAAACGAAAAATAAAACAAAAAAACAAAAGTAGAAAAGATATCATTAATAATATTATACTTTATATATAGAAATTTGTAATTGAAATAAAATTTAAATATATTTAATACAAGTGGTCATTGCATTACGACATGATCATGCGATCATGCCCATGATAATGCCGTTAAATAAAATGTTTTAGTAATAAACTTATAAGCAAATTTGCTTCGGCAGCCAAGTCACCTTAAAGTCCTTAAAGGAGCGAATGATAACATCCAGGCTTGTGTTGAGTGAGCGAAAGAGCTAGGTAGGTACAATCAAGTGCACTGGCCATTCAGGTGTTGAGGGCAACGAAAGGACTAAATGTTTAGCCAACAGGGAACATGATAGGTTCTGAACCTTCGTATGGCCTACCAACAAGCCATATTAATAGTAGTATCGTAATGGGCACAGAATAAATTGGATTGCCGTTGGAACCAATGTGGAGCACAATGAGAGGCAAAAACATTCATAAAATATTCCGATGTGGTACATTAACTACTGGAAGTAAGAAGAAGCGACCTACGTTTAGTCACCGGCTTTTACACGAATTCCCTCAGGTATCATCTGAAGAACATTGGTATGTTCGATATCAATTCATACAGATTCTGCCAAGGTACGAGTGAAACGTCTCATCACATTCTATGTGAATGTGAGGCCACCTGCAGAATTGGACACCATATGTTTTGTCGAGCATTTTACAATGCCTGATAAGGTATGGTGCTCCGATCCAAAGAAGGTAGCGGGGTTTATAGAAATCTTAAAACTGATTTGCGCACGTAATTAATAATTAATAATATAAGCGAATTAAATTCTTTAGCAATTTTGTTAAAAAGAACGCCACGCAATGGTGGATATCATTAAGGCAGATAGTGGAGCTACCCACAGTACAGTAAACTTAGTGTCTACTATTTCCGCTCAACCGCCCGCTCGACAATATGTCGAATATGCGTTGCGTACCTGCAATGCATTATGAAAATATAAAAGCGACGACACAGCATTTATTTACCCAAAATTTCGATTGTCTTAAGCAAATTATATTTATTGTTGAGAAAGTATTTTTATTTATTTGTACATAAACTAACAGATTTAGTTTTGCAGTAAATACTGCATATCGGCAATAAGAGTCAAAGTTCGACGGCCCTTAGTCAACGCGGTATATTAAGTTTGCGCTCAAGTATTCAACAACCAGAAGGACGTAAGTTGGACTTAACCGATCGATTTAGTAGAAATTCTAAACCTGTCTGTCTGTCTTGTTTGCTTGTGCTCAAGCTGTAGATCGCAATTTTTGGGATATATTGATGAAATTTGGTACAATGGCATGTTCGAGCCCAAGGATAAACACTATTCAATATGATTTAGAGCGGACCACGTTTTCGATCATTTCCCGTACAACGCCTTACCTTGAAAAGTCGATATAAGTATAATTTTAGGGTGACGTAGGAGATTTAATGGTGGGTCGAGCCCCACTATAATGTTTTTATTTGTTTTTTTTCTTTTTAAAATATCTCTCACCTACATTACAATAGAGTAGTTCATTTCATTGACGCCGAAACGGGTTGCGTGTTCAAGGCATTTTATATTTCGGAATCTGAGAATTAGAACATTCGTCGCGCCATTCTATGCGAACTTCTAGTAATGTTGTAGCTGTTGTATCAATCTTCTTCTATTTACATACGGATGTATTTTAATATCGCGGATATGAAATAGTTTTCGTTATATTTATTAGACGAATTAATATATCGCAGCGATTCTTCGGAAGGTTTTGTTTGTAGCAGTAGTTATATTCATATTACGAGGAGTAGTGCCAAGTGCTCTCTTGCCGATGTATGGAGTTCAGTAAAACCGAATTGCCCAGAGAAAACAAAGAGAAGAAGGCAAAAATTTTCGATAGGCCTCACCTTAAGCATAAGAGCTTGACAGACCGCTAGCAACCTGAACTGATTTGATCGTCGTCTTGCAAACAGAAAGGCAGAAGAAACCTTGCAAATATTTGCTCTTGGACTAAATAATAGATTTTGATCCACGCTAATCGGAGTAACAACATATTCTATATATAGAGTTTTTTCTTAAGGGAGAATGTTCAAAATGATTGTTAAAAAAAAAATTGTTTGTCCATTTACTAGTTTGCACTAATTTACAAGACTGCATACAAAGCTAAATTTAACGATTTGTACGCGGAACAATAAGTTATTTAAAAAATCATTTGTTTTCTTTTTCTTTAAATTTAATGTTGTACTCTTTCCCTATTAACACCACGTCCGATAATGGCGGAGTTGCTTTACCTAACTGTAGCGCATGACAGGGTTGCGCTATTTTCATTTTTTTAAAACGTTTGCAACGGCCAGAAGGAAACTTTTCCTGATCAGCATCAAATTCTGAATCGATTCCGATAAGCATGTCCGCATATCCGTCCGTCTGTGTAGTGACTCTTGCGAAAATTCTTCTGGCCGCAAAAATGACGGCGTCACCTTCAAATTTATCAGAAACACTGGAAATTTTTGCATCCAAGTTAAGTTGAAAATGACTTGAAGGACACGGCTGCAGTATCACTTGAGCTGAGAACACTTCTCTTTTTCAAAAGGAATAAAAAAATTGGTTCTTTATTCGTTACTTACAAACTACAAGATATAGGACAATGAAGGCAAATTCTGTGGGCGATGCTTTAGAACCTGTACAAAATGAGAAAAAAGTAATTCGTGTCCACCCAATATTATAAAGTCGCGTGCGAATATAATTTTTTATTTGATATTTTTTTTTTTAATATGAAACCATCGCTTATCCCTTATTATTAAAGAAGTTGAAGATAGGGAAAGCAATGACCGCAGGCAAGTGTGGGCCTTTACTAACTGAGAGCACACTGTACCTGTGACTGATGTAAACGGTCTGTTGCTGTTTGAAGTCGTGCTCATCGACTGGCAGGTGGTCTGGTGTCTAGTATTTTATATGAACCAAAAAAAAAAAAAAAGAAAAAAGAAGAACAAACTCATCCGATTCGCGTTCGAATGAAAGTCCAGCTGCTTTCAGTCATCAAATTTTATTTAGCAAAGAATTCTATCTTCATTTTTTTATAACAACTATATAAATTTGTTTTTTTTTTTTTTTTTTATAATTATTATAAATATGTAAAATTAATATGAAAGTAAACTGTAACGTGTTTACCTTTACAAATATTGAGTCACACATAATGGCATTCTTCGAAAGATATATAATAATTATCTTTAAAACATTTACGTGATGATAATTATCTCTTATCCGGAGGGTGTGAGTGACACAATTTAAACATGATATGATAATATGTTTAGATGTAAGTCATCTAATATTTTTTTATGCCATTAACTAAACTAATAAAAACAGTTTAGTAAATTAAAAAAGAAAGCGCATGTCCAGATCTAAAATAATATGACAAAGGTAAGATTTTTTGCGTATTATAAAAATTTAAAGTTCAGCTAAGCACTAATATGAGCATTATTCCAGTAACTCTGTTCGGATCAACATAGTACTTACTCTAAAGTAGTTATTTAATAATTTTTTTTTTGGAAAACTTACGATAATGGGAAAAATTTCAAAAGTAAAAAAAATTTAAAAAAAAATATTAAAACAAAAAAAAATAAATAGATAAACACTTTTTTTTTATTTGATACACAGGACTTTACAACAACAAGAAGTTGGCGTCCTTTATTGGTCGTAACATGTTTTTTCACAACTCTGGGTTCTTGCATACCCGTCGGCTATTTTCTAGGCATTATGAATGGTCCAGCTATGGTAAGAATTTTCACATATATGTCATAAATTCTACATATAATTAATTTGCTTATATATATATTTTTTTTTTTTTTAGTTCATCAAAGTTTGGTGCTATGATACTATCAGAAGTAAATATGGACTCAGTTTAAGCGTCTCGCAATTAGATGTCTTATGGGCTTTGATTGTGGCTATCTTCCTTGTAGGCGGCATATGTGGCTCATTGTTTGCGGCTTGGTGTTGCAATAAATTTGGAAGGTAAGTATTTTTAAAAAAAAAATAAAATATATATCAGTGATTCATTGGAGATTAGTGGGCAACTTGTACGACTGCTGTTCTAATAATTTATCCATTTTAACTAAAGTGATATAATTTCGAAACTGTTCGCCTGCTTGATTAGCAGAATCTACTTTTTTAATATAAGACGGAGAATACAAAGTGTTCTGTCAACGTTTTCAAGAATTTTATCCGATGACAGTTGTCGATTGTGAAGGATAAGGAAAGCCATTAATATGGAATAAATCCTACAATAAGCGCGTGCATGCATTTTGATCACTTTTTCACTTCACTGGGACAATATATATAGCGATCAAATTATTTTCTAACATTTTCCAATCTTTCTAGCAGCATGACGATACCGTGTACAAAGAACGGTATTGATTTAGTAGAGATCCAATCATCGATCCATTTTGACTCTTCTTCAGCATTTCGAATCAAGTGGTAACAGAAGGCGCTATCTCTGATGGGTACACTAGCTGCGCTAAAATTTCCCATTCGGCCCGCAACATGATATCCTTGATAACACTTGCAAAGTGTGGCCGTGCGTTGCCGGGTGTAATGATGACTTCCCGTCTATTAACCGCTATTGGCGGTTTTTCTCTCAACAACACGTCGTTCAATCTGTTTAATTGACGTCGGTAAACATCTACAGGGACAGTTTTATTCGATTTTAACTGCCCGTAATAGACTGTACCGAACTGATCCGACTTTATAGCCATGACTACCCTATTCCGTTATTGAATCGGATGGATTAAATCATCTCGCACTTGGAATTATCGTAGTACACCCAATTTCAATCGCCAGGCATAATACGTCACAGAAAAATTTTATTTTCGGCTGGTAATCATATAGTAGGCACTTTCCCTTCTTTTGGGTTTTTTGCGTCACATGTTGATTCATCAACTCCCAAATCAACTCGAAAGCTCCTTGAGACTTTAATGTACGTTTCCGTCGCAATTCATTGACTTCGAACTTTTTTGGTCCTCCAGGCCATTCTTTGTCGTTTACATCAAAATCATAACATTTGAAACCAAAACCGGGACATGATGGGGAAGCATCACCATAAGCATCCAAAAGTGTTTGATGGGCTTTAAAAACTGCTATTTGATATAGAGAAGGGTCAAAATCATCGAATTTATTTGTTGTGTGATTTCGTGCTACGCATCATTTTCACGAATATATGTCACTGATCAAAAGACATGCAAGCACCTTATTTTCGCCACGATAAGTAGCACAAGGTTTCATTTCTTTTTATGTAATACGAAATCAGCGAATATTATAACGGCTGCTTCAAAAGCCCTAAGCATACTGGAATTGTCATAGTTATTTCCCATCTAAAGCGGATTCTTAATATCTTGCCTGTAGTGCGCAAGAAGTTCTTGGGCCGGAAAGGTTTTAAAGACATTTCGTACGGGAATTTAGTTGGATTCCGGATTTTCTTTACGTGTATTAGACTTGGCGTCGACAACTAGTGGCCCCGATTCGTCATCAAGGGTTCCACAACATACTTTTGAGCAACCCGAGATCGTTTCTTCGTCTTGGCTATTAAATAATTTCCGCCGTTGGTAGCTTTGGATGGAGACGTTATAATAGCACCCTACAGCACTTGTTACCCTTTCCGCCACACACAGACAATTTGATTGATTTTGACCTTCGATTCCATACATCGCAGCTCCTTTAAGTTTTTCCCGTTTGACAAAATTCTTTCCACTTACATACAATACGAATAGAAGTTTGCAAAAGCTAAAATATTACTGCGTCCAAAAAGTAAAACTGATTGGACTTTTTTTTTAGATCTATTTATTATTCCAAATATATTTCGGCGCCTTCAAAGTAATCTTCAAACGCAAATAATATTCCTTATCAACAGTTTCGCCAGGCGGAAGGAATTCATAGTGCACAATACGACGATAATCGACGAAGACTGTTAGCATCACTTTGATCTTTGAGCGACTTTGGCACAATTTTTTCGATCTTAGCTCACCTTTTTCATAATATTTGATCGATTGATCGGTTGCGTTCGGGTCGTATACGTAGATCAAAGACGCATCTCTCGTAATAATACGTTTTATGGCCAATTGATAGTCAGATATTATATCCTCAAACACATAGGAAAATTCCCAAAAAGTCCTTTTTGGTCGAACAAGTGCAGCTGGATGCGCAATTTGACTCAGATGTCTGTCCCAGTGTTATTAGTTTAGAACAACAATTATGTCTCACATGCAATGTACGTACGCAGTTTAACTTGACTATTGGTCATGCTATGTTTTTTGACTTTTTTCGGACGAGAGATCCGACTTCGTTGTCTATATTTGGGATGGAGCTATGAAAACCAATAAAAAAAAGTTAGCAGATCGTTAGTAAAGGTGTGTAAAAAATTCCAAATTTTTTTTCTTATGCTGAACTGTTATGAAAGCCTACAATGATTTTGAAGAGGACTTCCCCGTACATTGTCGCTTGACAAGTGAAACTTATTACGTTCTTAAGAATTCCTATGTACTTACTGAGCTGCACCTATCGACTTACGAATCTGAACAAAGATACCTCGGTTTACTTATAAGATATTATCCTTAAAAATCTCTCGCCATAATTATTTAGGTAAGCTCCGCAACTAGCCGCTTGGATAAGAATCGCGACTAGCAACTCTGTGTTCACGGGTTCAAATCGCAGTGCGTAGGGTTTATTTTGATCGTAGTTATAGGGAGGGAGAGAATGTTATATCTTTACCAACTGGGCACACATCCACTGTGGTCGTTCCGGCCGACACGAATAGGAGACGTCCCTGATATTGGATGATGAGTGAATGTAATGAACAAAAAAAAACAAAAATCTGATAAACTTACCTTGGAAACTATATGTCATATAAACTAATGAATTTTCACAAAATCTATTTAAAGCCTTTGACTATTTTCATGACTTAACTGCATATAAATTCTTTCCTATCTATTTTAGAAAATCTACACTTTTGCTTAGCAAATTCTTGCTAATGGCTTCTGGTTGTGTATTGATTTTATGCCGCTACATGGATTCGGTGAGTCTGTTACTTTTGGGTCGTTTCATTGGAGGCGTGGCAGCTGCTTTAATCACCACAGCTCATCCTATGTATTTATTGGAAATATCGCCAGCCAATCGCAAGGGCAGTGTGGGTGTATACACAGCTCTTGGCGTTGCAATCGGTATTTGTGTGTCCGAAGTAATAGGTTTGAAGCAACTTTTCGGCAACGCGGAATTGTGGCATTACGCGCTAAGCTTCTATATGATTTTCGTATTAGGATCCTTGCCCTCATATCGTTGGTTTGTGGAAAGTCCAGAATGGCTTTTGAAACATAGGCAACAAGATTGCTTGGTTGCTCGTAAAGCTTTAAAGGATCTCTACGGTTCTCAATCAATATCTGTTATATATAAAGAGAAACCTCAAGTAGCCACTAGCGAACCTGTGGATTCCAAAGAATTGAGTTTATTGGCTGTTTTAAGAAATTCCAACTTTCGGTTGCCTTTGATATTGGTGCTAACGTTGCAAGCTTGTCAGCAGTTATGTGGAATAAATGCGGTAATGTCATGCAAAGAACTACTAACGAAAGTAGAGGCTAAACTTGAAAAATGTTTCTTCTTCCCTAGGTATTTTATTATTCAGTGGACATATTTACAGAGGCCGGTTTTTCCGTCGATAACGCTAATTGGATGAATTTGGCTTGCGGTTTGCTAAACTGTGCTGCAGCAGCATTGACTCCTTTCGTAATAAATCGCTTTCCCAGAAGATCGCTATTATTCAGTTCTTTGACAGGTTGTTTAGCGACTTCATTTGGCTTGGCCGTTGGCTTGAAATACATTGTAAGTTAAGACGGAAAGAACCTTTTTTTGTTTTTTTTAGTAGTTTTTATATCTTAATACCTTACAACGCTTGCGATGCAACGGTATATTAAGTTTATATGGATGTCTGCATGCTTGAGGCAGATCCATCGTTTATTATTATGCCGATCAGTTCAGAATCATTTTCTGAATCGATCTATGCTTGTCTGTCCGGTTGTCCGCCTTTTTATGTTCAACTTATAGTTCGCAAATTTTTAAGATATTTTGATGAGCCGAGATGTTGTGTAGCAAGGGCGAACATTATCGAAAATGATCGAGATCTGATCACTTTTTCAATCACTTTATTTTAAAAAGTTTTTATGTCAATAAGTTCATTAAGCGAAGTCGTGTAGGGTATTTAATGTGTGTTACAGCATATTTACTTGTTTTATGTTACATCTTTGTCTTTCCAAGTCTTATAATATTTTTGCTTCTATTTCTAATGCAGAAATTTTACAACTGGCTACCGGCTTTATGCATAATATTTGTTGCTCTATTTATCATAAGTTTTCAATTGGGGTTATCTCCGATACCGTATTTCATTGGTTCAGGTAATTAATGGAATATTTGTCAGTTTTTTTTTAGTTTTGTAAATTTTGTTTCTTTCTTTCTTTTTTATTATTGTAGAACTCTTTGAAGACTCTGCTCGGCCTGTGGCCATGTCGATGGGGAGTTTTGCTTCTTGGTCATGCAATTTTATGATAGCTATGTTTTTCCCTTTATTGGAAAATGCCTGGGGTTCATTTGCTTTTCTTCCTTGTTGCACTGTATGTATCTACAGCCTTATTTTATCGTGGCGTTATTTGCCTGAAACTCGACCTTCAAATCATGAAAATATCTAAGCATTGAAACTATAAAGCATTTAACTCGAATATTAAATAATAATAATAAAATATATTTTTGTAAATACAATTAATTTTAATTAAAATCAAATTCTATTCCTTTGAAAAAACAATACTTTCTTCATTCATCATCGCGCGGTAGGAACTCACTAATATTCTTAGTAATTTTCTAACAACCATAAATAGATCTTATTACCTTGATTATAAACTTCATTACATCCATCAGATCCGCCAAGTTTTTGTATAGCTTAGAGATATAATTCGGAAAAAGTACAGACGAATAGCGGAATTCTGGTAGATAGGCCTCTCTATCTGTTATCAGCCCGCTCGTTGAAATCGCGATGGCTAAGTCAAAATGGTGCCTAAAGAAAAAGTCGTAGAAGACTGCACGGACTGTTTGTAAATAAGATTTCAAGATTTAAATTTATCTCCAAAAGAGATCTCAAGTATGTAAGGGAAACGACAAGTCCGATAAGCTCTATCAAATATGTAAAATACAACAAACGATATCTAAGATGCATACGGTATGGTTTACAATTCTAATAACCAATCGTTGTTGATTTCATCTGTTGTGCGCAGGCTTATGGTGATGGTATTAACGTCACGTGCAGAGGGCATAAATGTCTAAAATTGTGTTTTTTTATACGTAGGACATTCGGCCATAATAAGCACATCGCAAAATAATTATACATTTGTTTTGTGCTAAATAAAGATATTTCGCCGGCCGTGTGCCATAACGATACAAAAGAAAGACATTTTTGCATCACAGTTGGATCTATTTTGAGAATTTCAGGCGTAACAATTCAGGACAGACGCAGGTGTGCCCTTCACATTCATTGCGAGACTGAAGCACTCTACCAGAAAGACGAGGTGCTTCGCTTAGGGGGACCAGAAGAGTGTGATCTATTAATAGCCATAAAAGTCTTCTGCACATGATTAACTTTAAAAGCCACCAACAACAAGTAAAAGATCTGAACTTTGGAGTTTGAAAAACGAGGGATGTGGGAACAAAGGCATCACAAGCTCATCTTTTCACATCACATCCATCCATATATAGATAAAATCGGTTCGCGATATGTTAGCAGCACTGCTGTCTTCCGTCGGTCGGTTTACCTTATAAGTTACGGCTAACAGAGGCAAAGTTATGCTCTTGTATGACAATGCTCGGCGACACGGTGCGACGCTAGAGTTGTAAAGGACACACTGTCGCAGTTCAAGTTGCAGCTTCTGCCGCACCCAGTGTACTCACAAGACACAGCCCCTTTTGATTACCATTTGTTCAGATCGATGCAGCGTACTCGGCTGGCACGTGATTCCTAGTTGCTGAAAAAAAGGATCAATAATTGGATCGCTGCCAAACCGATATCGTTTATTCGATACGGTGTGACTATGTTGGCAGAATGATGGGAAAATGTTGTATTACCTGCAAGGATCTAATATAAAAACAATTACGATCCTTTCGGCGATCGTTTCTTTTCAATACAATTACAGCCTTTAAGAATTCGTTATGATAATCCTAATGTTCGCATTGTTTGCCAACAAGTTGGCTTGGGCCCGGTTGATGTATTCAAAAACCGTGATTCGCAGAAATGTGGTTTGTGAACAGTCTTGACAAGCATCAATCCTCAAGTAATTCTAACAATTTCCTGAGCCCCATTATTGGTTAGTCGACCGCAGCATACCTGGTCCTGTATTCCTTTTTTCCTTCGATATTGCATATAAGAGTTTGATTTAATTTAATTCATTTTCTCCTTCCACCAGACATCGAGAAAACGTTCTGTCTACTTTATAACGAATGATTTCAATAAATACCTTTTCATTCTTATCCATGTGCTCTCATTTTCAATTTTCCTTTTCCTTTTTTTTTTTTTTTTTTGCTTTTAAAGTGAGATCACGAAAAATGTTTTCGTTCTTATCATTCGCTCTGCAAATGATACGCAGACGCTATTAATATTACGTTTTCCGTTAAAAGAAAAACTGAGCAGCATCCTAAAGAGGCAAATAGCGTCACAAGAAAAACGTCAGTAGTTGAGGAAATTATTAAATTTACGGTTAGTAGCGGTTAGATGCTCTGGCAGACAGACGCAAAACGAGAACAAGCGATATATTGACGATAAAAATAAAGTAAAAGAAAAAAAAAAAAATGAAAATAAAATGAAAATAAAAAAATAAAAATGAAAAATACGTTAAACAATAGCGAAAAAGCAGACGACATGTGAGTGAATGCGTCTGAACAAAGAAACAAAAAAAAAAAAAAATTAAAATAGAAATTCAATCGTAACGAAGTGTTTAAAAATAAATTTCTTCATTAGCTATTAAAGAACTAAAAAAGAATCAAAATAAATAGAATAATAGTGATTTTGTAATAGATAATTATACAAAAACAAAAAAAATAAAAAAAAAATTTAAGTTCAAAAGAAAATGAATTTTTAATATTTTTGCCTTTTGTTCTCCTATTTGCATTGCGGTTATCACAAAAAAGTAACGAAAAAAAAAAAACAAAAAAATTATTCTTTTGAAGATTTTCGCAAAGTATTTTCAAAAAATAAATATTTACACTTAAGCAAGAAACGAAAAAAAAAAACCAAAAAAAAACAAAAAAAAATGTTATGCTGTCTGATAACTTTTCATCATTCATGTGACGTCACATTTAAACAATGCCTTATCATTATGCATTTGTGTTGGTAAAATAAACGAACTTGCTGCCAGATAAACAATGAAAGTTTGTTTGTCTGTTTGTTTGTTCTTCTCATTTAAATGATTAATTATGTGCAAATAATATGCGAAATATATTAAATAATACCATTAACAACAATGAAAGGAAGAAAACAATTTCAGGCATTACTTACTATTGATATTAAAAACGTAAACGAATTAAATTCAATTAAATTACAAAACTAAAAACTAAACACTAAAAACTAAAATACAACAACAATTACAAAAATAATAACATTAACAAAATTATATTAGAGTTTTTCACTAACAAAAAAAAAGTAATGTATGTTTGTGTGTGTGTGCTTTTACTATGCAAGCGGGAGCTAGAAATCTTCCCGCACCAGAAGCACGCACGATTTACTTCATCCATGACGCCTACGTACTAAAACTATCCCCGCCATATACACTTCGTAGACCACTGTCCTTTGCGGGGCCACAGTTAGGTATTACTTCGCCGAGACTGTTGATACTATTTCGCTTCTTTTGGTGGGAGACTCTCTTAATGGTCTCTTCTCTCCACCCGTTAATTTTCTTTAGGTTAATTCTTTATGTTATTTTTCTTTATGTTAAGTACTACTTCGCCGAGGCTGGTTGCTACTATTTCGCTTCTTTTGGTCTCTTAATGGTCTCTTCTCTCCACCCGTTATTTTTCGTTAGGTTAAGTACTACTTCGCCGAGGCTGGTTGCTACTATTTCGCTTCTTAATGGTCTCTTCTCTCCACCCTTTATTTTTCTTTAGGTTAGGTACTTCTTCGCCGGAACTGGTTGCTATTATTTCGCTTCTTTTGGTGGAAGCTTCGTAGATTCTTTTATTGGTTACCACTACTACTTCTCTCCGCCCGCTGCCTTTCTGAACTTTGCACCTGTGTGACACGCTTTCCTCTTGTTAATCATATTATTGGCTATATTGCCCTGGCTTTGATGCCGGCTTCGCTCGAATCTTATATTGCGAAATATGGCATCTCGAGCGTTCTTCTCTACATTGATGCAGCTCGGGCACAACGGCGTACCAGTCAGATAATAATTTACTTCCGACGACCCGCTGCAATAGGTTTGGTATAAGAAAGAAAGTCCACCTGCCTTTCGTCCTTCTTGCATAACGCAATTGCCATTTTCTCGTCGAAAAGGGCCGTACCTTTCTTTCTTTCTTATGGCTTCTAGAGCTCGCTCTGTTTGCGCCAACCCGCGCGTAGGTGCACCTCATCTCGTCTGTGTGTATGTTTGTACTTTTTTTTTTTGTACGAATGTATCTGTGTTCCTACTTAGGTAAATTTGTTTACACGTAGATAGTGTGTGACTGTGTGTGTGTGTGCGTGCGTATTTGATATTGACTTTGTAAGTAAACGAGTAAACGTATGAACGAAAAGATCGATCTGTTTATTTTCATTTTTTTTTTTTTTTTTTCATTTATTTTGTTGTTTTATTTGTTGACATTTAACATATCGTAGTTGACATCTCTTGTTCATAATATTTTATTTTTCATATGTTCCGCATTTATTTTTTTGAAAATATTTTCTATTATGAAAATTAAACAATGACGGAAGCCATTTGGTGCGATATTCATATAGATTTCTTGAATGCAAGAAATTCTTGCTTCAAAAATCTTTAATTAGTAGCGGCATTCTTATAAAGATCGTTCAGCAAATAAATTAAGAAGAATTTGTCTGCGACATTTTTTTCACAAATTGTTTCAACAAAGTTTTATATACAATGTCCAAAAATTAATGTAGTGTGTCTGTCGATGTGCTATCACCGCAGAATAACGAGTATATTCGTTTTGTCAAAACGTTTGCAAGGTCCACAAAAAAGTATCAGCGACCCCACACAGTATGTATACTCCTGATTAGCATCAAATTCTAAATCGATTTAAGCAGATCCGTCTGTCCGTCTTTCCATTTCTGCAATGTCTTTTGCAAACATTCCGACTTCAAATTTGTCAGAATCATTGAAAGTTCTTGCAGGCAGGTTGGTATAGAAAATGGCCCAAATCGGTCGAAGAACACGCCGACAGCATCAAGTAAACTGAGAACATCCCTGTTTTTCAAAAGAAATTAAAAATTGTTTTTTTTCCAATTGCGCATAAATTAAGCAAACATATGTACAAAAATTTGAAGGCATTTTCTATGGGCAATGTTGTAGCATCTGTGCATGGGAAAAATTGACCACGCCTACCCAATATTCTAGTGTATCGAATTTTAATTTTTCTTTAATTTCTTTATTCGGCGCGGGAATAAGCTTTAGAAAACCCCATAAAGTATACTAACTCTTGTCCTGTTTCAAATTCGGAATGAACCTAACCATGTCCGTCGGTTCGTCTGTCCATCTGTCTGTGCGCGCAACTTTGTAGTATTTGTGACAAACATTCTACCGTTAGCAAGAATGACGACATTACCTACAGCTTTGCAAAAGAATTTGGAATTGCGTTAAGCTTTCCGAAGGAAGTGCCTACAATGCCTACGTGATAAAAACTTTTATTTTGGATATAGCAAAAATCAGCCACGCCCATTATTTTTTATATTATGAAACATGAAAATGTTGATCTTTCACTTTTTTCGTCTTTTTTAGGATAACGGTAATGGGTATAAAAGATTCGGTCCCGGCCGAATATAATTATCTTACTTGTTTTTATTGATTTTTGAAAGATTTTTTTACCGATGATTGACATCCTCTTGCGTATATTGGATGCATTTTCTATCGCACATTTTACTTTAAGGTGACTTTAAGTTTTGAATGCGTTGAAGACTAAAAATCACATCAGATCTAAAAATAAGAAAATTTCATTAATAATTTCCATTTCAGTTTACGTGGTAGGCGGTCTACCTCATTGCAATTTAGATTGATTGAAAGTTCGCCAGGCGCTTCAGCTGATACATTGTGGCGAATGGTGTTGAATATTGAATGTGTGTGTAAAAGACATGTTATTCAAGTTCGTAACATTAGAAGCCGGTAGACTTTTGCATGAAGGAACCTAACAGTTTTAGGAAGCTCGCCGCTATAGCAGGTACATACTATGTACTGCTCTTAACTACTTCCATTATTAATAGGAGGTGTCGAGGGCAGATCACGTAGGGAATTACGCCTATTAATGTTCGCTTTATCGATCTCCGCAGCAGGATCCTTGTATTTTAGCAAGCTCGCCGTTTTAGCACCTACATGCTGTATACTGCTCTTTATTGCTTCTATAGCTTCTATTATAAGAGATATCGAGGACAGTTTACGTTGAGCATTATCCCTGTTAATGTTAGTTTACCGTGAATTTTACTTTATCAGCTCCTTAAGATAATTAACTTCATCCGCTCTTCCAGCTTAACTCCATACACTTCCATCCTGTCTATGTGTCGACATTGTATTCCTTACACCAAATTCTGCGCCGATATAGGGTTGACCTTGCATTATTTGAAATTATTAATTAAGTAGTTAGTAGTAAGTAAAAAAAAAAAGGAAAGAAAATAGGATGGCAAAGATATAGCAAAGCAGAGCAACAATGCTCGCTAGACGAAAATCAATTTAATTAAGAAATTAATGTTAAGGTTTACCATGTCAAGCATATTAGAATTCTTAAGGGAAACTGCTCGGCTAATGTTTTTCCTTCCAATTCTATGATTCGATGCCAACTTTAGCCTATGTTGATCCTCTCAGTTCTACCTCATTTCATATCCACTTCTAACGAACGAAATGTGCGGGGCATTGTCAGTATCAACCTGGATGCAAAAACTTTCAATCTTCCTGCCAAACTTGAAGTTGATAGCTTAACTTTTGTGACCAGAAAGCGGAATACACTGTCCAGTGTAGAATTTGATGCAGACCAAGAATATGTATATACTTCATGTGGTCTCTTAAGCTTCCTATTGGGGGTTGCAAACGATTTGACAAAGTGAATGCGCCTCATCCTTTGATGATGGGTATAAAAGACTGCATTTTACGCTTTATAGTACATATTAATACGTCCGAAATTTCGTACTAACAAACAGAAAGCCATTTAAGTTTTACGACAGCTTCTACAACAGGAAAAAAACTGTAAATTATAACGCATAAGAAATATTGATCTCAACCAATCGCAAAGCCAACCTAATTGGACAGAGTGAAAAATTGCCTTAACTGATTAATTAAAATTCCCACTTTTACGTATAACCGTGTGCCGCTATGTTGGCAATGTGGCACCGGGTCGGTGACCCACCTTTTGTGTAATCAGGCGAGTGTGTATCTGTTAGGCTTAGTTTTATGTAACTACACCAATACACAAATTTTATTAACCAATGTAGTAGTAAGGCTATCTATGTCCTCTTGTATCTAAGGCTGTTATCTAAATAAATTTTAGCGCAACATTGCATTGCATTGCTACTGTAAGAGGAATGGAGGCCTATGAGCCTTGCGTAAATGCCATATTTGAGGTCGCAGACACTGCGAGCACGGTTACCACGAAAAGAATTTGTTGGTACTTGCTCCTTACCGAATATGCGAGCTGCCGACCGAACAGGAATCCTACGTGCCCCGAGGACATCGTGGTCTCCATTTGGCCCCAAAAAGTTTATGGCACACATTAAACATTACATTAAATTGGTGTTAGCTCTGGGTAACATGTTTTACGGATTCGGTCCAAAACGAAAATCATTTTTTAAAGCAAGTCTCCGAGCTGTTTGGATATCATAACGACTTTTTAGTTATTTTATACTATAAAGCCCGTTATACTTTGAGTTTAGGGGATAGAGGACTGTAACGCCCTAAACAATAAGCTTTTTGGGTATTTTTTTTTTTTTGCTTTCTAACCCATTCCGTTTCATTCTGAGTGATTGTTACTGACTATGAACAAACTTGTTAAGTTCTAAAATGATAAAGTGTATGAAGACCGACGAATCCCTTCTCCAGGACGCCCAGCAGTATAAAACTTTTTGTAAATAGGCGAGCGAAGGGAAAGGGGCGATATAAAAATATTTAGTCAATGTTGATTTAAAATTTTTTTTGTTTATTTTTTATTTTTAATTAAAGTAATTTTTTCCCCTTTAAATGCCGTTACA